CGCTGATCAGCAAGTTCCCAGCCGTCGATGAGGTACCACTTCCGGCCATCTCAGTTTCACAGGAGATTGACGGCCTCGGATGCACGCAGGACCGTCCGATGGACGTGCTCTCGTCAGCATAACATTTTCTCCAGATTTTGAATCACGGCTGGACTCTAGCTGAGTCTAGAGCCTGCAACAATGGAAGCCTGTGCAAGCAATCGACATCACCGTGATCACGCATGTGTGGCTGTGCAGAAGCAGGCGGAGAAGTGAATGAGGATGACATCCTTTCAGTGAGAGCCTCTTGTTGCCTTTGTCCAACAGAGGGCTCCTTCAATGAGCTTCTAAGACTACCTACCTTCACATAGAGTGTCCGTGCCGATGACTTGATTAAAACACCCTAATGGAGCTTCTGACATCTGATGTCCTTTTTCTTGTGTAGCTATAACGCTTGGATTAAGGTGGTCCATACCCCAGCTGACTTGCAGACAACAACAGAGGACCCTGCAATGTGACTTTTACCCAAAACGACAATCTGCAGGGCTTAAGCATGCCTTTGCCAGCATCGCCGTGGATTGTCAGTTGTGGTGGTGACACAATCAAGTTATGGGACCTGGAGAAGAACTTTTGGACTGTTGGCGCAGACGGCTGCCATGCAGCCACAGTGTCTTACTCCCCAAAAGTTGGGAGTGCGGTTCTGTGCGCCAGATGGAATCACACAAGTAAGTTGCGAGACCTTCTGGCCTTTGAGCACAACGAAGGCTGTTATTTCAGGCACCAGAGCTATTCTCCTTGGCCTTTTCGAATCATCTGTATACAATGCATTTTATTTGTAAGCTGGGAGCTGAACATTCACCAACTGCTGCTCCCAAACCCTAATTTTCAACCTCTGCGTCTTTCCACTGGTCACAGGGCAGAGTGTAGGCGAGCAATCCAGCTCAAGGATGTTTGAGAAAGCATTTGGTGAGTTTGACTACATGTCTCTTGCTCGTTTTCTAATTGCCAAACACTCCAACATATTTTGAGTAAACAATTGCCACTGAATGTTCTTCCAATGTATGCATTTCTGAATTGTTTCAAGTACTTTCTGATCTTATCCTCTCAGACTATGTTGTGGCAAGCGCGGGCGAAGACCCCTGTATTACCATGTGGACATCTCAAGGCCAGCGGTTGGGGTCGATCCCAGACGGACCGGTGGAGAAGTCGGAGGTATGTCTAGTGCGCGTGGTTCAGTCATCTGGCTGATCAGACTCAATGCAGCTCTGCTGCGATGTGCTGCAGGAAAGTATATCCCCAGGAGCTCTGTGGTACTGGATCTTCTCAGCAAAAGCGGTGGTATGTTTGGGGCTAAGGATCGTGCAGCGATCTATTTTGGTGACAAGCGATATATGAATGTTTGCTAGCTTTTAGAGTACCAAACGGCAATATCTCCAAAGCGGCAGGGCCGCAAATTCTTCATTGTGCGGAGCCTGAGTTTTACTCTTGCTTTGGAGAAGCTTTTTCATGATTAATTGCACAAGGGGCTGGCTGTTTGTCCTCAGAGCGCAGTGTACTGTCAGCTTACCAGTGAGGAAGGCGTTTGATTAGCTTCTTACATTACTCCAGAGCAAAACGAGCAGTTCAAAGTGGAATCAGATTGAGACCTTTTGGAAAGCCACGTAATGCGCAGTACAAAGTTCAATCAACTACAATAGATCCGGATTGGTGCAATTATAGGCTGTTTGGGGAGGCACAATGCAATCTCTTCCGTCACAGCCAAGAGCTCCGTAACGAGTCGCTTCATTGTGCCGCAGCTCTGCCCCTCTTTCTAAGCTTTCAGGTCTTGGAAACATTTGAACGGGTGCTGAACAGCTGCTTCATGCCAGCTTGTTGGCCAGTCAATATTACCTCCTGCTATTCGGCTTTCAGGCTTAAAAACTGCACACAAGTTGACCAGTAATGGAATGAGGCAGACACAGGAACAGATACTCTGCTAAGGTTTTGGATTACCCTGTGCTTTAAAAATTGGACGGCTAAGATTGCGGCTAGGATTTGACCCTTCCTTCTGTGAGAGAGGCTTGACTTCTTGAGTCTGATAAGGTGTTTAAAAGATACAACAACGGCTTATAAATTGACCACTGGCGTCGAAGACCAATCGTTCTACATTTATCAGCAGTTCTAAATAAGAGGGCTATAAGTACCTGCACTTTGAGAAGATGGGAATCATATCAAACTCTTCATTGGCAACTTCGAGGAGAACTACTGCGCTGTGCTTCTGCCAGGGTTCAGCACATCCTGTTATCAAAGGACACCTCCACTTTCTCACGGCTCCGAAGTCCACAGAAAGCGCGCTTGAACACACTTCAATGAAGTTTGTCTACGACGGGCTAGGAGGGGTAAACAGGCTCTTAAGGACATTTGGTCCAGACGCTACTGGGGAAGACGCTACAGGCTTCGTGATGGAAAATACTCATCTGGAAACGTCTCGTTTGCTCAGGAGAACATGCACGCACCGTGCTTCAGCCAAGTAGTGTACCGCCAAGGGGATTTACCAACTTTTGGTGTGAATAGTGACTGTCATTCGGGTTCGTATTTCATCCTTAGTTTACCTGCAGGTTAAGGTCTTTTAGTTAGCAACATCCCTCGAATCATCGTTCAAAAATTTCACGCTAGCCCCGAAATATTTTCGAGTACATTCCTTGGCGCACCGGATGACAAGAGCCACAGCTCAGTCGCAGGAATCCAATCGACATCCCATAGGCTTCCTCATACGATATACTCAACTGTGAACGTCTCCTCTATTCAGGAGAAGATGCACGCGCTCTGCTTCAGCCGGCGCTCGCGCATGATGATTACCGCAGGGAGCGGCCCCGTGATCCGCGTCTGGGACATGAAACGCCGCGTGTGCACGCAGAAGCTCTCCGGCCACACCGGCACCGTCACGGCCGTTGCCATGAACGCAAAGGACGAGCAGCTGGCGTCTGTGAGCGATAAGGGGACGCTGTGCCTGCATAACCTGAACTCGGGGGCGCGCGTGGCGCAGCTGAAAGATCCGGAGGGGCAGGTGCATCCTTCAATCACTTTGGTGTGGTGTGCTACTTTATGCAGCCTTCCCTCTCTTGCCTTGGCCGACGTGACAAGGCGAACATCTTGGAGGGTCGTTGAAGTCCGACAGTGAACGGTGGTGGAAAAGTCACTGTACCAGTAGAACGAGGCACAGTGAGGTTTATCGAAGCTTAGTACAATCTCTTCAAAGTCTATCTAGTCCTGTTTGTCAAGTAATTTTGGTTCCCCTTCTGTCTTGGGGTCCTTTATTGCCTCTAACTCCAACGTCCCTTCTTCGCGCTGCGAACATGCCGGTGCAGAACAAGGTCCTCCTGGAGTAAGAAACGGCTGACATACTGCTTAAAAACCTCCTAAAACCGCCCCCCATTGATACTGTTGTTAGGAGTCAAGTTTCGAATCCTCCTCTGCCTGTAACCCGAGAAGTTGTATCATCGTATTTTGGGTCCAACCCTGATCACTTCCTTTCGGGTCGATCCTTCTTCAATTCTTTGGAAGAGGCAGTCACCCGAAGCCTCTGAGATTGCGCTCTCACGCTTTTCCAGCTCTCGCAGGCGCTCCAGGCCGTCGAATACTCGCCCCACGCGAAACACCTTTTGGCGACGGCGGGAGACGGGGGCGCTGTCCACCTCTGGAATGCAACGTCCCGCAAAGTCGAGCGGTCCTGGAAACGGGCGCACGCAGCGCCTGTAATGGGGCTCTGTTTCTCGCCGACGGATCCCAAGGCAAGTCGCGAATGGAGACTAGTCTGCAATTCGTTCGAGCAAAATGGCTCGTCGGACGACGAAGGAAAGGGGAGGGATGTGAAAATGTGGCTCTTGCTTAAGGAGGGGAAAAGACAAGAGTCCATGTCGTGATGCGAGTGCACTTATTTAAGTTTATGCAGTTTTGAGTTCTGGAAAAATAGACCAGTAGTGAAGCATGGGCTTATATTTTTGGTTTCGAGTCGGTTGATTTCTACTTCTTTCAGGCGTAAGTCTGACCAAATGGCGTCAGCAGTCTTGGGCAAGAAACATTTTCCAGGAAGAAGAAGCGGGGATCTTGCAATCCGGCCGCTTCGAGCTTTTTCATACTGCTTCTCGCGTGGACCGCTTCCTCCATGCTCTTCCGTCTCGTGTCCGACTTGCTCGCTTCCAATTTGATCCTCGAAATTGTCACTACAAGATTGTTCCACCCAATCAAAGAGCTCCAGACTTTGTTTTACGAAGGTACAGAAGAACCGATACCAGTCCCGCTCAGGTGCTGCTGGTGACAGTCAGGCTTAACCAGCGCCTCATAGTCACAAAAGGCTGGCGTTGTAAACAATCACTGACTTTGATTATGTTTCCTCTCATGACACCCTCGTTCGACACGTCTTTCTCACAAATTGTGGAACATCTGAAAGAAATGAGACTGAAAGCGGAGCAAAACGCAGCATGCGGATTACCAGGTGACCAAACCGCAGAATTCGAAAGAAAATCTACTCTCGTTTGCTGCAGGTTCTGGTGACTGTCGGTCTCGACAAGCGCCTAGTGATCATCGACCCCACCTCCAGCGCTCCCCCGTTCCGCGTCTCTGCCGAGGTGCCCCTCTCGTGCGCGCACTTCAAAGACGACGGCGTGACGGTGGCAGTGGGCACAACGGACGGGCGGATCCTCTTTTACGACGTCCGGGTCCGGGTCTGGAAGACGCAACAGACGTTGCAAGCGTTCAAAAAATCAGTGGTAAGGTTGTTCACTCCGGACATCCCCAGCTTTTATGAAAGAATACGTTTTCGGATGTGGTCGAATTGGGGAAAAGTTTAGCAACAGCACAGGTGCGTTTCGGATTTAACCGTCGTCGCTCCAGCACAAAACAGCCACACATTTCGCCAAGTACTTACACGCTTGCTACGTGCTAGATTAGGCATTAGGGTGCAAGTTGACCGAAAGGGCCGAGCGTCTGAAAACGCCAGCGTGGCAGATTGTGACATACTTTCAAAGCCTTTTCTTCAACAATCGGTACTGACTTTCGCGAAGGTCTGGATCGGTGCGAGCTACCACGCTGGGACCACGCGAAGTTTTGTCTTGCTTAGGCGGTACCCACTTTCTGCTCAACCCGCACCATTCTGTTTCTGCAACGTGCGGCCAAACATTACCGAAGCCGGGTTGATCGTCCTCTCTTTCAGCAACCCCTCAAGGAGCACTCAACGAGGAGCATGACTCAGTTCTTGCATAGTTTGTGACCACTTCAATTTGTTATGTATCACCCCAACATGGTTCAGGCCTTGTTTAAGCAACTGTTACCTTCGACTTGGTATTGACAATGATCAAGAGCCTCTCACGAACCAGGACCGCCATTTGGTTGTGGCACTCGTCTGCCCGACCTTCCGCAAGCAGCGAGTAAAAGATGCATCAGAACTTGCCTCTTCCCGTTAGAACAATGCTTAACATTCGAGATCCAGCTTCTGACGCCTCTCCTAGATGTAAGCACTGCTACAACTCTGCTTTCTTGAGACACGTATCGCCGCTTCAAACCTATTATTAGGCATGTTACTGACTATTAAAAGTTCCATTGCAGCAAGTCACGTGCGTCCAGTGGCAGAGTTCCCTGCACGCCGACGAAAGCGACGCCGAGCACGCCGAGCCCGCCGCCCCAACGGTCGAAGTCAACTTCCAGCCCGAAATCGACCTCCGATCCGTTCCCGCCAACTTGAGGGGCACCGACAAGGTCATGGCCAGCTTAGGCTCGGCCCTATTCTCACCGAGGGACAAAGCCAATGACCTGCACGGTGTGAATGGAGGCCTGCACACGCCAGCGCGTGGCGGGGGGGAAAGGATCCCCAGCGAGATGGACGTTTTCTCCCCCCTCGTAGAGGTGCAGCCGATCACGCCGTACGTTCCGAAGCACTGGGAGGGCGAAAAGAGCGGTGCTGAATCGTTGCGGGGGGGCGAGAGAGACGGCGGTCTCAATGCCCGTCTACCAGGCAGCAGGCTGAGCTTCACAGAGGTGGCAAACCGCCCGGTTGACGGGCCAACGAGATCGGGGGAAAGTTCCCCGGGAGCTCGTATGCCTGGTAAAGACTTCGAAAGCCGCCTGGGGGGTCTAGAAGCGCGCCTGGGGGAGCCCCCCTCGGCGCAGTTGTCGAGCGTGAGCGACCTGCGGCAGGAGGCCAAGCGAAAGCTTCAGGCGTCCATCTCGGCGAAAGCCGGTGGCGGCGCGAGACCTTTCGTAAGTGCCCGGGAGGAAGAACCGGGCACCTCAGCTCAGTCGTCCGCATACACAAGAAGACCCAGCACAGGCGGCTCGAGATCCGGCCCGTTTGACCGAGACCCGCAACAGGACCCCCTGCATAACCCGCCACTAACCACTCGAAACCCGTCCCTTGACCAGCTGATGTCAACAACCGGGCTGCCCCCCCGGTACTCACACCTCCCAACGTCGCTCGAAGCTACCCCCGCAGACAGAGCTTTCGGCGCACCCCCCAAGCCCGGGACTTTCACCTCCACCATGTACGCATCCGCACGCCTCCTGGCCGATTCTCGAAACACCCCCCCTCCGGAAGCCCCCACCGCACCCCCCCAAAACGAGAGCCTCTCGTTTGGCAGCCCGGTCGCACCCTCCGACGCCCACAGGTCCCTTCCCCGGTATGACGTCACCCCCTCGATGATCGCTAGCCCCGCACAGTCGTATGATAGCACCGCGCGCCCGCTGACGTCATCCGCTGTACTGTCTGGCCGGGATACCATCTCCCCGGACTGGCTCTCATCGAGATCCACGCCCGACGTGCGGAAAGCGGAAGCTGCCGCCGCACCAAATGCACACGTGTCGATGCGCCCAGACGCCCCTTTTTCGGCCGCCGCTGCCAGCGCTGCCCCTAGCGTCTCTGAAACAGAAAGCAGCTCCGGCCGGCAGAGCTTCCCGCAGACACGAAGACCGAGTTCTACAGACCCGCCGCGAGCCTCAGAACCCCGGGGAGGCTTTGCGCATCAAGACGGATTTTCACACCAGCGCGAGAACGGGAGTCCTGGGAGTCGGCGGGTGTCCGACGGATCTCTGGGAGCGGACAGAGGAACGGGAATCGGACGGAAGCAGGAGTTTGGACAGGGGAAGGACGTCCGATGGCACGAGAACGCGATCGTCGGAGTGGATGCCGACAGCAGGCCGCCGTCGGAGCCGCAAAGCGTAAGTTTTGGCGTCTGTCCAATTCTTCAAGGGTCTGCTTCTAGCGCCTGTTTTGAGATTGTTGCAAAACGGAGTTCTGTTGGGAGTCGAGATCGTCAAGTACGTATTCAATGCGCTGATCGGTTCATGCTCGGTGTTGCAAATCAACACTTGATGCACACGGAAGGTAGATCTCTTTGTTTGATTCATTACCTGCTGTTCCGCTTATCTTTTGTGGAGCTTGCGAAACCAAAGTTTATACACTGATCAATGTTTCTTAAAGGCTACTTCTGTCCAATTGAGTACAGACGACGTAGGAGATCCGAGCCGATTTAAACGAGCGGGAAGCAGCGACTTGCCAGGATTGCAGTCTCCCGTTTCTTATCATAACAGCCCCCCTATGACACGTCAACTTGACCAGTCCATCAGCAAATGTTTTGAGCCAAGTTTTCTGTCTTCCGCGAGTTCCCCCCCTCCTCACCGCTTCAGTCCCCCGGCAATTACACTATCAGTCAGTCAGCCCTTGACTGAGCGGATGGACGTCCAATCTTCCACAGGTGGCCCCCACGCCGCACGCACAGCCGTTCTCGCTCCAGCTGGTGCAGCGCGCGCTGGAGGACAGCCTGGCGCCGCTGCAGCGCGCGTTCCATCAGGACGTGCACAACCTGCACCTCGAGCTGCTGCGGCAGTTCCACATACAGCAGGTCAGCACGGCTTTTTAAAATCTGGGTTGTGAAGTCGTCATGATGGCGTTTCCGAAGCCTTTGGGTCAAGGGTTTGGTTGGTTAGAGCGCACGTCCCACCAGGACGTCCACAACCTGCACCTCGAGCTGCTGCGGCAGTTCCACATACAGCAGGTCAGCACCACTTTCGTAGTTGACAGACTTTTGAGCAATTTTGCGGCCCTAATTTGACCGATGTCGGAAACAGGGATTAGCGTTTGCGGTTAAAGCGTGACTTCCCTCCAGAGGCTTGCACAACGTGCACCTTGAGTTCCACATATAGCAGGTCAGCACCTTTTGAGAAACCAGGGTTTTATAGTGTCGATATTTAGGAGTGTAGAACTTGGAGGGTTTGATTTCTGGATGGAAACGTGCCTTCTCTCCAGGGACATGCAAGACCTTGAGCGCGGCTGCTGCGGCAGTTCCTATACAGCACCGCTTTCAAATCCTAGGTTTTCAAAGAATTTCGAGCTTAAAAGCAGGGTTTTAGGGGTTCCGGATTACGGCTTTCATTGAAGCGCGCGTTCCACCGGATTCCACATACAGCAGAATCAGCACCTCTATCAGGATCATAGGGTGTTGACAGATGAAGAAAGTGTAGTTTGTGTGGTTTGAGCGGAGGGGGATGCGGGGTTCGATTGCCCGAGGAATCGGGGCAGCCGAAAGCAACGAATCGTACGTTATCACGTGAAGCGTTACAACAGCTGCAGAAGATGTAATGCATGAACACGAAAAGTGCTGCATACGATTCAGCCTGCCTCCCTTCGCCCGACTTCTCTCGGATATTCATTCAAGCGCTTAACACCATTCCACCTTGGCCAGACAATCAGGATTCTTAGTACAGCTCTCTTGAGCTCTTCGACCATCTTTCTTGGCCTGATACAATGAATCATACGAGTAAGAGTTTCGACTTGTCTCGCTGCAGGGAGAGACGCAAGCACTTGTTGCGTCCATTCTAGAGCGGCAAGCGGCGCTGGAAGAAGAAGTGAAGGCCTTGAGGAAGGAGAACCAGCAACTCAAACACTTCTTTTGAGACTTAACGGTTTGATCTGAGTTGTACATGTGTTGATACGATAAGGGCATTGTCGAACAGACCTTGATGGCTCCCAGTGATGAAGCTATACCTCTACCGAACGTTCATTCTCAGTTCCAACCAGAGTTCTTGCTGCCAGTAATTTGAACCGTCTCGTGACTCCTTTTACCCGCTACGTTCTACACATCTGAGTTTACTTTTGAAATACCTTTACTGTTAAAGTGACCATGTGCACATACAACTTTGCTAAATCAGGCGTATATGCAGTGTGCACTCCCGCCTATGTCATGGCATCAGTCAAGTGCATGAGACTATATTATGCACTAGTGTACGGTTAAAGCTTCAGGGCGGGAGGCTTAAGATCAAGACTTCAATATAGCCCCGGCCTAGTATAAAGAAAAGTATTCAGGCCGGGGTGAAAGCACAGCTAATTGCAGCTTCAGTGTCATTTGTCGGTCCCGGTCCGCAACATACATACCGTACTAACTTTAAAGAGAATGGCCACCTTACTCGGGTTTAATGCCAAGTTAAGGTGTCGGGTCACTTGGCTAACCAGCTCCGATTTTTGGCCCATGAAAGTGTCAAACTAATGTGGGGTCCATTTGTGAGCTCAAACTGACACTTCTTTCTGGGGTTTCAGGATGAACCTTTGTGGGTTAGGGGAGACCGGCCGACAGGAGTTCTGATTAGCGTAGCCAAGAACGGTACTTCAATGCCGTTGGATTGGAAGCTGGACGGTGTCGATCTTTTGAATCTTCGATCTAGGGTGGGGTGCGCTTTGATTAAAGTGACTTCGTGGTCAACGAAGTCAATGGTAAAGGGTTTCAACCAATCAGGGAACGAATAAAATGTGTCATTACCGGGCGTACTCGAGATGATAATAAGGTGTCAAATAAGATCAGCACTTTTGATCTGCAAATTCAGATTAATTTCGATCGACACATGCAACCATCCTCAACCATCGTATCGCGATCTGTCGTATCAGCAGCCTGGCTGCCAAGAAGTTTTCGGATCAATTAATCATTAAGCAAATTGGGGTTTTAGCCTTTTCAGAGCGCGTGTTGACTGGAACAATCTCTCTGACATAGTGCAAGCTTCTCAGAACATTTTCTATTCCGACTTGCGTTAAGGAAAAACAATTAATAAATGCTGATCTTAAAAGTTGGTACGGTACCTACGCGAATCGATCATCATGTGTCCCTGGCATGTGTGACGCGCATATACAATGATGATCGGATACCAGAACGTACGGGTGAGATGGAATTGCGGGCCGGGCAAATATATATGCATATCATGCAGCCCGATCTCAATCTCCTGAGGTTCATAAGTAAGACTTCGAATCTCACCATTGGCATCATGTGATTGATCGCCGTGAGTGACTTGGACGTGGCATTTCATTCTTGTCATGTATGCGCAGATGCGGTCATGGATTATTGTTACGTGAGGCGGCCTTTAGGGCCCGGGCCCGGGGCGGCAGGCCCCCGGCCCCAGATCTATAAACTTGAAAGGTCAAATACAGGGCGAATAGTAGGTACACCAGGCATCAGATCGTTTGTGCAATCAACTGAGCTTTCAAAGAGCGTAGCGCTGCGCTTCATTTTCCAATTTCAATCTGCATTTTTCCGCAATCACATGCACTGAGACCAACAGGCGGAACATGCCAGGACGCATATCTCATACCGAAAGGGGATTTATCAGAGAAGCGATATCACAAACCAAAAATACGTGATCATGCGGAAAATGATAAAAACATTGCACCAAATGAGCGGAAGCCGCGAGAAACTTCGAAATTCTGTAATCAATGACCGTTCAGACTCGGAGCAGCTCGTGTTGGAAGTTCGACGTACAGTAACTGAAGCTAACTGCTCTTGATTGCAGCTCGCAAGCTGTTGGTTTTGGACCCGGCCAAGAGCTATCTAAGGGGCTCGCAACGCTACTGTCCACCTGACGATTCCCCTAACAATCCACTATTCGAATATTAATGATACACTCCCCCAACCGGGGCTGAAGCATTCAACCCAATTTTGCTTCTCATTCTGACTGTCGTATTGCAGTCAATCTAAACTCCGACGAATCTGCTTGCTTGACTAGGCTTTCCAGTCCAGATACTATGGTTCAAGCTCAGATGCTTCCCTTCGGAACGTCAATGAAACTAACGCGGGCAATCTCGGAAAGGCTCATCTAACCCTTTTCAGGCCTTCTCCACATAGCCAACTTCTGCAAAAGTAAAGCACTCGAGCAGTGAGCCAGAGAAGACGAGGGGGTCCTTTGATAACAACAGCAGAACATGCGCACAAGAAAACCAAGCGCGGTCCAATCGCGAGTCACCGAAAGCTGACGTAAGAGATTCTCTCCAACGAGGGAGGCTGAGGAGCCAAACGAAGCGAACGAAATCTTGCAAACGGAGACCGAGTGCGACGGAAGCGGGTTCTGTGTAGTTGTCGTAGCGCTAAGTCATTAGCCATAAGAATCCTTTGATTGACCGGAAAAGTACGGGCGGAATTGGAATGATTACTCGAAGTAATGGAGTCAGCACGAGCACGAAGTCCTCGCCCTTAGCTGAGCCTTCAGGTCAGCCTCAGCTGGCAGGTAGAGGTAGGAGTAAAAAAGTATGGACGGAAGACCGGAAACCTGGAAGAACGGAACAACGGAACAGCGGAAAGCCTCACCCTTAACGGCGCCGGAAGGGGCCTCCAGGTCAGCTTCGGTTGCCAGGTCGTCGTCCTTGTACTTGTACTTGTCGAGTGTACCCGTGCTGGCCTTGTAGACGACGATGCCGATGACGAAAATCCAGTAAATGATGTAAGTGATGACGTGGATGAACGTCGGGTCGCACGTGTAGCCGACCAGGGCCTTGGCCAGCTCGAAGAAGCCTTGGTCCTGCGGAGCATGAGAACTAGGTAAGGGCGAAATCGTAGAAGTTTGGAGAAAGAATCTCAGGGACAGATTACGTGACATTGCTTCAGGCCTCGAATGCATTCAGAAATTGGTGACCAGAAGACCAGGAGATACGTTTCTGCTGTCGCTCAGAAAAGAAGACATGACTGGATTTGGAGCGAGTAAGCAGTTGCACGGTTTGCCGCAAACTATGCGTTCTCTACATACATCCAGATAGTCGCTTTCTGTGAACACTGGCTCTACTCATCCTTGAGCACTTGAAAACTTTTGTACTGACCCGCTGCAAGAAGAAGCGTATCAATGTTCTTTGGCGGATCGTGCGTGTGAGACTGCCACCGTACACTTTCGGGACTACAGACCAAGCAGATTGTCGGAACCAGGGCGTGATCAAAGAGAGCCTCTTACGTCGTTGCTGCAGCAGTCGCAGATGTTCCACAGGGGCTTGTTATGCCACGGAACGCTCTTCTCCTCCTCTTCCATCTCCTCAAGAGCGGACGGCGCCAGGGCCTCCGTTTCCGTCTCCTCCTCCTCCTCTTCTTCCTCTCCGTAGTAGCCAAACGCGCCCGCCTGCGTTAAGAGATGGTTTAGGATGTCATGAACAAACACTTTGGATTAGGTTCGCTTCTGGTACAAATGTCTGTATTTGGATTAGTACGGCTCGAAGGTCGAGGTTTTTTGGGTTAGTGAAGCCTGCCGACTTGAGGGCGTGGAGCTGATGAACATCGCGCTCGCCTCTTTTCCTCTCTGCCGCAGCTGAATATGCTGGTCTGGGAAGAGATGGGAGTCGGGGGCAAACATTGCCCCCAGCAAATCACTGCTTTGGAGCGTCCGGTTGAATATCAAAGGTCAAGCGGCAGATTCAAAGCCACATTGGTCTTCGGTCACGAGTTTTATCGCATGGAATGGGGAAGAACTAGGCAATCATCTGAGTTTGCTCTCATGCCACGGCTTGGTTCAGAAAGTAAGGCGGGTTTTTCTGGACGCAATGGAGCCATGTGTCGCTCCCCTTCTTCTATCTTTGGCAGAAGACCTTGCCCAACTGGTAATAAGGTAAAGACGCTCAGAATACCAGTCTGCTCTTGGGTCTCTCCGAACGAGTAAAAGTACTGTTGAAGCACACCTCTGTCTCATGTATGTCTACTTCTGAGTTGAAGTATTGTTGCAGCACCTCTCGCTCATATGCGGCTACTTCTCAGTGGAAGAGAAATGGTGGGTCAATACAGTCAGAAAAAGGGGTTTCGAAGAGCAGGTTAGACTAACCTCCTGGAATTCGTGCATTCCCGTCATCATGAGACCGGCAGCCAAGAAGAGGAGGATCACGGTCGAGATGACGAAGAACCACTTGAGCTGGACGGGCTTCAACCTGCAAAAGAGTTTGGACGGGTTTCAGCTTGAATCTAGTTTGAGTCTAACTCCGGTCGAAACCAGCTCGTACTGTGTTCGGACTCAAGCTGTAGTGGTTTCGGCAGAGGTTCGGATTGGGTTAGGACTGGGTTGAAACTGGATTCGAACTGGGTTTGGACTTCGTGTGGGCTGAAATTGAACAGTGTCTTGATCCAACCCCAAGATCTTCTGAGCATCCAAAGGGCAAAGTCACAGACGTAGCTTTAAAATATGCGAACAGCAGGACAAAGAGTAACAGCACTGAACTAAAACAAAGAAGAAATTAGTCATGGTATGCACAGACGCAGCACACCAGCCCACACCATCAGGTTGAAGGCCTTTTTGCTCCATTCCTACTCTGTTTTGATTTGAAAAGAGCCGGAAATATGTTGTGCCTTTCAGGTTATGGACTAACTTAGATACTTGCGAGAATGCAGACAGGATGCAGGTGCTATGCTACTTCCCCTCACAAAAGAGACTTCGATCCGCTCAAGCGCACCGAGTTTGACTTACCCGAAGAAGAGGACGTAACCTAGGGAGACTCCCAACAGAGCGCCGACGATTCCTCCCAGGGGGATGGCTTTCCAGGGCGTATCGACCCCCACTCCAGCAAGGAACAAGACGGACTCAATCCCCTCACGAAGAACGGCAGTGAAAGCGATGAGGAACAGGGCGTAGGTGATTGTGAACGCAGTCTTGCCTTCGAGCGCCTGCAAGAAAAAGCAGTCTTTTGAGCATCAAAAGAAGCGGTGTTAAGGAGATGTATGGGGGGGAGAGGATAGCAGAAAATTTGGAAAAACCTCTTGCGATTGTAGGGACTAACAAAAAGGAGCATTGAAAAATGAACTCAGTTACTTTTGCAGGTTCCCCAGACCACGAGATTTGAGGACCAGACTAAAATGTTCAGCTTTACCCAAATAGGAAGCAGCCCTGTCTTCTTGTTAAGAGGCATTGCTACATGTATTCAGACGACAAATGTAAACCCAGAAGCTACACTTTTAAAGTACAGAAAGGCTTCAAAGAGGGACCTTCACTTTCTTCCTCGCAGTCAGGCAAGAAGCAACAGAAACCAGACCACGGTTGAAAACCTCAGTCTGTTACTTTTGACACATGAAAAGCGCAGAAGGAGGATATGCAAAACACGAAGAAACAAACCCCGTACTCTTTCCCTTTACCTCGAGCGCGGACTTCTTGAGCTTGCGGTTCCACTTGTCCTGGAGCGCCATCATCTTGAGCATGCCAAACGCGAGGATTGTGATCATGACCGACGCAATGACGGATATGACGCCCTCAAATATCTGCTCGCCTTTGCCCTCAAAGACCTCGTTATCTGAAGAGTGCGAGCGGAGAGTCAGCTCAGACCTTTTCACATCCCTGCATGTTTGTGCAAGAAATCAATCCGGAATAATCTGAATTGGATCGAACAAAGAGACATTGACCGCCGCTCGTTGACGTCTCAGCGATGCGGTTTCATCCTTGGAGGCACCGAGGATTCTCAGTCCCCTGTGGATGGCTGAGGCGGATCAAACTTGCGATGATAAGGCTGGCGGCAAGCAGGAAAACAGCACATCTAGGCACTGAACCAGCATCATTTCTTCCAGAGGCCTTTGCTTGTGATTCAGATTCTGGTGGAGGGAAGTTGCATGCTGGATGGGTGGCTTGTGCAGCCCTCACCTAGTGTGTAGTAGATAACAATGAAGATGACTGCAAATATGATGGAGAGGAGAAGGCCCAGCCCCGCGCCAAACCATACTGCAACAGAACGAAGTGCGGTTAGCATAATGCAGGGACAGAACGCTGAGAGAGATTAGGTCAAAGTAAGGGACACACCATGGCTTGACGGTGGCAAAGTGTGGCTGCCGGAAGACCGAGATTATTAGGATTCTACCAGACGCATTGGCGGAGACAAACTGGTCAAGACAACAGAATGTTGGGAAAGTTTCAAAGCTCTTTTGGGGTCGCAGAACAAAAGGCGCACCTTGCAGGTTTTTCAAAAGCTTGCAGCTTGAGAGGTACACTGACAATGCTTGAGCAGCGACCAGCTACCCAAAGGTGGGTAACAATTGAGAGTTTTGGTTTCTGGCACTCTTGGCATATGTTGCTCTGGGAGCTCTCTAAGAAAGGCACAGGAAAGGCACTACAAACCATCCACTGCAAGGGAGCTCCACGAGCCACATTGGCGTTGCTCAGGTCATCAGAAGGGAGCGCCTCATTCCAATCACTCTACCACCAGTCAACTTCAGCAGTCAGTTGTCTCTCGTGCATATATCTTCTATGTGATATCAGAAGTTTGCAAATCTGCGTCAGAATGGGTGCCGCCCGCCACCTCACCTTGTTTCTTGAGGTGCGTCTTGCCGGTCTTGGCGACGTATTGCAGCAGCACTGCCAGGATGACGGCGGCCTCCATACACTCCCGGAACATCACAAACATCGCCGTCACGCTGAAGTAATCGTTACCCCCCATCGTGGCAGAACTGCGGCACCGGCGCAAAGGCTGGGAGATAGGGACGGTGAGGAAGAATGAGCTGCAATGTGGGCGTTACGGTTGTGCTTGCTTGTCTGCAGCACTGGAGCGGCGGAGTGGGGGGCGACGCAACTTTGCCACTTTTAGCTACTGCACTTGTTTTGCGCTTTGACAATGGAAATGGCGTGCAGAAATTTGCTTCTCTGAATTGCAACCTTATCCAAATTCGGCGTGGCTGCTGAAGGGGACCTCTCGAACTGGTAGAGAAACAGTTTGCTTCCAGGCTGTCAGACAGAACTCTGCAGCCACCATAAATATAGGTAGCTAGCTGCCGTAGCACGAATGCTGCACAAGCCTTGTCTTCACCAAATGACCAGAATGTGCTGGTCTCTTATCATTTGATAAGCAGGAGTGTGCTCACCCGACATTGACACGAGTGGGCTGTTGACAGACGCACTGCGCTCTCTTGTCCACCTATGGCCACTGCCACTGCCACTGGCAGTGTTCGTGGCGAAACCTAATTGATTTCGCCAATTAGGTTTGCGCATTAGTTTGCGCATATTCGCGCAAACGGAGGAGTTTGCGCAGGCTGGCGAAATTAAGCGCGGCCACGCGGCCGCGCATAGGCGCGCAAGCGTAAAACGCCTGTGTCAATGACATTCTGGGCTCATGTGGCACTTACATTTGACCTTGTATGAGCAGTCTGCCTTCGAGGCGGATGATAGCTAGGTTAGCGTCAGACCATCACCTATTTTGACACCAAGTCATAGGCTGGGGCACCCGCAATCGCATAAGCATACAGATGATTTCGCCAATTTCGCCAATTAGGGTGAATTTGCGCTTCAGCAATTTGTGTTTGCGCATTTCCGAAAACAATTTCGCCACGATCACTATGGCTGAACATGTGCTTTTAGGGTTACCAGTTGTGTACCTTGGGTCCAACCGAAGTAACGCATTCGACGTCTGCAAGTAAAATCTAAGAAATATGCCGTATAGACTGAGGATGTCCTCACCGTATGCATTCACAGCAAGCTTCCTTAAGGCGGCAAGTAGACTTGAAGCTTCAATCGAATATGATATCTGAAAAATATGAAGACATCCTACCGTAGTCTGCCAGTATTTATCTGCTTGTATCATATATGTATATGAGGAACCCCAAACGGCCGCATGGAGCATAGGCGTACTTCCTATAATCATATGGGATTACGCCACCATACATAATCATATGCTACGGCTACAGCATATGACACTTGATTCTTGAATATATTTGGGTATGGTGTCATGGACCCACCTCTACATGTGCCAATTTGTAGGGCTACCGCAGCTCCTGAATCCTTGAGTGTACTTAGATACCTTGGTACCGAAGATACCGGTAACTCTTCTGTGACCTAACGGGCGTGTGACCTAAGATACGAGTAATCCGGGCACTTCAAATTAAATAACCTAACCCAATTAATCACCCGCTCCGCACACCAACCCACCCTAACCACCATACCAACCCCACCCGTCCCCCGGGTGCCTATCTTAGGTCACACGGCTCTTAGGTCACTCGAGAGTTATCGGAGTGTACCGAAGCCTGTAGGTAGGTACCTACTACCAGGGATGCGGACAGGATTTTGCCCCGGGGCGCTTCTGCGCCCCGGGCCTTTGCCCTGGGGCGCTGGCCAGCTTCGCTGGGGCGCAGAAAGTAGTACCGGGCTCCAAATACGCCCGGTTCCCTTATCACGTGCTATATTACGGGCCTGCATGAGACGCCTTATACTCCTCCAGAAGTTGAATTATCTATGGTACTTATTGGATCAAAACGCTACTGACTACACTTCGCTTATACAGGCAGTAGTTGCAAATATGTATAAGAAGATTTTCTCATCTGGCACAAATAGTCAGATAATGATCCGATAAAATGCTGGCAAGTAGGCACTTATAATACTGAGATGCTCATCCAAATCGTCAGCCAGCGCTTATGGCATATGTCATCTCACCTGTAGTATAGCCTGTTCAAATTTTACCACATAAAGTACCGAATATAGTCCATATTCATGCTTAGGCCCAGATTTGCCCGGGGGCGCTTCTGCGCCCCGGCCCTCTGCCCGAGGGCGCAGGATATTTCCCGGGGGCGCTCCGCGCCCCATTCTGCGCCCCGCCAGCACCCCTGCCTACTACCGGTACCTAGTACAAACTTGTACAACCTGATGACAACATTTCTCTCCAGCAGATATGTTTTGTTTAATGACCACATTCTGCAATGGCAACATTCAGTAACGGTCTGACAATATACCGTTACCGAGTGTCTCAACCAATCAGGTGCGCCCATGCTACCGCTAATCGTGTGACTTTCCCGGAATCGACGACTGCAGCGTACGCACAGCACACGCATACGCGGTCGCGGTACGTGTTCGGCAAGGGACTCTAACCCAGCCTTGCCTCCTTAACCGTGCCTTTATTCAGGGTTACAAGGGACGGCGGCGGGCGCGCGCAGGAACTTGCCAGTAACCGCGCTGCAGTCTTGCAATCATGGTCACTACGGTCTACCGTGCTGTTTGGTCCGCTGTTCGCCATTAGAAACAGAATACCTACCTAGTTGCAGAGATAGCCTTTACTGCCGTGATACAGTGACACCATGTCCTGATCCCCGCCCTCGCTGTATGTTTCGCAACAATGTCGAAACTGGAAGCCCTTTGGCATATGTGTACGACGTCGTTTCTGCCTTTACTACGGTAGTGATATAAGTGCTCATGAGAAGAACGGCCCGTGCTCAGTGCTGGATTGAGCTGGACAGCAACGTCCATTTGCGGCCGTGACGCCATCATCATGGCGATTGTGACGCCATCATCTTGATGGGCAGATGCATCTTGAAAGCAGTATAGAAGCCTGATGAATGTTCACGACACACCTACCATACGTCCGTGTTTTGATAACAGCACAAAAGCAGTAGTACTGCAACGTCTCCGTCACTACTCGTTCCCAGATTGCACGTCGGGTTGGCGTAGTGACAGCGCTGCTAGCGTGGTCTATCCCCGATTTGCTGTTGTCTACTTTGGAAGCACTGTCGATCGACTCTGCAAAACGAGCCGTAGGCCATATTCGAAAACTTCTGAAGTTACCAGATCAGTTCCGACATCACCTCAGCTCCTGAGCAATACCGGAGCACTGGCAGTATCCAGGTCGTCTCGTCCTTGAACAACAGTCCTGCATGCAGCTGGCAAAAGGGTCCCTATAGCAGTTAGACAGTTAGACATCTCTAAGGCATCTCAGAAGGGGCTAACGGGCAGTGCTTACAGTTCAAGTATTCTTTTTGTGCAAAATCATGGTACCTAATTTGTACGTACACCAGTGATTCTTCTAAAACCGAAAGGCTGACGGCGGTTCTGATCCATAGGGCATCATGCATAACAAGATGACGCCACTGATCCGGCTGTACTGGCAAGGACTTGCAACGGATTGATTAACGACGTTTATCAATTACAGTTTGTTTGCAAAGCCACATTTAAGATCGTAATATTCTCTGGTCGTCCGAAAGCCGATTGCTAAGTTCGCAGCACGGCATGCATACCGGTCCTTGAAGTGCAGTGTCTCGCCGGCTACAGTGGGATATTCTGTTACTTTCCAGGGAGTGTATGTCTCCATCTGTGACATGGGATCATTCGATCAAATATGTGCGCACATACTAGCAAAAAGTTGCGCCTGAGCGCCTGATTGAAACCGTTCAAGGCTGACAAGATGACATTTCTACAATTCGGATTCGTTTCGTCATGACCCGGCCTTCTAGTTGGGTTGCGGGTGCGTTCAGATATGAAAGTACGAACAGAGCTGGAGTACGGCCTGGATAATCAGCACCAACAGCTATTTCCACTACATGCGGCATTGACATGGTATCACCCAGCGCTGTGCATGTGGGAAGCTAATCTTGGGATCCTTACAAGAATGAAACTGTCAACCATATTTGTATGCAGAGAGCCGATTCGTGTCTTTTTCGGGGAAGTCATCAAACGAGTGTTCTGGGTCCAGATCGGTATGGGGAGACTAGTGAATCTAGCGATGTTGGACGAAGCACCAGAACGGGATTAGCAACCGCTTGTAATCTTAATCCAGCCGTTCTTGCTGGAACTGTGCTTGTTGAAAACAGGGTGATGACGTTGAGCTGACCAACTGCCAGATCCGACTCACGTTTTGAAAGTGGTAACTGGAAGCGTTAGCGCCAATTTTCGCGCTTACAAGCATCATATGTAGCACCCAGATGTCTGATATGCCTAACTCAGCCCACAACTTCCAGACATCAGGAGAAGCTACTTCAACTTTGTCAGCCCAGACTCCTGTCAGATTCAAACTGGGCCCGGCGCCAAACGGTTTGTTTTCGGCTGTCTTTTTGTGAGCAGCCCGTAAAGTAAGCGTACAAACCTTTCTCCCGTTCTGGACTTGAAACTCACCCAGCCTTCGCCCTCGCTTCATTTCTGACGCACTTTGCTTCTTCTCTTTTCCCTTTTCGGCGTCGGTTGTCTAGATTTCAACCTGCCTCTCAATCTCGTTCTGCCCTCCACTTCGAACGAGTTCACCTGGTCCTCTGCAAAGTTCGCGACTCAGTCGCACCGCGCGAATTGCGAGCGTGCTCGGCTACCACGTACTCAGGCTCGTGACTCATCGACTGTACAGAGCCTTAGGTGGCGCAATTTATTCAGGTACCGATGCACGCAAAAGTGGCCGGAAGCTCTTGCTTCCAATCAAACAAAGTTGATTAGCTGATCTGTATTAAGTAACACGTGAAAAGCACGAGGAGCGGCAGTCAAGAGAACCGAACGTCCACGTATTGACCTTCAAGTGAACCAGTACTAGAGTTGAATTTCGTGTGCTGGAACCCGGCGGTCACAATTTGATTTGGGGTCAGACGACAGCTCTTTCTAGTCAATGTCGTCTATCCTTCTGCATGAGTTCAGAAATAAGTAGGCTCAATGGCGTGTTCGCTAACGTCAACGCTACAAATAAAGTACAAGACCCAAAGTCGAACGGGGTCAAGCTTGGTACATGGTCGAATTCCGGCATGGGTCCCAACTCCGCTGCCGCGCTCCGCCACCGCGCTCCGCCACCCGAACGCTCCGCTGCCACCGGGCACACTCCCCTTCCAAAATTCCGCCGTCGACCAGGCCTGGACTCCTACCTGCTTCGCCACGCTCCCGGCGGTTCCGCTGGCTCCGTGCTCCGGTTCCGTTCAGCTCTCGCGCTTGACCTCGTCGCACGACACACGGTCTGCCGTCGAACCGTTCCGCTGCTCGACGGCCTCGGTCCGTTCCGCTGCTGTTGGGCGCCCCGTTCTTTTTGCTGGATCCGTTACAACGCGCGCTTCAATGGCCGTTCGGCTCGCCGGCGGCCCCGTTCCGGTCACCTTCCGCGGCACGCCGGGGGAGCTGCAGCGAGTCCCAGTCACACCTTTCCGCTCATCCGGTGTGCCCTTATCCAGTTCCGGAACGACTTTTCAACTGCTCCGGACCAAGCTGTACCTTCGCCGGGCGCCGTGTTTACATTCTGCTGCGTCCGGGCAGATAATTCCTCCAGACGTTTCCGCCGAAGAACTTGATTCGATCCGTTCCAGCGTGCTCTAGCCGGACGGTTTCACCGCCGGCGCCCCAGCTCCATTCCGCGCGCACGCGCGCGCTCCCTGCGCCTTTTGCTGCAGCGCTCTAAAGGTCGCAATCTTGCGCTCCCTCCCCTCCCAAACACCGCCGTTCCGAGCCCCCCGCTTCTCTGCTGCACACGCCTACGGCTCCCTTTCCGCTGCTCCGTTCTGCCAGCAGCCCGGACTCCTTCAAGTACCTTTAACGCACCCCGATCACTTCGCTCTGCAGTCTGCAGCGTGCCCCGGTTCGGCTGCTTTCAGTGCTGCAGAGCGATCTGATCCGGATGAAGAATGTCTTGGAGTGCGCGCGCGCGCGCTTGTGCCAGTCGAACCTGGTCGGCCGAATTTCAGAAGTGACGATATGCAGCTCGACTATGCACAGGCCACCCCCATCATGATATGGGTACTCCGGCCGCCACCTTGTTGTATGGTGATTGAAAGGTATGCCAGTGAACGGCACCTTCCGGTGTGGTTCTAGGACTGTTCAGCTCACGATAACGAGGCAGGCGTAAAGCTTTTTCCTCTCTGGGGAACGACTGAAGCAATTGCTCAGGCTGACAACAACTCCCGGAGAACAGCCTGAAACGAGAAGTGCAGAGATCCGCAGCCGCGCACTGTCTCTGGCGCCACATCCGTTCGCGAGAACGCCGTCGCCCCCATAAATGAGTTAATCTGCTTACTGGAGTTGTCCGGTTTGACTGAGGATATATTGAGAGGCAGCGCTCTCATTAACGGCGGCCTGATTGGAGCACTATTTTTCTGTGGAGAAATATGCAGGTATGTAACTCAAGCACTCCGATTTAGCATTGAGTAGCTAGACCTGAGTGCATTCGTATGCAGAGTGCAGCATAGCTACTTTGTTATTTTTACTGGTAGACACTTGCAGCTCTCAGCATCTCGTAAAAATCTCAAGCTTGCAGTATCTGGAAGAACATTCGCACGCGAGACACGTCGGTCGATTGATATGCATGATTATGATTATATTATGCAGGAACAAAATTACCGTCAGATCCAAGCGACTCATGGAGCACACAGCGGATTCGTTTCCGCAGAAAGTGCAGTCGAGAAGGACGGTGCCAGGTGGCGGCCAGTCAGTCAGTCGCTGAAGATGAAATGAATTACCTAGCATGGTTTTGCATCCGTTACGGAATTAGTAACAATCACAACCTCGAAACATTCAAAGGTTCTACAACCTACACACAAGACACGACACTGATTCTTGACATGCGCTGGACAGGACTCACAGCCCTTAAATGTATCTGCACGAACTTAGGATTCCACTGCCGAGTTCTTGAGCATGACGACCAATACGGACGGGCTACGCACGTGTTTCCATTCTGCTGAGAAGGCAGTGCACATGACATTGATATAAAGTATCAGACGATGGCCCTTGATAAAAGCAGTTTTCAACTGTCCCACGGCTACTAGTAGGAAGATTGCTGCTGCGAATCTTGTACTTAGACTACGTATGAATAAGCTGACAACCTAACGACCCCCGTATACAGAGCATACTCGCTCCGATGAGAACCGTACGTGAAAGATAGCAAAGACTGCTTTCCGTCTTTCACTGGAAAAGTAGCGTCTAATAGTGTCTATAATCTTACCAACAACTGACTGCATTTTCTCACGTAGCTATACAACAGAACGCTGTCTTAGGGCGGTCAGTACCTTATGCCAGCACCACTATGGGGTGCTTATATTGAAATTCGGATTACACCCCAATAGACTGCTTTGATTTACCTGCCCCCGGCGTATGTTCGCACCGGCCCAATCTATCGCCGTCTTACTCTTATTATCAGATTCCCAGCTTCCGACGCCGTATACATACGAAACAAACCTCGATTTGTCGTCAGACGAGCTCGATTATGCAGAGTCTCCTCCCTTCTTTTCTTGCCACATAACCCCCCAACGTATTATAAACTCACTGCCCCTTTCCTCATCTGTGCCAACCCAACCTTGCACGTACTCTCCCCCCTCACTCCGGGCTGTTTCTTACCCCCCCAAGACCTTCTCACACTGTTTCCCTCCGCGCGCATTACTGCGCGCTTCCGTTCGCCAACTCAGCCTCCGTCTTCCCCTTTCTGGGCGGCCCGATCTTCTGGTCGCCGTGGACGGTCTTGTCGTATCCGTACCACCCGTGCACGGACTCGTCATAAGTGTCGCCCTCGCCCCAGAGGGCATATGCGTCCTCCCCGTGCGCCGCCTCGTCGCCGATCTGCGGGAGAAATTTCGATTCTTTAACTTTCGATTCCGTAAACGTGAAGAGGCCATGGATGTAGCGTCTCGAGAAAGCTGCCCGTTTTTGTGTGGATTGACTTCGACTTGTCTCTCTCAGCAGAAAATTGAGTGACTTGACACTAAACTCTTCTCTGGAAGAGGCAGGCAGCTTCTCCCGAGCAGCCTTGAAAAGGTCATTCTACCGGGCAACACGAAGTAAAAAGCCTCGACCCAAACATTCATGCGTTTCGCACCTAGTCTCACCAGAAGCCCCAAAGCTAAATAACCCCACCCGTTCCTCATCGAAACTTGACCTCACGTTTCGTCACCTTTTACTAGAACTAGAGTTGAGACTTTACCTCCAGATGCTCGTCGCTCATGCGCAGCGGCACGCGGCAGATGATCTTGATGAAGTTCATGATGAGTGACGTCATGATGATGTTCCAGCCGATGATGAAGAGCGCCCCCACGATCTGCTTGCCCACCTGGGTTTGGAAAAGGGTTTGAAAAGGGTTAGAGATACATTTCAGGGCGGGTTACCTGGAAGACCGCTCGCGCGCTGTGCTTGGAGAATGGCTTTCAGATGTATCTTTGAGAAGGCTTTTGAGAAGGTTTGATCATGGATTCCAAGGAGGCCGGAGCGGAGAATGGGTTGAGTAATTCGAAGCCGACGCACGACGAGCAAAGAACCAGCTTCACGCAAATGCTCATCAGACGGTTTGGCAGCTTGCGAGAGTAATCAACAGAACGTCCTGAGAAGCAAGAACGTCAGAACACTTCTGATCGACGGAGGCATCATATCCGATGGACCACAAGGAAAGCAAGCGAACGGTCTGAGCTCAAGGGAGGAGCGAAAAACCGTTCTGCGCGACAACCGGCAGGCTCAGGAGACTGGAGCTCAGAAAGTCACAAGCATATGGGACGGAAAGGACGCTCGCTCACGAAACCTCTGAATGCTGACGTCACCCATCTCCCCGAAGTTCCTTGAATGCGTTTGAACTGAGACGGGGCGGGAATCGCAGCGGCGTCTCGGTTTGTTGAAACGTCAATCAGCTGACAAGCCAGCCTCGTCTGCTGACGTCAATGCCTGGCCGGACCCCCTTTGGATGAGCCTGTGCAACGGCAGCGGCGTCTCGAACTCACCAACCTACCAATTCTACTCACCAAGGCAAAAATCTTGTTTGCTGACGTCAAGTACCTGGCCGATGCTCCCCTGGATGAGCCCATACAACGGCAGCGGCGTCTCGAACTCAAAAACTCACCAACGCGTGCCACTCAGCAAAGAAACAAAGCAAGCCAAAAATCTCCCCTTTGCTGACGTCACGTACCTGGCCGATCCCCCCCTGGATGAGCCCGTACGACGGCAGCGGCGTCTCGAACTCGGCGGCCAGCTTGCGCATGGTGAACACGCCCGCGAGAACGCCCCCCATGACGCCCGCGAGGGCGTGGGTATGAATAATCCCGAGCGTGTCGTCGATGTGGTACAGGAACTTGACCTTCTTCTGGAGTACCATCATGGAGTACCACGGGATGGAGCCGGACAGAATGCCGTTCACAATCGAGGCCCAGCCCGGGATGAAGCCTGCATTTTAGGGGGGGAAGAGTGAGAGGAGGGGCGGGGCCAGTCAGAAATCTGTTTCCAGGGGGTGGAAAAACGTTGGGTTCTGTGGGGGAGAGAGTGGGATACTTTGGGGGTGAGGGTGAGGCATACTGGGAAACGGACACTGTACCACGGAATGGAGCCGGACAGGATGCCATTCACGATAGCCGCCAACCGGGGATGAAGCCTGGGGAAAAAAGTGGCCGTTCTGTTGACTTTATGTGACAGGATAGAGACGTTGAGGAGCAAAACGACTTCAGGGGAAGAAAAGACGGGACGCTACAAGTATCCGAATGAAACTCAAGATCGGGCGCACTTTCGGGAACGTTCTCGTACGTCAAAGCAGGAACCTTTGGCAGCTCGGTCAGCTCCTCCTTCGTGTTTCTCGAGCGGAACATTGTTCACATCAAGCCGCTCTATGCTGACGCCCACATCGAAGTTTCTCCCCACCATTTTCCAGGCGACGGAACGTGGCTTCGAACAAAGCTCTGAACTCGAATCTGTGTGGACGAGACGTCACCTGCTCCAGGTGTGATGACGACGAGTCCCGTGATGATCCCCTGAACGGCACCGATGCAGGACGGCTTGCCAAAGTAGAGAGTGTCACAGAGGGTCCACACCAGCATGCTGGTGGCAGCCGCGATGTTGGTCTGCAGAGGGAAAAGAGTGTCAAGTTCGCACTTGACACCAGATCTCCATGTCCTCACCGTGGCTGTCACAGTCAACGGAAATGCTCTTTGAGTGAATGATGTACAGATTGAGCCTTGAGGCGCGAGGTTCTGAGGGAGTTCCCTCTCCGAGAGGGAGTTGCCAACTCGGGTACTTGCGTCAGCTGCCAATTGGTAATAGCTGGCACGTCTCAGTGTCTGATATAGTGAAGAGAGGCGAAATCAAGTGGGCTTCTGAAGGGATCGAAGCCTTCCACTTTCGTCACCAGGATCTCATCAATGGTCTGCGTGCTAGAAAGCAGTCGTTGATGCTTATTTCGATCTCGATCTCGTTATTTCCAACCGACATGGCAAGAAGAGCTTGAAAAACCACTCAGTGACAACCTACTATCACTCTTGAAGTTCGTCATGGTTTGGCGCAAGACTCCGTTAGGATAGCACAGGGGTGTGGAAGCATATTACCTTTCGAAAATGCATGTTCTGAAAGTATGCATGTTCCTTTCAGAAGATGAAATCTACCTGAAAAAGGGGAGGAATGTTGAAGGCTTCTTGAAGCTCCCTAAGGAGACAAACCTGACGGTTCAGCAACTGACCGCAGTGGAGCTTAGGGAAAGGGGCTTACGTTCAAGACAGCGAGACCCGCATCAACATTTGCGGCGTAGGGCGCACCGCCGTTGAATCCATTCCAGCCGAGCCAGAGCATGCCGGCGCCGGCGAGGGTGAAGATGATGTTGTTGGGGACGAAGCGCTCGCGGTCGCGCAGCAGGCGCGGGCCGAGCTGCAAAATCATGAGGCTGAAGTCAGCATGACGTCATAGCAGGGGTTGGGCTCAGTTGTATGAAATGGAGTCTGATTGTGTCTCAAAGAAAGCACAGGGAGCTGAGAGAAAGGCTGGTGCTTAGTGACGTGAAGGGTCGGCCTCAGGTCATAACAGGCTTTGAGCATCATGAGCAAACAGGTCAGCAGGACCCTGTAGCAAGGACTTGCAACCACAAGGGACTGCCTCCTCTAGATAAAGAGTACTTGAGAAGGGCAGCCGAAAGAGCCTTCGCAGCAGGGAAGTGACCCCCAGAGTTCCTTGCTTGGGACAATGCACTAGGTTTCAGACTGAAAAACCAAGTGGCAGCTGAAGGGTCAGGATACAGGGCAGCTGCGAATGTGCGCCTGCTCATTACAGCTAAGTTTCACAGAAATGTGTCAATACCAACACTCTTAATCTCAAGACCCTTGGCCAAGGGGCCCATCCAGATCAGTATAATAGGGCACCTACCGGAATGTATGTTGACATTCTGGGTTCAGATGGCTAACATCATTACTGGGAGGCATAGAAGGGGCATAGAAGGAGGGGCGCGTGCTATTGTTTACCCGTCAACTTCAGGCGCTATTAGTTCTGTATCTGGGGTGAGGGTCTCTATTGGTCCACTCTCAAGCGGGTACAAGACAATTCAGCAAATCCTACTCTAGGTGGAAGATTCTCGAAAGAGAGAGGGAGTGGCTGCGTGATATGACGACACATTCTTGAATCCCAGTTGCGCATTGTCAACAGGGGTCCCTCAAGCCTCTTAGATATTAGGAACAAAATCAATTGCAGAATAAGACCAGCAGTATGTGACTTTTCTGCAGAAGTACTACAAGCGCACTTGGTTCTTCCTTCACAGTCAGTGAATAAGCTGACCCATATTTATGGATAGAAGCTGAAAATCTGGCATTCAGAAGGGTTCAAACTTGGAGATATGTGTTCTTCAAGAGCGCATCACGACCACTGAGTTTTCCAGCCGGGGTACAAAATCAGCTCACACAACTACGAACAATACGTTACATTCTGCCAAGATTCAATGAAGAATGTAGATCTTATTCAAACTCTCTGCCCAAACCTGGAGTTAGCAGAGGTAGCTAATGTAAGGGGGGGCTTCATCAGCTGGTCAAATTATAAAAGAGCATGCCAGCTAACTCAGTATTCAGAAGGACACAAGCAGATCTTGGTCGACTCTGGATCCGAAGAAGGTCACAGAGTCTCTTCATCACAATGATCATACACAACACCCAGCTGGGAATAATCCACTTTTGGACAACACCAGAACAGGAAGAAGACAGGGGTAGGAAGCAGCCCCCCTCACTTCAAGAAGAAGAAGTTGTTTGTAGCGGGCAAAGTGTTCCTCACCCAGTATGCTGCAACATAGCCGGCAGTCCCAGACGACACGTGGATCACGTAACCCCCCGCAAAGTCCAGGATGCCCCATTGGAAACCCCAACCCCCGCCCCACATCGAAAACGCCCCGACCGTGTAGGAGAACACGTGCCACAGCGGCACGAAGATCATCCACGCAATGAAGTTCATCCGCGCGAGCAGCGACCCCGCGATCAGGACCGGCGTGATGGCCGCAAAGACGAACTGGAAGTAGACGATCGTCGACATCCCGTAGCTCAACTCCAGCTCCGCCTCGTACAAATGCGCCTGCACCGTCAGGAACCCCGCGCCGAGGGCGGTCCCCGGCTTGCCCAGGATCGGCAGCATGTACTGCCCGAAGCTCATACGGTATCCGCACAGCACCCACACGATCAGGATGCACGCGTACGAGTACATGACCATGAACGCGGAGTTGACCGCCCACTTCTTCTTCACGATGCCCCCGTAGAGCATCACGAGCCCGACCATGGTTTGCAGCCCGACGAAGGTGGCGCTCGTGAGCTGCCATGCGTTGTTCCCGGTGTCGAGAAATTCCATTGGCTCCTCCATGATCGCGGTGACGTTGTCACCCATTGTGACGCGTCACTAGCTGAGCTGGCTTGCGCCCAGACGTGGCTGAAGGGTTGCGCGCTTTTGAGGAGCGGAAGTGCAGTAGCTGCGGGTTTGGGCAGAGGGACGAACGCAGCTGGAAAGAGGTTGTCTGCGTGTTGTTACGAAGGAGGAGGCGGTGGGACTGCGAGCTGACCACGTACCAGCTGCGAAATCAGCAAACACAAGTCTGATTCTAACTCCTCCTTGGGTTTCAACATCACAACAAACTTGATCCCAGGTTGCAGCCACTGCAGAACGATAATGTGGCGCTGGTTTTGCGACGGCAGAGTCCAGACCTTGCTTGAAGTTGAAGGAGGCGTGGGGAAGGCATGACGTCTTCGAGTAGGTACGGAGAGTCTTGGATGCCCGCATTTCATCTCCTATGCTCTTCTGTGACTTGCTGTCTGTAGGTAGAAAGTACCGGTAGTAGTCTGTGGTAGCTGCAATTTTAAGGCTTGTTGCTCTCAGTTGAGCACTCTGACCCCGCAGCGCCTGGACGAAAAACTAGGTAGGTACCTGCACTATGTAGCCGTACCTATGATGGGACTTCGAAAGAGCTAGGCCAACTTAATGAAGCATACCGTATGCATACCTAGAATTTCTGAACCTTATCCGATCTTCCACAGTGCACACGCGATGTTTGGGCCGCACACCGTACACAAGTTGTTACCTACAAACCTCCGCATCACACCTGTGTGCACACTTGTGAGCTTGTAAGAATCAGCTCTGCCGCTGCCAGGCCGAAGGTATCATAGCGAGTTTCGGAGGGGTGCCTAGTCTGGGGGATCCCGCCGACCTAGGGATACCACGGGTTCCACGTGAGTGCACGTGGCCTGTGGTGCATGGTACCTACACGCTGGCCCCTGGGCCCCGCTGCTCGACAGCTGTCCGAAAGCTGTGTTCCAGACTACCGATTCTAAACACAGAGCCGTCTGACAGGTTCGAACTTCCGCGTAACTAATGTCTTCACCTGTGTCAGATGTGTCGGAATGTCGTCAACCTGTCGTTCGCGAACTAACCTGAGGTCTTGACCGTAGATTATGTCGACCGGGCATGCCAAGTCAATGTCAACCGTCCGTTGAGAACAGTTCTCTGGAGTCTGGTCCGTTTGAATTTGATTCTGTTCAAAGTTCAAACTTTGAAGCCAGGCTGCACTCAGCGCTGCGATACAGGCGCAAGTTGCATCTGAGTCCTGCGTTCGCGACAGTACCTATACCTACTAGGATTTTAATAGGGGTGCGTTCACTTTGATACAGATACAGGAGCACCGGGCAACTCAGTTATTAACACCCTAACCTAAAACATCACGCACTCCGCACTTTGACCGACGCTAACCCCCTAACTAACCCCACCCGTCCCCCGGGTGCTTATTGAACTTATTGAACGCACCCCTCGGTAAACGCAAAGGATCGCCAGAGTGTGCATGGCCAGCTTGTCGAACTGCGGACTCTCATCGACGGTTTGGAACCTGTAGATGGAAGTTTTGACGGCCCGATGGCGGCTCTTTATCTTGGCTAGTGCTTGCTAGGTACCTGTTCTCCCTTGACTCTGAGACTTGAGAACAGCCTATACCGGTAGTATTGATCTCGTCCAGTGCCAGGCTGCCAGCTGAGCCCAGCTCAGGCTGCTTTTGCTTGCAATGCAAAACACCAGCTACCGTATTGAATTTGAAGACACGGAAGGTTTGCTGAATCATAGCTTCTTCGCAATGTGGCGAAGGCAATGCATGCGGATACCATCTTCAAAAGGAGTACTGAGGTAGCATGATGCTTGGCGCTACGTTTCGCGCCTTCATCCTGGCCCCTGCTCTGGACCCAAAATGAATGAGGATGTTTCTGAATTGAAGGGTTCCGTACTGGATGTTCGGCGAGAAAACTATGGCAAGAGGGGTGAGCAACTGCTTCACTCCTCAAAATCTGGGACACAGCTTGCTTTTGGACGATTGAGCTGTTCTTTGGTAAAAACAAGGAGTGCTGCTCAGTCTTTCTTCCCAAAAAAGGTGGTGCTTGCTGGGAGGGTGCTGCAGAAGGGGTTGATCCAAATCCACAATTTTTATTTTAGAAAGCTGATGCCTTTAAGAAAAAACGCTTGTACGATCTTCTTCACAAGTGCAGGCTGTAGCTTTTATCCACCATCGCAAGCTTTGCAGCAGATTTCAGGATGGCTTTTTCACACACTGAAAGGTAAAACTACACTTCTCCTTGACTCTCTTGCCTGTGCCTTTACTTAAACGATACATACACGGCGAGCGGCTCCAGCGGATAAACGAAGCTCAACTTCTGTGCTGCAGATCATGAGATATTCTCCATCCACGCATACGCCCTGGGCCTCGAGTCCCTCCACGCAATCATCGACCTCCCAAGCTTCACAAACGTGCAAACACTCAGCTTGCACAACAACAACATCGCTCACATTGAGCGCCTGGAAAGCCTCACAAACCTAACTGAGCTCAATCTTTCGTCCAACAATTTGCAAACCATCGAAGGACTTACACGGTTATTCAGCCTTGAAATCCTGAACCTCGCAAGTAACGGGATCCAGAAGATTGAGGGCTTGGAACGGCTAACGGCGCTGCGAAGATTGGTGCTCTCTCACAATCAGATCGCATCCTTGGATGGCCTGTCAGCTTTGCATGGACCGAGGTAAGGTGCTCACGGTTTGTGTGAGATGCTTCTTGCTCTGAGATAACGGGATTCAAAAGTACGCAAATGCATATAAACAGCATCCATTTGGATTGCACTTTTGATCTCTGGTGTTGTAGTTGCAAACAAGTGTAGACGGAAAAAGTATATGTACGACCCCACCCTGCAATGTGGATATAGAGTAATCCTGTCTGCAAGGGAATTGCTCAAGGGGATGTCCTGGGAACCCTCTGATTCAGGGGTTGGTAAAATGCAAGGATTTTCGACACCAATGCCGACATGCATCCAGCTCTCCGTTGCTCTGAATTGGTTAGCCCGTTGCTTGTATAACCAAAAAGGATATGGTCATGCGCGCAAGGCCAGAGGATAATAGAGCATAGGTTCGATCAAGGTCAGAGGAGGGTTATAGTAGGTTCTGGTGCTGCAATCCTGTTCATCTTGGCCTCATTTGCTGATGAGGAAAAAGCTGGTTGCCTTCTCGACTATGGAGAGCTCCATTTTTTACGACCACAATCTCTTAAGCAAACCATAATTCTCAAAAACCTGCAGGTATTCACTAACCAGCCTTGACCTCCGGGATAACCTGGTTGCGTCCCTGTCAGAGGTATGGGTCCTGGCGGGGTTACCCAAGCTGACCACCCTAGTCTTCTCTGCCGGCCACCAGGACAACCCCGTCTGTCACGTTGCGAATTACCGCCAGGCAGTTACCACAGCGATCCCAGGACTCCAGTCTCTAGATGGGGTCCAAATCCAGCCGAGACGAATTAGCGCTGGCTTGACTGCAAACGAGCCCCAGGAAACGGCTGCTTCGCGCCAAAATGTGAACAGGCCTGTGCCGGGAAGACCTATTCACACCCAACTTGGATACAATCTGAACAACCAGCTTCCATACTGGAGGGGCGGAGACGGAACAGCCCCCCCGGGCCTTCCAGCTCAGTCGGAGAGGGCTGCTTCTGGGGCGTTTACATCCACGAGCTTCACGCCCAAAATCGACCACGCGTTGCAGGGGTTCTACAGACGGCAGCAGCAGAGGGGGGGTCCTCGGCAAGGGGAACAAGCGTTGTCTCATTCCCCCCATCAGAACAATTTCCGTCCTTTGAACAACCAGACCCGGAATGTCTTTGACGATGCTTTAGGGGGCCAGGAGAATATACAGGGCGTTGTGAATGCGGGGGGTCAGGAGCAGGGAGAGAGTTTTCACACTGAGGAACATCGGCGGGCTGCAGAGTACGAGGACCGGATCAGGGTGCTGGAGTCGAGGTTGCTGGACTTGGCTCAGAAGGTGGAGAAAGAGGGGGGCGAAAAAGAGAGGGTGGCGAAGAAAGTGTCGGAGGGGGGCTCAGGGGCGGTTGACCTTGACGGTAGATCAGTGCAGGAGCGGAGTTGGAGTCTGCGCCAGAAAGAGGCCGACTTCGACAGCGCTGACCAGGTGGCAGAAGAGGAGCGCATCAGCGGATGGAAGAAACGGAAGGGGGGGGAGGAAGTGGCTGGTGGAAATGCCCCCCCGCAGCACGAAGCACGGCCTCGGACACTCATTCATGGGCATGGGGGCCAGGAGGGGAAGAACAAGATTGTGAACACGGGGACGCAGAGGCTGCTGGCGCTGGTGAATGAGAGGAAGACCAAGAAGGGGGCTATGGGTGCAACGGAGGTGAGCTGGCACTCAATCTGCATTCAGTTCCGGAGTACTACTTACAGAGCTGCACCGCTATTGGCAAAGTGAAGTGGACAGGAGGGGAGTTCAGTAACTGCTATGCAAGACAATTGGACCGGTCAGGTTCCAGAGGATTATGCACCCTTGCATCCAGCAATCTGATCGATGCTGTGAAGCAGCATACATGCTTGTCGTTTTAGCGGCTACTTTCCAAGCCTGATGGCAATAGAAGCATAATCAAAGCATGGCACTGGACCCCAAGGTTCAGTAGCTCAAAAACACTTCGCATACAGGGGGATTCATCTTCAATTTTGGAACCTTGCCCTGTTGAGATAGGCCCGCTGATGAATCTTTGTCCACCGACTTCACTCGATGCAGGGCAGATGTTTTAGGATGATCTGAATGTCCTTCACCCCAGTGGCCTGGGTTTCTTCGAAAACGCAACAGTATTAAATGATGTTGGGAAAGTCTGCCAATTTTACTGAATGATGACCTGGCGACCTGGTTAGGTGCTCTTTTCAGTATATCGTGCTCTCATACTAAAGCGTGTCTCTGCCACTGCAGACTTCGAAGCTCCGAACGGTTCTTCTTGCGGACGAGGCCACCCAAACATCCAACACGGAGGACTTCCGGGTTTCTCGGCTGACTCGAGAGGCAGACGCCCTCCGCAAAGAGCTAGACTCCGTTGCCGACGAGCTGGCGAAACGAGACGCGGCAGACGCGAAGGCAAAAGCGGTTGCAGCTCAGGAACGAGAGGAGCGGGAAAGGGCGTCGAAAGAGGGGGCAGAGAAGCGAGCAGAACTGGAAGAGCTGGTGAAAAAGCTGACAAAGGAAAGTGCAGAGAAGCAGGAGGCGTGGGCGAAGAAGGAGAGCGATCTGCAGGGGACGCTACTGGAGGCGGAGAGGCGCGCTGAGGTGAGGCTAACGTCAGCGGCACGGGCTTGAGAAAATTGTACGATGACGGAGTGCGGTTGATTACGGTGGTGGCTGGTTTGGGTGCCAAGAGAGGTGGTGAGTTGAGCCGGCACTTGCCTTGCCCACTGCAAGGGCTTTTTAGGGGAGGTATCTGATCCTTCTGCGGGACCGGACGAGGAGCCGTAGAATAAGTTGGCCTTGTTTATTGAGCGTCCTTGTCTGTCTGTCGGAGGGTACAGATGAGTCACTCGACTCTGCTTTGCTGTTCAAACATATCAAATCAGCACCGCAAGACTTTGCTTTGCTGACTTCAAGGGAATGCATACAGCGCCCCAACCTTTGAAGAAGAGTCTCTCACTTGATTCGCAGTGGCTTTCATTTGTCGAGGCTTGTCGTGCTTGCCTTGTGTCGGGCTGTCTAGGTTCACTCTTCGTAATGTGTCCTGGAAAAATTCAATCCTATCCGCAGGCAAAAGCTCACAGTCTGGAGGTTGCTCAAGAGTCGCTAGCCGCACTGGAGGCCCAAGCCGTGTCCGCCAAAGCCCGGGCCGTTTCGGACGCCGTCCAAACCCTCCAAAAGGAACTTTCGGACGTCCGAACCGAGAAAGCCAGAGTTGATGCGGACCTGGCAGCCGCTGCGGCGTCGAGAAAAGAGCTGGAGGGAGAACTAGAAAGGGGGAGACGAGAACGGGAGGGTGCGCAGGAGAGGGCGAGGGTTGCAGCGGCGGGGGCGGAGGAGGTGCGGAAGAAGCTGCAGGCGGTGTCAGCGGAAGCAGTGAGTGGGCATCCTCGAGACATTCGTGAAGATTATGAGTCTTCCTTTTCCTTTTCTTTCTTTCTTCAACATCGATTTGAGTTGGATTTCGATTCGAGAAACAATTTGGTGCCCAGGGTTTCGATGAGAGTATACAACCGGGGTGTCGCGCCTGGAGGCTGGGTCAGCACATTGCGGGTGGTCGCTGGACTCCACCTTCAGCCTTGCTTTCGCTTAGCCAGCCAACGACGTGCTTTGGCAGAGCCGAACGCGATTACAGGTTTGTGGAAGCTGTTGAAATCGATAGCGTGCTTTGTGAGCTGCACTGGCACGACCTCAGGCGTTCTGAAGAACCATGCCTATACTTGAGTTCTGTTTTTGAAGTAGCGGGTCAATCTGGCGTTTGAAGAACCCTGCTCGGCGCCGACTCGGTCGCCAAATCACGACTGCTGTCAGTTTCTGCAAAGAGCCGCAGTGTCGGGCAGGGCAAGATTGTGCTGTTCTAAGTCCTGACTTGCACGTTTCACCTTCCACCAACCACTTCCCAAAAACACAGTCGGAATGCTGAAAGACCTCACCGTTTACCGTTTGCTACTCGTTTATTACGTCAGGAGGCGAGCAAAGTCGATAAGGCCGCGTTCCACTGATAACCGACAATTCCGCTAAAGGTGCTGACTTCTGAAAAGACCTCGCTGCACAACGCTTACCACCCGTCTCTGCGTCAAAATGTTCGCAAAAATAAGGGAATGCTTAAAGACCCCACCGTTTACTGGTGACTACCCTTCTTCACTGCAGGAGGCGAGCAAAGTGGGCGAGGCCGCAGCCCGCGACGAGGCGCGGCGCATGGCGGCCGCTCTGGCGCTCTGCCACGAGGACCACCAGATCGCGATCAACCACCTCAAGGAGTAAGGCCAAGTCCGATCCCCTATTAAGCGTCCAGATCGACGGATGTCACCCGTATGTGACGACGACGTCTGTGAGCTGATAGTTAGAATTTGCGACAGCACTTCCCTGCAGGCCTCTGCACCGTCCGGTAGACATGCGTGTCCTCTAATCACTTTCATTCTTGTCTCCGGAGTCATCTCGTAGCTAAGGCTTACGTCTGAGATCGCCAGGTAAAATTCACGCTTTTCCGTCTCTGGCAAGACGCAACTCGCCGTGCAGTTGGAGAACAGTCAACCACAACATCGAAGTGTCAAGTTTGCAATTGCAGTCTGAGGCAGAGAGTCAGGACCACGTACCTACAACTTCGATTCAAATCTGTCAAAGCTGCGACGCATCATTCAAGGCAAGAAACTTCTGCTCAGATTGCTTCGTCCGCACAGGCTGCATTCGCAAGAGGTGCAAAACCTGGTCGAGCGGGAGGCGGCGCACGCACGGGAAAGGGCAGCGCTGGAGTCTGGGCATGCTCAGGCGAAGCGGCAGCTGGAGGGAAGGATCCGAGACCTGGAAGACGAGCTGCGGAACGCCTTGCAAGGTGAGCAATCATCCACACATGATTTTCGCTGCTCAGATCTGGAAACGAGAGATGCACGACCGCCCAAAACCAAGGGTTGTGCGAGCGGGATGTGAGAGACAATCCTCTGTAGCCAATCCCTCTTTTGAGTGTCGCCATTCCTGTCAGAAAATGTTCGGTGTGAAAACTTCTCACCCTGTTTTGCTGACAACCTTCCATTAGAAGGCGTCGGATGTCAGGTTGACTCATTGGACGGAGTCTCGCCAATCGCTTTGTCAAGCTCCCCTGCGTAAAAGCCAAACAGCAAAGGTGTAGATTCATTCTCCTCAAACATCTAAGTCATGAAGAGGGTTGCATGGGAATGGACGGACAGACTCAGCAAACCGCCTCGTGCAAGTGAAGGAATCTGTGCAAGCTTTCCTTAGTAGTCATTGTGCATATCCCTTCTCTGCAGACAACGCCGCTGAGATCCAAAGGCTGCAGGGCTCGCTGGAGCGCGCGGAACTAGAAGCGGCGGAGAACCGACGCTCCCTTCGGGCCTCGCTACAGAAGGTGGGGGTCACCGATCCGTTCGTGGCATACCCCTCGATTCGTGCAGTTTTACAGTCGTAGCTGCCGCCTTCCGGTTGAGATTGCTACATTTGGTACCAAGTGCATCTGCTTGTCTCCTTTCTGTAGATTCAGATTCAATGACCTGCTCAATGGATTGTGTCATTTCTAGTGTTTCCGCAATCTTTCCCGCAGCGTACTTTCTAACGCGGCCTCTATCTCGTCCTCATGGGCTCCAGCCTGACGTCCGGCGTCGCTGACGCAAGCCTTTTCCTGTTCCGCTTCTCAAGGAGTCTCAAGCGGAAGAGCTGGTGGCGGAACTGACGGAAGTCGTGCGGCGCCAGAAAGCCAAGATTGAGGCGCTGCAAAAGGAGCGGGAAGAGGCCGAGCCAAGAAGAGGAGTGAGGCTTCACTTGAAGCAACCGGCCAGAAAACTCAATGCCTACATAGGGCATCCTTTGCTTTTGCATGAGATGTCAAGAAGGGACTAGGACCTGTGTCACCCGCAGCTCGATGTCGTCTGCAAGTACTGCCTTGAAAGCAGCCAGCCTTTCCGAGCATGCCAACGCTACTGTTTGGGTCCGCTTGCCCACCCCAACTCATTCTTCAACATGCTTCCTCCAATTCAGAATACAATAATGTCCCTTCTGCAAGTTGGGTTTCTGCTACAGGAGACGCTCAGGTCTAGGATATCATCTCTACAATGAATCTCACACAAGAAAACGGATATTTCGGGCAAGAGCAACCTCCTGTTGAAGACAGGGCGGGTGTAAAGAAAGTGGAGAAGAGATTGGCCATATTTCGTCCAAGGCTTTAAACAGACTGTCTCATCGAGGACGAGTCCCTGACTTTTTAAATCTGCAGAAGGCGCTTGCAGGAGGTTGCCGTGTTCCGGCGACGAGGAGAAAAATCCTCTGGCGCACGAAGCCGAGCGAATTGCTCTCAGCTAGATCGATGGGATCCTTACCGAGCGCTTTCTCTAGAATTCGAGAGTCCTCGTCGAAACTCTTGATAAGATCTATTCCAGGAGATTGCTACGCCATGACGACGAGTAAAACCCTAGCGGCGCGCAGAACCGAGCTCGGTGACATGCTGCTCTCAGAGGAGTCCAATTAGCTTCTTACCAACGCTCTACTCTACCTTTGGACGTTTCATCCAGCATTGTTCTGAACCTTGCAGGAGGTTGCCGCGCTACGACGTCGAGTAGAAACCCTAGCGACGCGCGAACTCGAGCTCGGCGAGCTGCTGTCCGAAAAGGAAGGCGCTCTCGCGGCAACGGACGCGGCCCTCGAGAAACGGACGTCCGAGAACCGAGAACTAGGCGCGGCGCTCGCAAAGGCGCAGGAGAGCGAAAGGAGGCGAGGCGACGAGGAGGGGCTGCTGAGGCAGCGGCTAGAGCTGGCGGAGGATAAGGTTAAGGTGGGTGCTTTAGTCCTGAGTGTGGCTCCCTGTTTGCGTTGCGATCATGCCAAAAGGAAACAAAACCCGAAGTAAGTTAAGCGGCCAAGTCGAAAACGTGTTTGACAGATGGTCTCTCGGTAAAGTTGCTTTTGTCCGTCAGCAAAGTGTACGTTTTGTTCAGTCTCTTCCCGCTTTTTGCTTGTATACCCTGGAGCTCTGCAGCATCCACTCGTACTGGCATTTATCGTGCGATTAATCCCAAAAAATTTGCGTTCTCTCGGATACCTGTCCTGAATTCGCATCGCTTTTCCTTGACTACCCCGAGGCGGATTCTCGATGCGGAAAGGCGAGATTTTGAGGTTTTTACACCCCGTGTCCTCAGATCAAGGACAAGATGCTCGACAGTCAGAACGCATCCCTGGCCGGCTCGAAGGGTGAGATTGCCCGGCTGAAGACTGCCGTTCGAGAAACCGAGGACGCAGCGGCACGGGCGGCTGCAGAGTGGAAAGAGCGGCTGCGGGACGAAATTGAGCAAGTGAGTGCACACTGACGTCACAATGGATAAAGGGCTAGAGTCACCGATTGCTCGTGTTGAAGCTCGAAATCTTTACGCAGCACTCAATGTAAGCACCGAAGTAGGCTCTAGGTCAAACGCTTTTTTTATACCCTCTCAGCAGCCGAGCTTGATCCAAGCCTCAGAGTAGCTCACCCCCGAGGTTGGCACTCTAAGATACCACGCAGTCGCCGCATTAGCGCATAGGCGGAGATCGATTCGATCATGAAAGGCCAGTCACGAACGCCTGACCTCCTATTCGCCGAAGTTTTTGCAGCTTCTAAGTGTCCCCCCTGTCCTTGCGGGAGCGCGCGCTGAGGGTCGAGCCGGAGGCTCAGATCGTTCGATGGCGCTTTCTCCTGCAATTCTTGCACCGCCAGGATCAGTATTACATTTCCTGCCATTGAGGGACGCCTCCGCTCCTGCAAGCCACGAAAGCCAAAAATCTTTGCATTCGTCAGACGCCCAAGTCTTTGTGCAGGGGCGCGCGCTGAGGGCCGAGCTGGAGGCTCAAGACGCGACGTTAGCGGAGCTGGAGGACAAACTAGAGGCGGAACGTGGGGCCGGGAAGAAGGCGGCCGCCGAGGCGAAGGAGCTGAGAGCGAAGCTGGACGAAAAGGACGGCGTCCTGCGGTGAGCCGCTGAAAGTAATTGCTCCTCGTGCAACTAGATGTGGTGTCACGGCGACACAAGGAACTGATTTACTGCTCGTTTGTCGCCGAGATTTAAATTGCGCGGTAGAGGAGCTGAGAGCGAAATTGGACGGAAAGGACGGCGTCTTGCGGTGAGCCGTCGCCACCAGCGGTGCTCGAACGGAGCGCTCTGCTCCTGGAACTGACAGAATGGATTCGATTGCGGTTGAACGGATTGAAATGCGCTTGTTCGTCGCTGAGTATCAATTCAAGCGGTATAAATTTCGGCGACCGAAGCAATGGCATGTGACTGTTACGTGCGAGAGTGGAATGGATCTCAGGAAGGACTCTTGAATCTCTAGGTTTTGGCCAAAGGTAGAGAAATGCGACAAGCTCATGTCGTTTCGCTGATATTTTGGAAACGAACCATTTCAAGCCGACGAAGTCGTCAAAAACGAAGGCGCCCCTTCACTATGACACTGATAGCTTCGTGCGTTCCTTGGTCATTCGGACCTCGTTTTCAGGTTTGGTGCGACTGCGTGCGATCCTGGACTCCTATGTGAATCAGAGTCGGTGCAGATTGATCAGTATTGGACGCTCCCAGTCTTTTGAGTTTATTTTTGCACTGTGTCCAGATACATTTGATACTCTTTGGGGATTGCATTACTTTATTTGCCTTGATCAGAGCTTCAGTTTTGGGAACACAAATTCGAGATTATTAGTGACGTCATTAGGCCCAGGTTTGTAGAGCGCGTGAGAAACCTGTTTCAAAGTTTGACAGGACGTTTCACTTTGTGAGTCCTCCAGAATACGTAATTAATCTGCAATGTTTGTGGTCATCTTTACACCCTCGTCCCCCTTTTCGTATATAACCTGTATTGTCTGATATTACCTTGGCTCTCCTGGTCAACGCGCTGACGTCACCCTTCTCGTCAGCTTCGTCGAGCAAGAGGTGGACCGCTTGAAGGGCCTGTCCGCCGTCGTGTATCTAACCTACATTTCTGACGTCATTTTGGCACTCCTGGTCAACGCGCTGACGTCACCCCTCTCGCCAGGTTCGTCGAGCAAGAGGTGGACCGCGTGAAGGGCCTGTTCGAGTCCAAGAAGAGGGCGCTCGTGGGGGAGCGCGACAAGGCGAGCGATCGCGCTCGCGTGGCCGAGGGGGCCCTGCGGGAAGCCCTGGAAGCGGCTGAAAAAGAGAAAGGAGCGTTGCGGATGGAGCTTGACGAGCTGCGGTCCGAATCCGTGGTGAGAGTTTGCTCCGTTTAAGCGACTTTTAGCTTCTTTGGCGCTTCTTGATCTGACTTCGGTTTCGATGACAGTTGATCCCCCGTGATAGCCTCTTCACTTAGGGTTTGAAACGTGTCTAAAAACGTCCCTGCCGGATAGATTCTCGGTGCTGCCACCCGGATTCCAGGAACAAAAATCTCTTGGGCATTGGATTGTCTGGTCTTTCGCCAAAATGCTTCTATGCGGCAAGTGCATAGAAACTTAGGATAAACCTTGTTTACGCCTACAGTCTGGCTCATCGTCGTGCTTCAAAGTACTTGCTTCGACCGAAAGGTCTGATAAGCCGCGTATCTATTTGGACCGAAGTAAACCGACTCCGTCCGAACGGTTACAGGCGCTGCGGAAAGCGTCCGCAGCTTCGGACGCAACCCTGGCGCAGGTCCGAAGTCACTGCCAGCAGCGCGTGTCCGAAGTCGAGGAGGAAATGCGCGGCCTGCTGCGCGTAATGGAGCGCCAGAAGGCCAAGTCGGCGGTCAAGGTGCAGCAGCTGAGCACCTTCGTCGAAGAACTCCAGCGGAGTTCCTAAGCATAACCGCTGAGGGTTGTATAACTTATGACGGAGCCGTCCTCGCCGTTTCAATGGTTTCGAACGTTTGCAACGTGGCGTCAATTACATGCCGGGATCTGGTACTTTATAGGCTGTGTGTAATTTGCAAGCTTCTTTCTGTGGATCTCAAGCGGAGCTCCTCGTGGAAGAGGTCGCCGGGGCTGGTAGGTTGCAAAAGAAACGTAGTCTATCTTCGTTCCGTGCACAGATTTAGCTTCCTATAGAAAAGTTGACAAGTAGCGGAACTTGAGGGTTCGAAAGTGTGAACCTGAAGCAACCGGTCTCAGGTATACGAATACGAACCGAACCGACCGACATACTACACGTTTATGAGCCCTGTGTTTGTCTGTTCATCTCTCCCATCTAAGCCGGGCCAGGCTTTGTCGCCTTCGCGCGGCTGACTGTAGCAAGAAAAGCCCCACCGTGTCACACACCATTATCACAGTAACATCCAATTAACTATCACTTGCGTGCACGCATCTTATGTATTAACAAATCAAAACGATGCATACATACATGCCGCAATCCGGATCTCAAAAGTTCAGTATACCAGCCTGGGGCGCGCCGGCCCCCGTGCTTTGGAACATTAAGTTAGCATACGGTAGTTGCCAGTGCATATTTTGATCGCATTGATTCCGGCATTTGGACCGCGTACTAAGCTGCAGTGACGGCATCTGCTTGGGCATCGTGTCAAAACATATGTGCAGTGGCGTCCGGACCTCCGCTTTTCTGAATTTCCTTGGTGGGGCTGGTGGCCGGTTCTCGGAGCTCCGTGGCAAAGAGTCGAGGGGGCTGGTGGCCGGTGCCCGGTTGACGGACCTCTTTCACAGCATTTTATAAGTCACATTTCTGAAAAAGTCCGCGCCTATATATAATGGACTCCGTATACATGTACCTTCCCTCGGCTGCCCCCTGCAAGAAGCCAGGCTGCACACCAACCGAGGTACCGGTCGAGTCGAAGAAGATGGTCAAACGGGGTTTTTTCAAAAAATATATATCAGGATTATTGCCTTATACAGCTCCAGATTGGCGGCCCTGTCGGGCCTGTTCCTTCTAAATGGATTGGTTATGCTTTAAACATATTTTGCATTCCACATCCTCCTATCTGAATCTAATTTCGACTTATTTTCTGTCGGGGCTTGGGCCCCCCTGGTGGCCGGTTTTTGGCATGCCATTTTCTTGGCATCCTTTGCGCGCTCTGTGTGTGCGCGAGCAGCGGCGCGTTATTTATAATGGAAAGCCGTAGAGTTGATCACAAAATAGGCGCTGTACGACGCCGCGAATGAGGGGGCGACCAAAAGACGGGCTTGTAATTACTGTGGTCGCTATAATACCTCTTAAAATCCATCGTTTCTACCCCGCCCGACCTTTTCGTCCATCCTTGTTTTCTGGCCAGGGATTATAAAGAACTGTACGCCTTAGGACACGCTGTCCGTTCGATGATGCTCGGCGCCTTCCCCTGATAATCAGCTCGCTGCTTCTGACACGGATTTCGATACAGTAATATTTCGAATTTTGTCGTCTATCGTGAATTAGTACCTGGTCGGACCTCCTGTCGCAGTCCGTCCGATGAACTTTCACGTGTGTTAAATAAGAAGCTTTGCCGTCGGTTGATATGCCGACCTCGTACTGGAGGTACACTCACCACGGGAGTACATTTGCTGAAGTTGGTGTCAAAAATGCCTAAGACCGGCAGCTCGAGTCCTGACCGTTGCCAAGACCAGATTGTACATCGACGGCTCATCATCTTTCAAACAACTCGATTGAATGGCATGCCGAGTGCAGCACAATGTGCTGCCTTTCTAGTTTTTTCGGAGGTCCGGACGCACTTGCACGTACAGGATGAACAATCTGAGGACACCACGCTCATCAGCTGGAGACGTGGGACTCCTATACCTGGCGATGGTCGCCGGAGCGCGGGTGCCAAACCGCACGGCGGCCCCTGGGAGGCGGCGACGACCTCGACTTACGAGGAATTATACACCTTGCGCACTTGCACGTACAAGTGTTTTGACACGATGCCTTGTGAAGAGGGCGTCAAGAGTCCAGACTTCAACGCGCAATATAGTAGTGGCATGGACACTTCTCTTTAAGTTTTAGGTGGCCCGTGCGCATCGAAGGCATGTACTGGCAGGCGCATTGTTGATGCGGGGTTCGCATCTTCCAATCTGCCTCAGCGAACATTTTGCCTATTCCTTTGGTATATGGTCGCCGAGGCGTTATCAATCATAGGACGCCCTCTTTAAGAGGTTGACTGAAAAGTAAGTACTGTACGGCGGTATATTGGATCACGTCAGCAGGATTGAGTCTGAACCATACCGGTACCTCTCAAATTCAATGTTGACTTAAAGAGGATGTTGCCTAAGGACAGCGCTCGGGGGAACGAACAAAGCTAAAATTAAACTCTAAACCAGTAAATTGATCGAAATGTGGCAACTCCCTTGTCTCCCAAGGGGCTCGTCTCCTAAGGTTTACAACCCGGGGGACGGGTAGGGTTCGTTGGGTGGTTAGGGTGGGCACTGGGGTGCAGAGCGCGTAACTTTGGGTTAGAGGTTTTAGTTGTGTTGCCCGGGGCCTCTGAATCTTAAGAGAGTGTCCCTTAGGAGACAAGCTCTTAGGAAGCAATTTGAAAATTTCAATTGTACCATTACCCTCCGCACCCGGTCCCGTACCCACCCTAACCCCCAAACCAACCCTACCCATCCTCCGGGCACTCTCCTAATAGTCAACATGGCCCTAGCCCCTTAGTCAACATGAAATCGAGGCCGGCCCCTATGATTGAGCGGGCCAAGATTTATGGATTGGTACTCCCCCGTCAATCAATCATCAGCCGGCCTCGGCTGAGCCTCTAATAGACTTCAGCGCGCTAACTTGTGGTGTCACTGCGTCACTGTCATGAGCGTCACTTCTTGAATCCGACCATCCGGGTCTATCCCCCAGCTGCAGCCTCAGCTTGCTCGCTCGACAAGCTCAAGATCACCCCAACGCCTGTTGTTCCAGATCCCGAAGTCTGACGCTGAAACGATACAAGCTGACAAGCAGCCTCTTGAAAGCCCCTTGAAAGAGAGTCAGCTGCGAAGAAAGAGCGCGTCTCTGGATGCTTTCGGCTACAGGTCTCCTTCTTTCTTCCTGCGAGTGAGATCATATAATCGCACTGCCTGCCGAAGGAGGTTGACCTGTAGGGCTCCAGATCCAGGATGGCATCCCCGTTGGCTCTGCTTCTATGGACAGCGATGCTGGCATTGTGTACTGCAAGAGGGGTGAGTACTTCTTCGTTGATGCTGGCGGCATCATGGTCAATGTGGGGGCAGCTGGTCGATTGAGTGCTGGTCTGCAATGAGCAATGTTCTCCAGTCCTGCAAAATTTGAATAGGAATTGTATTCTCATTCAAGGATAACGGAATCATGCTTCAGGAAAGTTGGGTTTGTGTCAGCTCTTGGAAGAACTAGGCTGGACTCTCCAAAGGTCTTTCTAAGGACTGAAAAGCTCCTACCAGAAGGAGCTGATGTTCGTGGTTCACACTGCAGTCTGATTGCCAAGGTGTTCTTGGATCCTGGGATCTGTCGATCAGGCTGAGGGGCTAAATACAGCAATTGCAAACCCGGCTTCATGAGTTTCTAGCCTGCAACTAAATGGCAGAAGTATCCATCTCAGAATTCTTCACCTGGCATTGGCGGAGCTGGAAATCTTGTTTCAATTTGCTTTGCATTGACTACAGATGCTCAACACAGTCTGGCGTCACGGTTTCAACTATTCCTCTCTATTGGTTTAACGTGCACTAAGATTTTGGAGTTCGACATGGAGGCAGGGCACTCCCCTGGGTTTTGTTTACAAATATTCCAGTGTCTAGAATCTCAGGTGCTTTGCCTCTTCATAAGGTGACCTCCATTGATCAAGGAAAAGGATCCTCTGAGACACATAGGACTGCTTCAAGACATAGTCAGCCACAAGGAACTGTCTAGCTATAGCTGAACGGCCACTCACTGTGCTTCATCCCCTGACATTTCCACATTCTTGGAAACTGAAATGCACATGGCACTGTATCCATCCCTGCAGATTGCAGCTGATCTTTCTTCTAGCACGTGCTTGATCTACTCGCCATCCATGAACACGAGCATCGCTGCCAGCCCCTTGACATACTTCAGGACCATCGTCACCTCGGGCCCCACGGCTTATAATTACAGCGTGTTTGGAGCACCTCCAACTGGTATGTACCTCTTTCTTTGAAACGTTCAGGTGATGTGAACGTGGCCCTGTTAGCGACATGGTGCACGAGCTCTAGCTTTCTGCAAAACACTTACCAATCCAAGCCAACCTCAAAACGTGAGCAGCTGCACATTCAATTGGTGAAGTGCTCATATCAATGGCTGTTTTTGGCTCACATATCTTGAAAATGGACAGGAAGAATCAAGAGAGCTGTCAAGAGTAACAAGCCGGACCATCATAGAACTGAAACGCTTTTTTCAAAGCTAAGATGGACTTAGAAGGTAGCCACAAATCGAAGAATGTTCCCAAGGTCCACCAGCTTTAATCAGGCTCGTGATGATTACTCGACTAGCTTTCACAGGATTCAGATTTGAGCAATTGCAGGTCAACTTGGTGAAGCTACCACAGCAGCTGAAGCCCTAAGATTTAGGGCAACTGCCGCAACGTTTGCAGCGCTGCAGGGCGCATTTGTATCCTTGTTGGTAAGTATGGCTTCTAATACGCTTCCGTGTTAGCAGTTGTTGTGCTGTGATTTCCACTGAAAAAATGCGAAAACGAAATCCTGCTAACTTGACATATTTCATCACCCCTTGTGTATTTCTTAAACCATCTTCCTGGAGCAATTTTTCATTTATGGATGTATCTGCTTTCGTGCGATAAGGGGACCAGGCAATGATGATCATTAGGGTTCTTGACATTCTACAATGTGCCATGCTTTCAAGTTTCTTCTACATCGTGCGCAGGGCTCTGGGAATTTCTCTATAGAGCAGTGGAGCGACTTCCAGACCCTCTTACAGTCAAACACTGGCGGTGCTTCCCCACCGTACTCTCTTCCGTTCTGGGAGGATGATACATTCTTTGGCTTCACGAGGAAGTCTGTAGCTGCCCAATACCTGGCCCAAGCTCAGACACTGCCCTTCAATCTGACAGACTCTGACGTCTCCAGTATCCTGGGAAACGAGGTCGGTGCAGCTTCCAAGCCTTGACCATTCAGGTGCTCTAGTTCACCAGCTTCCGGTGGTCTTGATTGCGTCTTAAGGGATCCCTAGGCCTGGAGGCAAGTTATCATGCTGCAAATTCTGGCTTCAAAAGTGCATGCACCATCAATTCTTGGTTGTAATCTTACATTGGTGCTTTGAACTTGGAAGCCACCTCTCTGGTATGGATTCTGTGATTACAGACCCTTGAGAGCGCCTTGCAATCTGGGAGGCTCTTTGTTGAAGACCTCAGCTACCCAAGCGTCCTTCCCTCGGCATTCTTCCGACCAAATCGGACCGCAGTGGGGGTTGTTGCTCTCTTCTTCCTGAATGACCAGGTATGAACATTGCAAGCGCGTATCTTGGCTTCTCTGGAGAGGAAAGAGTCGCACCTACCGTATCCTGCAAATATTTTGCTTTCGACATTGACGACACATTGTGGATGGAACAGTTTAGGCTAAGCTTCGTGTCCATGTAGTCGACTTGATCACCCAGACTTAAATGCATTCATCTCTTCCTTCAGACTCCGGTACGCTTTTCGGCTAGCGTAGCTCTGGTCTGTATAGTAAGCATTCAGAGAGTTTAGAAGGCTGGTCTGAGGATGCTTCAAGCTCTTCGGCGTACTTCGCTTCCCGAGGGAAGCTAACGTTTCGGCTCGAGAACCTGCGGTCGTAATGCCTCTGTTGCTCAAGGTGGAGCTTACGAGTTGTCGTGTTTGATATACGTCCTGATAGCTCTTGGAAAGTGCAGGGAGATTTGCTGCCAATTGCTATTCAAGTAGCAGGATCGGCGGGGATCTGGACTCCCAAGGTTAGTTTGGAGATGCCTTTCCTGAATGAAAATGTCGTCACAATCCAACATAATTCCGAGTGCTTTTGTTAACAGGCTTCGCTATTCGCTCGCCTTCTTTTGATCAAACGTTTCTGCCTTCATTCGGAACGGGTGAAAAATGAGGGTTCTGAAAGTCCAAAGTTGGCGAAGCTACTTCGAAAAAAAGGACTTCTCTCGGTCTTAATTGCACGGTCGACACGATATCAGTAAGCCCCTTTGGAACTAAATAGGGTTTACATAGTAATAGGAGAAGCGCGGCTTGATGAGAGCTATCAGGCTCGATCAACCTCGGCAGGTTGATCACAGAACCTTCTCGTTTCTCTGCAGGATGCTCCATTTGACTGGCTGCTTGCCAAGCTTTATGCCAACACTGCATCCTTCTACCTCGAGCAAACTGATCATTTTGTCAGGACGCACCTCGTTCCCTCCTCAATGCGCATAGCCGCCAGCAAGTGAGAATGCTTCCTTGCGTTTTAAACTTCTCATGCGTTAGTAATCTGGTTGTCTGCAAATTTGGGTCTGGTCTCAAGCAGATTGAAATACTGCTCAACTGATCCTATCTTACAAATCAGGATTGTAAAGTCAAGAGGAAAAGTCCGGCAATTTCTCTAGGCTTTCTCCGATAACTTCCGCTTACGTTCAGACAATTGTTTGCAAGGAAGTGCGCGCTCGAACCCTCACACGCTTCGGAAACTATCTGTCTTTTGGGCCTGCTTTGACGATGCCGCTACTTCGGATATCAACTTCGTATTCTGCTCACCTTTGCAGTCGCTTGTTCACGTCTCATCCGGTCCGCCTTATCGTTGACCACTACACCTCCGGGGACTGGGGTCCTGTTGCTGCGGGTCTCCAGATCGTCTTTCAAGGAAACGGAGGAGATTATTACTGGCCCTACAACCAGGTATGGCAGTTTATCAAAGTTTCGCGTCCGGCTTGAGTCCTCAAAACAACGAACCCTCTCAATTGTCTCGCGAACGATCTGGAAGCCGTTGGTCTCTAGTGATCGGCATGCTGACTGCAATGTCAACCGTCAATGTCCTCCACGCTACGATTTTGGCTCGAGTTATTCTGCAACGTTGACAGGTTTCAATTGAGGTGTGTCGAAGGGTGGGGATAGGATCAGCAAGATCATTCGGGGAGCGACTCTGTAACCGACAGCTTGAGAACGTTCCAACAGGAGCTTGAGCTTCTAGCAGTGGTTCAGGCACTGATTTTTTTGGTCACTCGCAGAACGGCACGTTGGCAATCCTTGGGATGCTCGTCAGGAACTACAATTGGACTACGGATGATCTGGAGCTGAACATAGCTGGTGAGGAGCGAGCCTTCTTCACTCCATCATACTGCAATCGAGTTGCAAATGCCGACTGCGGCTGGAGACAAACCAACTTTGCCAGCGGGCAGGTCACGTGAAACAGGAAAACCGTGTCGACTATCGTGTTCCGTCTGCTCTGATCGTCCATGCAAACACGAGCCTCGTAACACCCTTCTTACGCAATGCAGATCTTGCCTTCTGCTGTTGAATTTTGCTCGAGAAAAAGTGGCTTTCTGGTAAAATGAGGTCGCTACCGAGACGTGTTCCGGAAGAGTCCTTCTGCGATCTGTTCGGGAGGCGCACGGTGCCTACTTATCCCCTCTTTTGTTCCGGAATTCCAAGCCGTCCTACGATGAAAAATTAGAGTCCGTCTTCAAAGCTTCTTGTGAGGCTTTTGATTATCTGGAAAGGTCCTTTGTCATGTAAGACAAGTAAAGGTGGTCCTGTGGTCATCTACCGGAAACTTTCATGATACGTGTTTAACATGGGCTGCTATTCTCTTGCAAGCCCGCGGCCTAACAAGCCTACCAAAGTATCCCTACCTGGACGATTTGCGGAAGCACAACGCGGCAATCAGCAACTTTACGGACGCTTACGTGGGTCTGTACTACCAGAACGATGCAGACGTCCAAATGGACAGAGAGCTTCAGGTAAGAGAATTGTAAGCTCGTCTGCAAGGTCCGACGTAGCACGTCGTAAAAGCTGCCTTTTTTGGATCAAAAAATAGAGGAGATTATTTATCACCTCCGCGTAGTGCGGGTTCTTGAGAATCAAACGAAGTTTATCTCGATGATTGCAACAACCAAAATCGTGATCAACTAGCTGAGGTCCCTACCTTTCTGAACGATGCTGCTGCTGGTCCATTGCTGTGCTGATTATTGCTGTGCACTAACAAAGTAGGCCCCCCAAACGGAATCTGCTCCTGCGATTTGTCTCGTTAGTAAGTGTCATTCGAAGATGGAATACGTGCTTCTTTGCCTCAGGCGTGGGCCCGCGAAATAGCGTCATCAACCCCAGTGAAAGGCTTCCCATCTTCCATCTCTTCTAAGGGCGAGCTTTCAGGTAAGAAGACTTCGCTGAGCACTGCTGGTTGTCAAGTGCAGAATTTCCCGCTTATCTCTTGTCACCCGCTCTCAATCTACTTTCATTCTGCAGGTGCATTAGGCTTTTAGACTTCAAGCGTTCTCTGTCCTCCCGTTGGCCGCAAGGGGATCCGCTACCTGTGCGACGTACCAGTGCATTCCCCTACTCTTCTGCTTCCACTTCCGACTTCCCAAACTCAACTGTTATAAGTTCCAAGCTCCACGAAGGCTTTGCTCAAGCACGAAGTTCCGAACACTTTGCCACCGAAATGCACAGGCTCCGTTCAAGAGAACGTGCACGTGCTCCCGAAGGCGTGAAAACGTCGATAATATAGCCGGCCTGACAGTGTCAAGACCTAAGCGGTTGTCCCTCTGCCAGGTATCTTGACACACTTCATACGTCTCGTGTCCGTGGAGCACCACCTGACCAACACGTACGCTATCTACAATGTTTACACGACGCCTTTTGCAAACCGGTTCATGACGGCGCCGCCTCCCACCTCCAGGGGCACCGTCACCGCTCAGACGATTCTGAAGTACGTGCCGACCAGTCCACAGGATCTGGTGGGACTCTTCGGGACAGCGGCGCCTTACCGGTGAGAATTGACACACTTCCTATCACGCCCTACTTTCTTCAGGGGAAGCGAGTGTTCCTAGTTAGTGAAGGATTCGGATAGAGCACACAGTGCACATGATCTTCGAAAAGAGTGGCGAGGAAACATGGTAGATTTGCCACCTTGATTGGAGCGCGATATCCTCCCGTATTGTTTCAGATGTCACCAGAGTTTTGCATTTTGTTAGCCGCCCCTATAGCTCGATCCTCTCTGCCGATATTGACGGATCTGCCACCGATAATGGAGTCTCTTGTCGTGTTGGTCGGTTGGATCTCGAGCAAACGGTGCTGCAAATCCAGGAAGTGTGATTGTCAGTGATTCAAGCGCCCCATGTAGCTACTCCGCAGTCGAACGACAGGCAGTGACGGGCACGATTTGCAGTCGTTGACGGACACACCTTTCCGTTCCCAGGTCGAATTGAGAGGTGCTCGCTAATAAACCCATGCGCCTGATTTTGCAGTGTCATGCTTGCTCCTGGAGACACCATAATGGGCGCCCTCCAGACGTTCCAGGTCGAGCCGTGTGCGACTGCAGCTGTCGAAGCATACTTGCAAGCACTGGCGGTCATTGAAAGTGACATCAGCGCTAGAGAGGCCAATGCGACGTACCCGTTTCCTCTGGCCAAGCCGAGCATCCTCCCCTACAGGTCCTTCATCTGAGTATTGTCGATAGCGGTCATTTGAATGAGCAGCTTCTTGAACCTCGAAAGCTCCTCGAAAGGTAGAGTACAATGATGTAAATTTCTCAAGTCTGTTAAGAATGTACTGAAGATTCACGGGATATTTAGTCAATGGTCAGGAGATCTACAAGTCGATGACACATTACCGGCTAATTGGTAGGAATATTTCATGGCACGATGAGTATTTAAGAGGAAGAACCACAATATGGATACATTACAGCTGCGGAATGTTCAGTGACAACTCTTGTGGTTCTCAATCAATTTTGATTACGAACGGGCTTGCTCTTTCATCAACATGCGACTCACAGGCTTGTTTGCCTGATCGCGTTTCGATTTTCATTATTGAGCCGGTTTCAGTGGAACTGCCAACTGGTCTGCCCGCATCTAAAAGTTGATGAAAACCTTATGCTAAGAAGGATACGAAGACCAACATTTGAAGACGCTAGTCACAGTGGTATGAGTTGATTGTGCATTAGGAAGACGCAATTAATTATGGTAAAACGGTCCGAAACAGCGACGAAAAAATCCTTTTCGTACTCGCTTGCTTGCTTTACAGTAATGTCCGCTTGCGGACAGGCTTGCTTTCTTTCAAACGTGCACCCGGTACGCAGCGATCGGTTACGTCAATATATCGCTTTCAACATGCGCATGCCTGAACTTTGAGAGCGCTAGCCCAGGCCCGCGTGATTAAGCGGCGCGGGACGCGCGTGTACTCAGGGCGGCCGCGCTGAAACCCTGAGGAGACTGGCGGCCGCGCCACCGACGGCGCCGCGTCGAAGTGATGTACGTGACGCGTGCGGTAACCAGTCGCTCAAACCGGGATTTGCCGCCTTCAGGCTTGTTAAGTAGGCGCAGCTCGGGTCATCACAGTAGTTCTCATACCTTTTTCGGAACCAGGATTGAGAGGCGCAGCTTTGTAAACAAGACGAAACATTGAAAGCTGATGGCGGAGTCCCTTGAGAGCAGCCCCTTTGATGTGCTCGATTTTGAGCTTCTGGATTGCATCTTGCAGAAAGCTCTGGCAGAAAGCGGATCTAGATGGCAGGAGTTGGCACAGGTGAACAAACTGTTCAGGGAGTCTACATATCGCTGCAGCAATACACTGGTGGTTCGCAGCTCCAGGGAAGAAAGCACTAGAGCAGCAGGACAGGCAGCAGATGTTGCAACAGTGTCTGGTGACCAAGGCGATGCAGAAGTGGAAACGCTTCTCAAGGACGTCAGCTTGAGACCGGGGCTCTCAAAGCTGGTGATAGAGGATGGAGCAGCGAAAGACCTCTGGCCAGCTCTCACCTGTCTCCCTTGGACCAGCGTGGCTTTCCATCCAAGTGACATCTTGGAGGCTTTTGTGTTCCTTTCCGGATGCCAATCTTTCTCTGAAAAGGCTAGACCTGACGCTGAAAGAGTATCTCCAGCGGGAGTTGTGTAACGACACTAAGCGCATCGTGACAGACTTCCCTCACTTGGAAAGTCTGACACTTGGCATTCGCGAAGGACCGAGCTACTCAGATCAACGTCCCCAGGAAGCGGATGTGGGTGTAGCGAACAGCCTTAGCGAGCTGAAGTTTTCCCGCTCCTTCTTTTCCAACTGGTGGGGAGGTTTTGAGGCCCTGTCAACTTGCCTCACGGCCCTCGAGAGTCTCAGCTTCCAGTGCTACGACCCGCGTCTAAGGCCGCCTCCTCCTGACATGAAAAGCTTTTGTTCCAAGTTTCAGCATCTTCGAAGGATCCATCTGGATGTGTGGACCTCCAATCCGCCACAGCTGCTGCTTGAAAGCCTGACAGAGCACTGTTGCCAACTGCGGGACATTCAACTATATATTCGTCCAGAACATTTTGAAAATCGTACGCAACGGGGAGAAATGCTTCGGATCTCAACGCTTGTTTTGAACTGTCCGAATCTGGAGCGGCTTGTCATCAGTTGCCGGGTGGAGTTAAATATCCAGACATGCGCAGACCTTGTCCATCAGATTGGACTAGCAGCAAAAAGGGACACGGTGCATTGGATATTTCGGAAGACACTCGAGACGAGAATTATCATTCTCAGAGACAGCACCGCGGAAGCAGAGTCTTGCTTATTGGAGGAGTTTGCAGAGTTCCGCTGTATCATTCCGCTATTCTCGCCCTGGTGCTGGATGCGTCGGAACGATCCCCGTTTCAATGACTGCTTGTTAGGCAAGGAAGCAGATGTTGAAAGCTGGTGCAACTTATTTTTGAACGGTGCCTGATTGTACTATTGAACGCTGCTTTTGGCAGAATGGACCATATCAATATATAGTAAGCTGTTTCACTGGTACGGTATGTAGAGAAAGGTCCCGCCGGTGCCTCGGTTGCAGAAGCTCGGGTTAGTGGTGAGAGGGCTATTCTTGTAGAGGTAGACTGGCCCGTGGAAGTTGAATGTGTTCTAAATCTGCCAATCAAAGATAAGCGTTTCTGAATGACTCCTCTCGGCAGCTACTAGTCTGCACGGAAGAGTAGACAGTAATGGCATATCAAAAACCGCGTCAATGCATATGCAGTCAGTACGTGAGGCGTTTTAAAGGTGTCGGATCGATTAAACAGCTCCAAATGAGAGCGACTCTCATCATGTGCACATGCGAGCTTTAATGCAAACGTACTAACCTCCGACATTCTCGAGTCCAGTTGACCATTGAAGGTCCAATGTGCAGCCTCGTCTGACCTTACATCGGTATCTTATGCAGTTGCGAGTATGGTCCATTCATAACGTTCAACCGGCGGCAGAAACCCTATTATGCAATCCACTTGTCGCTAGTTAGCCACAGTAGCACGTGGAATCATCATGGGCCTGGCCGCCGGGCGACGCACTGAAGCTGAGCTGCCGGCCAGCTTCGCCTCATTCGCATCTCAATGGCCACTAACGTCTACCATATGATGTACGGATGCCGTGCGGCCAGCTCGTGATCGTCACCTCCGGCAGGCATACTGATATACCGTTTTTCATACTTGAATAGGACGGTCATGCACTGACTCTGATGATTGCTTCGCATTCATGAGAGGTGCATGCCAAATTCAGCTAGTTTAATCGCAACTTCTGCACCACGATTCAGGCGCCTCTCCGGACGTAGTAGTCCATTGAACTCTCTGCAGTTACTATAGAGTCAGTCAGTGACCAGCCGGGCAGCATGATCGAGTTAGACTCAACTCTATGCATCATGCATGGACTACCGGGCCAATCTAATGTTCAACTTGAAAGAGCCGGCAAAGTCAATCTGTAGCATGAGGATCAAACTCAGATCATTCAAGCACATCTGGGACCGTCCTCGCACGAAACCAACCAAGTATATGCCCATGGATATGAAGTTGCAAACTTGAAATGACTTAAGCGGCACAACGCTAGGTCTCTCTGCCATCGACCTGCATGAGATTCTCACATCTTTTTTCGGATTGTAAGGCTCCCCCAGAGGTCCCCGTAGCATTGAGATCAATTCAAAGAAAGCTTGGCCTGTACGGCAAGCGTTGCGGATCCGTTCTCGAAACGAGTCTGCCGGGCTTTCGCTATCGCTGCTCGACATCTCAAGGGACTCTGCTTCCGACCAAGCGTTTCGACTGCACGTCTTCTGCTTCCAACTTTCTACCTCGCTGCGTACTCTCAACCCACGCCAGCACTCGACGAATCGCTTCTTCCTTGTTGAAAATCCTGCAGCAAGGTCAACATCTCTTCACTCTAAGTGACTGATACCAAGAACGAGCAAATGGAGTTCGAAGGAGAGGGTGCCCGACAGGAAACGCACATCCGGACCTGAAAGCAGGGTCATGAGCGAAAACAAGCGAACGCAAATCAGTCAACGATCATTTAGAAACTCGAAGCTTCGTAGGGGTTACGATGCGGTGGTGCGGAGATGAGCGTTTTGAGCGGATCCTTGAGATGAGAAAAAGATGCTCGAAGCAGACGGAAACGACGACAAATTCAAAAGAGCGAAACCGGGAACGGGACGTGCACGGTGACGTGGCTACAGCAAAACCCTTGTTGGCGCATCCACTGAGCTGCTGATCCATTCCAAAAAGACTTGGTGCGACCCGGGCGGACGGTTCCTTTAGCAACAGGAACGGATTACAGCAAACAGAGGAACGGAAGCGTCTCGATTCCGAGTGCTCCTGCGACGTCCTCAACGATACGATTGGGACACCTACGTCACCAACGTTGGCATTGCGGCAGCAACCGCGAAACAGGCAATCCAAGGATGCATTAGATTGATCTGACACAAACTGTTTGAAGCCTTCCTCGCGGAGCCACTCGTGGGCAACTTTTGCTGAGAATCCGATTCACGAAGATTGTATTCAAGCCGACGCCTTTGAGCTTGTGAAGCAAAAGATCCTCGATTGAACGCAAGAACCACCGCCACGTCCATCGAAAGCAGCAACGATTCTTGGGACAATTTGGAGTCTCGATCAACCAGAAGCCCACCCAAGAGTGGAAGACTGAACGGTGAAGTACAGAAGACCGCAATCGACTCACTTTCTTTCGCTCTTGTACGTTTTCAACTCGCGCTCTTGCTCCCTGCTCAGCCAGCTGTCGGGAATCAGTCCCTTCATCGCGTCGAGACTGCTGCTTTCGGCGGCCAGCTCCGTACTGACTCTATCCGCGAGCTCGGCCGTCGATCTCGAGGCGTCGAGCCACAGGAAAGAGCCCTCGGAGCGGAACCACGTCAGCTGGCGCTTCGCGTACCTCCTGCGAGCGGAAAAGGAGCGGAATGAGCGCGGAATGAGGGCGGAATGAGGAGGCAGATGGGGCGGAAGACGAAGTAAGCAAGCGGAATGAGCATCTAGACGCCTTGAGAGGAGTCAAGATGTATGGATTTCCAAAGGACTGGAAGTGTGAAGAAGGTGACAAGCACACAAAGGGATAAAATTAGGACAGAGGGGGACGTAGTGACAACATGGAGCGGCGGGCGTTTGGTGGTGCAAAGAGGTAGAACCGGTGTTTTGAGAAAGGTTTAGCGTTTGCGAAAGGGACACTCTAGCGGGTTCGCAGCACGAAAGAAAAACAAATATCTGGATAACCTAGAGCCGATCGTATCCCGTTCACAAGAGCCCCAAGTAAATCACAGCTTTCCCCGCACCCTTACCGCGACGCCTGCTGAATCTCGTCCAGGAATCGCAGGAACCGCTCCCTGCCGCCCCCCTCTCCCTTTCGGCACTCCTCCAGATACTCCAGCGCCTGCCGATACCCTATGGCCCGCGACGGCATGCACGTGTCCGCGCGTATGCCCGTGTCCAAAAGCTGCGACGCCTCCTCTAAAAGTCCGCCCTTCACCATCTGCTCGCACCTCTCGTCGATTTTCCTATAGAGTTCCCGCCGGGGGCCGAACAGGAAGTAGCACCGGAAGTCGTAGTCGAGCTCGCGGCCGCTCGGGGCGGGGGTTTTGGGGTTTTGGGTTAGCGACGCTACTGGGTTTCCGGGGGTTTGCGCGGAAGGGGTTTGGGTTACCGAGGCTACCAGGGTTTCGTTCTCGGAGGGGTTTTCGGGAGTTTGTGTGGAAGGGGTTTGGGTTAGCGAGGTCGCAAGAGTTTCGTCGTCGGAGGGGGTTTCGTTTAGAGGGCTTACTGGGCCGTCTTCGGGTGAATCTTGCGCGTGAAAGCTTGCAGAAGACGTGGAGGCAGACAAAAAGGGTTCTGAGGGATGACTTTGAAGGGAGGTGCTTCCGTTTTGGGGCTCATCTGCCGTTGGATTCTTGGGATCTGGGATGTCGAGGTTTGCGTTCTCGTTTCTGTCATGACCAGAAGCACCTGTTGATGCAAATAAATAGAAAGCACACGTCAAAGCAGTCTTTGCAAGAGGTTTCAATCTGGAAGGCCGTTTCTGGCGTTTGAGCGGCATGCTGGCTTTCAACGCAGATGGATGAGTCCATAAGTTCAGAGTCTTCATCCAGGTCGCCCAAGATTCGTAAGGCTCTAGGATGAGTCTGACACAACAGCTTGTCTGGACCTCCTTTGTACATCGAAATTGCTCCAGGGTTCAAGCAGATGGAGCTCTTTCTGTAGTTCAGCGAGAGACAAGCAGTAGTACCAGTACCAGATTTTGGATCATGCCCCAGCGTTTCAGAATAAAGTCCACACCCTGGAAGGATCGGATACGTACCCTTTAAATCTGGCTCCGAATCCGTGATGCCATTAGACGGTACCACCCCAGCGCGCTTCCGCTTCGCCTTCTTGGACGGCGGCTGGTGCGGCGCCTTGACGAAGTTGAGCTGGAACTCGGACCTGGGCTTCCCGGACGCCTGCAGACGTCAGCAGGATTGAGTCTGGGTGGGACCTCACACGACGTAAGCAGAGAGTTCGTGAGTGCCCTCAGTCTTTGCATTGCTCATGCGGCGTTTTGACGACTCTGAGCTGGAGTCTGGACCTGGGCTTCCCCGGACGCCTGCCGGAAAGACGTGGGCGAACGTCAGCAGGACGTCATTCAATCAGGGCGTGACGTCATGCAAACAGAGTGATTGTGGTTGCTTTGGTCGGCTCAGCAGGAGGGTTCAGGCAGCGCCAGTAGCCCTGAATAATTAGTGAGTGCAGAGTTTGAGTGGAGAGCATCCACCAAGAAAGAAAACCAAAAGTCACCTGAAGAATTGCAACTAGCTGCCTCAGCCGCCAAAACATCGAAGAGAGAAGAAAATCGAAGAGAGAGCTGAGCACTTGCTTTGCCAAGGAGAGATACGTTTTTTCTCGCCAGGCGAAGCGAGATGCAGCGCTCTCCTCCCTCAAGGACTCCAGACCGATGATGAACATTGGATGCAGGCTGTACGAATGGAAGTCAAAGAACGATCACAAACCCCTCACTTGGGGTCCTTCGAGCACACGCCTCATTGCGGAACAACGATAAATCAAAGAGCTGGCCAGCGGAAAAACGAAAAAGAATAAGTACTCCGGTCTCACCAGGACAATTTCGAGCGCGCGCCTCATTCTATACCAGTCGTTGGGCGCCAGTTCCGCCCCCGTCTGCGGATCGCCGGATTCTGTCAGGTACGCGACGGCCGCTTGCCAGCCGTCCGATTGTTGCTGAAACACTTGAATTCTGGTCTCAATTTCGGCGACCAGCTCGGGGGAGGCCTTTGGCGTCTCGGGCGTGCCGTGGATAAACCTGCAGGGTTTGTAGTGGTCCCTTAATCAGGGTTGAACATCTTACATGGACGTTCATTTTGATCATGACCAAAATGGCGTCACTTGATGGTGAGTTGCAAAATGAATCGAAAAAAGCCGCCTTCATTCTGCCACAACTTCTGACTCAAGGATCTTTTTGCGACGAAACGAAAGGCGCCGAAAAGACGCTTTGATGGAGAAGAACGGAAACGGCTACCAAAGCCTCTCCGAATTCCTCGACCAAGCTGTCCAAGCAGAAACTTGCGACTGTGCTTCGCTTTGTTCCAAGCATAATGACCAGTTTTCTGACTATGTTGTTGCTTCTGAAACATATGTACCCAATGAAGGTCCTGAAAAAGCCAAAATAGAGACTGAAGTTCGAGCTTAGTACAACATTTTGGTGGTGAGCGGTCCTTCCGGCGCTCATGTCGAGGAGAGTGCAAAAAGTCCGCTCCATTATGTACACTAGCAGTGTGAGAGCACCCACTGAAGGTTCCGTACATCGCAACAAGAAAGATGTATTTGGGCTTCGTAATCCTCGTCAAAGTTCCCAGAAGGTCGCAAGCTTTCTGCTCAATCAACATCGTTAGACGTTGTTCGTAACTGCCCTTTCCCTTGGGCGAGGTATCTCCACTTGAAAGCGGGTCGCAGCAAGCAAGCCGTTGTATCTCACTCGTCAGGATCCACCTTGCGGGAATACTTTCTGCTACTCTTAATCGAAGCAACAGCTATGCACATCATTATGTCGACTCTCACATAAAGCAGGAAGATAAAGGAACTCAATTGAAAGCCCTGGGTGCACCGAAAGGAGCCTTCACACTCCCCTTATTTCTTTTTGTCGTGGAGAATGGCGACGAAAGGAAGGAATGGGGATGCGGAGTGGTTCATGAGGGGTTGAAGAAGCTTGGAAAACAGCTTCGAAGATCCCGAGCGATGACCCAGTTGAGAGCCCGGCTCTCAGTGGCATGCATGTCGTCATAGCCTGATGCAATCATGTCATATCTAAAAACAGAGTAGGAGGTGAAAGCGCTCCCGAATCTCACCGCACAAAGCGTGCTTCATGTGGTAACAATGGCTTAGGATCAAAAAGAACGTCCAGAAGTATAATTCTGGTCTGTGGGTCCTAACAAGAGAACCGGTCGAAGCATGGACCTCTGAAGCGGGCATCCAGTAAGATGAGCAGATTCGAAGACAAGGACCCGACATTGAAACGGCCGAAAGACCGAGTGTCAGATTCGACTTTCGGTACGAACCAAAATTCTCAACGTTGCAAGGAACGAAGGCAAGCTTGGAACAAGACACACTCACTAGCTTCAGCCAAGGACTAATTCAAGAGGAAGGACCTGAAAAACAGCTACTTTCTACATTAGCGGACTTGGCTCCGCAAGAACCGTTCGCACTACTGCTGGAAAAGTCCTCTACAGGACTAAGTACTGTCTGTTTTTCCGTTGAGTAGATCAGAGTTCTAGCTGAGCAGACTCTTCAGGCATCCCATCCAGCGCTTTTGCTAGAGAAGACCTTCTAACATTGGGGAACTAGAAAGAAACTCTTGACTCATAAAATTCATTGCCAGCAAAGAAGGCACAGTGGCCGGCGTATCGAGCAGCCCTGACGTCGACGAGTCGAACACGCCAGCCGAGACACTGATCAATAGTCATGCTAGTTTCCTGACGATGAAAGAAAGGTTTCACACAAGAAGAAGCAAAGAGGCGTTAAAGACGCGCCAGCTTTGAAAGACAAGTAGAGGCCCCTGCAGCAGTTGGCTAGAAACGAGTAGCAGGTGGAGCAACGACACATTGAAGAGATAGGCTTTTGTGCAACGGGATATACTTTCAGCATAGGACACCGCACCATTGAACCAGACTTTGATCAAGCCCAATTGAAGGGCCTGTGTGACGCAAGCAGATACCCAGTTTAACCACTAACTAAGCGCCCTAATTTAAAAGCAGCTCACCTTCCCCTTATCCAAAGTCTTCCTAGCATTCGCCGAGCTGCGCCCCACCGCCCGCTTACCCAACCAATAAGAAACTTATGTAAATGTAAGTCCAACCAACAAGAAATTCTGTACATGTCAAGTAACATACGCCACACCAGAGGTCGGACACAAGAAGGGTCAACTTAACCCTGGCTCATTAGCGGCTGTCAGAACCCCGTTGCCAAGGAGACCACCGAAAAAACTCGTCACAACACCGTGGTGATTTACCAGGTCTACCATAACTCGACTAACCCGGTTCTCAAACCCAGCTAGGAAGCAATTTCAGCGGCTGATTGGCCTAAGTGAAGCCTTGTCCTACAAAGAGCGGCCCCTTCCGACACGCCGATCGTCCTCAATGACCGCTGGCGCATCCTGACCTGCCCGTGACCAGACCCTAACCGAGCATGGTAGCAAAAACTTACCATCGCAGGTAAAGCCCCGTTCCTCCAACGACCATCGGGAGCTTTCCTAACGCCAGTACCTCCTCAGTGGCTGAATTGCCCTTAACCAGACCCAAAGCAAGCTCGGTTAGCAACAGGTTAGCCCCAAGACTTACCATCACAGGTATAAGTCGGTTTCGCCAACCACCACCGGGAGCTTTCTTAGTGCCAGTACTTCCTCAGTGGCTGCACTTGCATCACGGCCTGCCCTTAACCAGACCTTAACCAAGGTTGGTTAGCATCGAGTTAGCCCCAAAACTTACCATCGCAGGTGGAACCCATTTCCGCCAACCACCACCGGGAGCTTTTCCCGCGCCAGTACTTCCTCAGTGGCTGCTCTTGCATCCTAACCAGCCCTTAATCGGAGTCTAACTAAACGTGGTTAGAAACAGGTTTGTCCTACTTACCATCGCAGGTATAACCCAGTTCCGCCAACGACCACCGGGAGCTTTCCCCGCGCCAGTACTTCCTCGGTGGCTCTCCTCGCATCCTGGTAGAAGTCTCCGGCCGTGTACTCTTCGCTTGGCTCCTTGATGTCGAGCAAATGGTGGGGGATCCCCCCGCGCTCGGAGGTGGGGGTCTTGGCGCTCCCGACGTCCAAGCCTCGGTAGACCTGTGGAGTGGAAAGAGTTCGAAACTCTGATAGAGCACGGGGGGTTTCTTCCGTGCTTAGCATAGTAGAATAATAGTGAAACTCGGGCTTTTAAGAGTGCCAAATAGAGGCACACGAACTCAGAGAAGTAGGGGGAGCGTTCTGGGAGTGGTCAGAAGGGTCCTCAGCTTTGCTGACGAATACGTCTTGGACTGGCTTATTAGAGTCTGTGCCTGAGCCTTCTCAAGATCACATAAGTCAGGAACTATGGTTTACAGATATCTCCCCGAAGCTGGGATTCAGACATAGTGCCCCATATTAAGACCTTTAGAAGGCCTGCAATTCTTGAAATAGCTGGCTCTTGCCGTCTATAAAAGTGATCTTCTGGTCTCCTCATTGCAAGGATGAAACTCTATGTCGCAGGATCAATGGGCAGAGCCAAGTGCCTGATAATGGAATCCTTCCTAGCAAAAAGTAGCCACTCTGATTCAGCGACTTGGTACCATGAAAGACACACTCGGCGTTGCCAGATTGACCTTCCTGTACGTGATTAGCGGCTTACTGCTGCCCCAAATGCTTCTGACATGCACCCCACTCGCTGGCGGCCATCACATCTTTCTACTCAGGTGGCTGTTTTGACATGTGCGATTGCCCTGTTAGCTGTGACTACTATTCTAAGTCAACAGACATCCGGATTTGAAAAGGGTGGTGCATAGTTAGTGCCAGCGAACGTGTGCACTCTGCAATGATGATGGAGACGGAATATAAGAGAACCATAAACAGACAACCTGGAAACTATCACCCCGTCCAGCTTTCATGATAGGTGGTGGTGTGATTTGATGAGTCCAAGCACGTGCATCGGTGCATCTTCAGCACATGCTCACACAGCTTGTGCCGAGTTCCTAATTCCACCATCGCCTTCCTTCATTTCCCCAGACAACGAAGCAACGGGACTCAGCATTGCAACCTTGAAAGGCACATACCAAACCCTAACTTCGGCCCCACCTGGACTGAGTCACAGCTGATGATCTCCCCTCCCAACCGCTGCGCCAACTCCAGCGCCAGGGCAGACTTTCCAACTGCTGTGGGGCCTGAAATCACTAGCACTTTAGACTTTGCCACCGCTCTAGTTTGAGTGCCCCTCCTCACATCACTTCTGCTGGTGCTCAAATCAGACGTGCCTGCAAGCTGCTGAAACATGACACACTTTCTGTAGTGGCGGCTCTGCCTAGGAGGACAATGGGTTTGCTTAAAGCCCTGGCAGGAGCTGCGGCGAAGGGCGCTCAGGATGGCTGACATTGCACGAAGCCTTCCAATCTCAAAGCACAATCTAGTCGATTTTGAACCTCGTATATGTGAATGACAGCGCCTCCTAGCTCTCCTTGTGAAACGCTGCGTTGCTGAGCGGAGCTGGAGCAGAATCAAGGATATGATGCAGGGAGGCGCAAGACGGCTGGCAAGCGCGCGGCCCCGCTAAAGCGGCCGCGGCGCGGCGCCCCCTAGAAGCCCGGCCGTCCGATGAGGGTGGGGTTCAAAGATGGACGGTAGGCATGGAAGACTGAGCAGACTGAGCGGCTCGTCATCATAAGCAGCGAACCAAGGCCGCATGTGGAGTTACCTGGTGACAACCCTGGGCCCGGGGCCTGAGTGCCCCATGCGAGCATTCAGATACCTACGCAATCAATTTCTTGGCTTCACATGACTCGATTTCAACGGCGGTTTTTCCCTGTAGAAGCAAGTCGGCAGCTCTCCGGCAGCTATTAGGCAGTAGAGCATTCGAGGAAAGCCGGGAAACTTGAAAAGGTCGAAGCTGAAATGCCCGCCGACTCAGCTAGCTGGTGCACGCTTTGAGTGGAAAGGCTGCCATCGAATTGCACTCTGGTACGGTCCCGGTACGGTCATTAAATCCGTCAGCACAGTTCGAATTCGCCTTGCTGAAAGGCAAAGCCACAACATTGCACGCGAACGACAGGGCGCCACCGCAAGCCCACAAAACCTCTTGAAAATTCTCTTTTCAGTGCGCAACTGCCTCTGGAGGCGGATCGGGAAAAGTCTATGAGCTTGCACGCCCAATAGCGAAATACCTGCTAGAGAGACTCTCTCGAGGCGGCCCTGCCAAACTCGTATTCGATATTTACAGCATATGTGGCACACAAAGAAATCCGAAATCCCAGCAAAGTATTTGACACAGAAGTGTAAGCCAGAATCAACATTTAGAACTCGACCAATCTGATCAAAGGCAGGGCAAGCCAGAAGGGGCGGCTCTCAACCGCGCTGATTATAAGCCATGCAAGTTTAAATGATACGGCCTGTGTAGGAACTGAGCGGACAAGTCGTGGCTAAGAACCCCAAAACACTACGTGCATTCGAAGGCAGTATACTTTGTGATGCCGCCGGTCAGACAACACATGATCAAACGCGCTGTGATAGAATGATTTACACTCCCTGACAAACACCATGGTTTTGACGATTTTTTGAACAGTAAGCTGTAGGCACACTGATTGAAAAAACTGGACTAGAAAGACGACTTGGACGGAATCGACACATAGAGGGACGCTTGAGTGCAAAATTGTTGTATTGTAGTCCTGGCATGCAACGGCTATTAACTCAACTTAGCTTATCGCGAACTGGCCACTGCGGCTGCGCGGCAGCTTAGATTCGACTCCTATGACTTGTGGACTAATCGTGACGTCCGAACATGGAAGCCCAGCTGCAGATTGGCTGCCCATTGGCTGTTGTAAGCGTCCCACAGGCTTCTTTGAGCGTTTGTATTCATTTAACACGCTTCTTTTGTCGCCGCTCTCATTTACGGACTTAGTAGCTCTGCACCTGTGTCGCGGCTGCATTCCTCAACGAAAACGCAATATAACTTACGCGCAACATAACAAAAAGCCGCCTATCAATTACAAAACGACGGCACGCGTCTGATCTGGTATGAATATGATTGTTATATATTCTCGCTCTCACACTGACCAGCCCAGAGACGCTTGAGCCTCAGAAGGGCGGCAATCGGATGGCCCATATCTTAACTGCAGCTGCTACCGTCCGCGGGCGCTTTGGCGGTGTTGGCGACGCAATCGTCGCCAACGGTCGTGGTCTTGCTGGTGGCGTCTGACGTCACGGTGCACTGGGCGGCCTCCGTCGTGATCTGACCAATCGCAGGGCCGGTCGTGTAATACTTGATCTGCAGCACAAAAGGAGACAGCTTTCAGAACGATCTTGCAAAGGAGCGGGCTAAAAGGACGTCGTGTGAACGAGAATCGGCGTGACGTTGAAAAAGGTCGAAGTTGCAGCCGAATTCTGTTGACGTGGAGCTCGCTCGAAGCCCCGTTAGATGCAAGGAACTTTTACTACCGGGGGTTCGTGGTCATAAGGAACCTCCCAAACAGCAGGAAATCTGAACGTGCGAAACAGAAGGGGCGAGAAATTTAAAGAAGCGACTTTGATTTTTCCCGGTCTACCATCAGAGGGCCAGTCGATGTCAGACGTGTCCGCTCTGATTGATGTCGCTTGGTTCTACATTCCGAGACGGCCGCTGGAAAGGCACTTCGAGCGCGGGCGCGCACGAGAGCCTGCCTAAACCGCCGCCTATTTGGAGGTCTCAAAATCCGGGGTCGTCACAAAAACGTGATAGAGTTCGTTTTCCTAGGCCGCGCAAAACTGTTGATTATCATCCGTTGCGATTCGCATCTCGTCGAAAACGGCGACCAACACATACCGTGAAGGTGGCGCTGGTCGCCTCCACGATGACGAACCCGCCGTCCCCCCCGTTGGAGTAGATCTTGTTGGGCCCGCAGAAGTCGGAGTAGCCGTGCTGGGAGCCGGCCCCGGTTGTAACGTAGCTGGTGAAGCCGTTGCTGAAGTTACCGGGGTTGGCCAGGGTCATGATGTGGTCGTGGCCGTTGAAAAAGGCGACCGGCTTGTACTGGTTGATCAGAGCCACGATCTGCACGATAAAAAATCGTTTAGTACCTTACTGTTCCCAGTCGACGAGGGTTAGGTGCAGCTGTGGCTGTTGATAAAGGGGCGGCGGTGCTGGCTGGTTGATGAGAGCCACAGTTTGCAAGCGGTGCTTTGGCAGGTTTCACGACAACCTTCGAGAAGCAACCCACCTTTGCTGGAACGAGTGGATGCTGTCCGTGTTTTACGCTTCAAAATCAACATTGAAAACGACACAGCGCCCAGTGCAAATTGTTGCGGCTCTTTGGGCCGAGCAATCTTGTACAGGTGCACAAGATTGAAGTGAATTTGTGATACAGAATATAGAACCTGTTTCACCATGAGAAGAATGTCTTACGGTACAACTTAAGCTCTACCATCGTTGCAACGCGCGAACTCCAGCAGATTGCGACTAGAAATCTCAATGCGACGTTGCCCTGGGATAATATAGGCGGGCCCATTGAAACTCCACCCGGGATGTAACGTGATTGCCTGGGAGTCCCCCGGTCTTTGAAGGGCGGAGCCTTACCCGAGGGAACACGTTGGAGAGCCCGGCAGACGGGATACGGCCATACTCGACAGGTCTTAGCAAACATACTGGGTACCTTTCTTACTTTTAGAAACGGCAACAAATCTTCCTGAAAGGTGCGGCTGTGTCTCGACAGCCGTTCGCGCACAGAGGAGCCATTGTTCTTACGGAACAAACGAAAACAAGTATCTTTCCGACGAGTGAAAGCCTTACCCGGGGGAACACGTTGAAGAGCCCGGCAGACGGGGTACGGCCATACTCGACGGCGGTTCCGAAGAGAGGGTAGTGGCTGACGATGAAAGTGTGGGTGGCGGTGGACGTCTTCAGGGCGTTCTCGACGAATGCGACAACGGCATCGGCGTACACCTGGTTGCTCTGCAGGGGACAAACATGTCGAGTTTAGGACCGGATTGTTTAAGACAGTGGTTTTAAGAGTGGTTTAAGCCATTGATTAAGTGCTGAAATGTGGCTTGCGGTGGAAATCTTCAGGGCGTTCTCAACGAAGGCACGACGGCATCGGCGTACACCTGGTTGCTCTGCAGGAAAAGAACACCTATGGTTAAATACCGGGTTTAGGAAGGGTTCAGCCAGTGGTTAAAAGAACTGGTTTGGCAGGCGGTGAAGGTCTTGAACGCGTTCTTGACCAACACCACGACAGCATCGGCGTGAGCCTGGTTGCTCTGCAGAGATGGGAACAATCGGTTGGACGCCGGGCTTGCAGAAGGGACGCCGGGTCGAGGAAGATTTTGACAGTGGGTTAGGTCAGGTAGAGCAATGCTTGGAACAGAGCGGGACGTAGTTGAGTTTGTCGAAACATCCTCGACGAAAATCACGAAAGCAACTGCGTACACCTGTCTACTTGCTCTAGTGCACGAAAAGGCGAAAGGGGAAGGGTCTCGCTTTAATCAGAGTTCACCATGAATCGAACAATCAGGATCAGAAGGGGTGATACTAGTGCCCTGGCTATGGACAGGTTTGGGCGCCTCCTGTCCTCGTGCACAAATCGAACCTCGCAAAAAGATCCACGGAAAGGCTTATTCTCTCCACAAAAAGAAGGGGACATATCCGAACTATATCATTTGCTTCTCACTGCTTTCGACCACCGCTCTCAAATTTTTTGATCGGATCCAAGCCTTACGTGGGAGGTGTACCACTGCTTGTTGTACTTGGGCGGGTTCTTGCCGGCGTAGCTCGCAATCCAGGGGTTCTCGTCGTAGAAGATCGCGCGGACCGAGACCCCATTGTACGCGAAATCGCGGACGAAGTTGGCGGCAGGAAGGTACCACCTGCATTTATAGGCAGGTCGCACAAATTAGAAATGGCCGAAGCCCCATCACAGCCGTCCGATTTCCAGCTTAATTCAGTCGTCCAATCTTTCACTACACAAAGTGCTTCTAAGCATGCTGATGTTTCTGAAAGCAGGTTTTTGGACTCGGCCACCGCTTTTCTTTTGAAAGAAGCGGATTTGAGCCGTTGACTTTGTCCACCTTGACAGGATGGACGGTGGTCACAGGCTGATGCGTTTGATCTGACGGGTAGGAGCAGAAGAGGAGGCCCTCAAGCCAAGTGAGCAGAATCGCTCTACCATTTCTTGAACCTCTCGCGTTGGTTTTATACAATAAAAAAAAAACACGAAATTGACTTACGACCGAGAGTCTTCAACTTCGCCTGACGTTGTGACAACCGCAATAATTGTGTTCAGACGGTTGGGAGTGAAAGTAGATCAGAATAAAATCTATTCCACGCCGCTACCTTGGACTCGGCTAATAACCCAAACGCCAGCCTTATAACTCATCCTTTCGTCAACCAGAGCCCGAATCAAACGGGTTCTACAAGGAGCCAGGAGACGTGCAGCCCCTACCGCTTGCTGAAGGAACACACCATCCAGGCTGTGTCACTTGCTTTGAGAGTCCCAATTCGTTGGTGTAGCGTCATCGAGCGGTCCAGACTCTACCATATGCCCGATACAAGACCAGTCTGGTGAAGCCGCCAGGTTTGACGATATAGATGGAATGCACTTACTGGGGGTTGCCGAAGGACATCTCCTGCTCCATGGAGCCGTCGATAACCATGTCGTGGTTACCCAGGGTCGAGTGCCAAACCACGTTGCTCAGGGAAACGTTAGTAGGGGTTGTAGACGTCGAAGATGTCGGTCTTGAGACGGGTGGTGTCGCCCGTGTACACTCCCTGTGAAACAGACAGAAATTGGGCGGTGTGTGAACAGGGTAAATAAAGCACGGCCGAAGAAAGAAGTTTTCCAGACAAACGAGAGCCTCGGGCAATGTTAAGCCATGCAGTCTGTGAGCAATTCGACGTTCAACTACCTAAGACTACTTTCCAGATGATGATGCACCTAGTGAGTTCTACCGTAGAAAGGTGGAGCTTTGCGAACCAATTTCACCAATTTCAGGGGCAACAGTCCTTTTGGTCGACGTTCTTCATGCCTAATCCTCTCAAAAAGCAGAGTTTTAACCTCTGGCAGCACGACTCGCCAGAGCGTTTGCATACCCCGAGAACCGGGATCAGATCCCTTTCCAATTCCTCAAACGATGCTGGTGGGAGATGACTGCGAGCAAATCGCTAGCTATCAGCAGAGCCTCGCACACTCGCCCTTGATTTAGGAGGGACTGATCCAATGCTTGACCAAGAGTCACGCGTTCGTAGAATCTACTTTTAAGGGAAAGAATCGATGATAGATTCGAGACTCACGCATTCGTAGAAGTTGTCGCCCGTGTTGACGATGAAAGCGCACTTCTGGGCGTCGCACTCACCGGCCAGGAGCTTGGCGGTGGTAAGCTGCAGCTCGCCGCCTGAAATGCGGAACTAGAAGTATCTGAGAAAGGGCCGCAGAAAAGGTTGCAAAGCAGCGAAGAAAGGCGGACTTTGACGCGCAATCCGCACACAAGTGTTGGCTAGATAGTTTGAGACAGTTATGATTGTACACCGGATCGCTTGCGCCCTGAAGCGCAAGAGGAGTGTGTCTTTAAACCCCTCAACGTGAGGTCGCCTCGATGTGCGCTTACAAAGAAGGCAAAGCTGAGTTGCTGGAACCCTAGCTGCGCTGCCGTCAGCACAAGCCTTGACACCAGCTTCCGAACGTGCCTGCTTATGGCACGACGCGGGATACATCACGTGCTTAATTAACCAGACCACCAATCGACTTAAGAATCTTCGACTTTGCCACTCGCAGCTGGAAAGCTCAGCATCTGCTAGGGCTTACTGAGACTAGATACGTATCCACTCGAGCATCTGGCGGTGGCAGGAACAGCAATACAACGACGCACTGTGCACTAACTAGGAGAAGCTGGGGAGAAAGAGAAAGTGCGAATGAAGAGGCAACTCACCAACGGTGTCATTGTCGGAGAAGAGGGAGGCTGGGCACTGAGGGGCGCCCTCAGAGGGTTGGCCTCCAACACGGCCCACATCTGACCAAAGGATGAAGGAGCTGAGGTTAAGAATGCGCGTTTCCACAAAACCCCTTCAAGGGCGCGGCTGTCATTCCTAAATATGAACGCAGTGTTGAATATCTCGGTAATGGGAACTGGCGTGAAGATAGGAAGAGCTTGGAAGAGCTTGGAAGAAAGTAGGTCCTATCAGCATGAAACGACATAGCAGGTGTTTCAGCAGGAGGTTTTGGCAGCTTAAGCCACCGCATGCGACAATAAAAGTTACATGTATTTCTCCTTTTACCCGCCTGATTCAACGCTCACTCAAGATCGGAGACATTTGGTTTGGTCCAAAGGCAGTCTTCACAAGCAGTTTGCCAAACTTTACTTCTGGCAATATCCAGTGAATTACCAACCTGTTACTTAAAAAGCCAACAATTACTTAAGAGGCCAACTGGAAGTTGCAATACCACTCGTCCAAAAGTCAAAAGGTTTTGACGACTCCAGTTCTGCACTCTCAAAGGTGCCGCCTCAATAGAAACTTCTGTCACCTTGTTAGCACAACCCTCACTCAAACACAAAACCACACCCCAAGCAGGATGGAAAGCATACATCCTCGTCAGTGACACATGTCAAGCAACCTGGCAATCTTTCTTGCCTTATACTCTACCTGGCAGATTGCCTTCTTCTATATCTCAACCACCACTTCCAAACACTGGTCAAACCTAAACACCCCCGGGTAACCACCGCGCATGACATCAGCATCACACTCGCCTTCAGCCCTTGCCACTCCCACGACAAGGGAGTCAGTATCAGAATCTTGCCACACTGTAAGTTGTAAATTAAGACCTCTCATCGAGTCTCACAGCAGCTTCTGAGAGCACCCCTTTCCCCTCACCTCCAATCACGGCAAACTTGAGCGTGGGGTGGTACGTGTCCTGGAAGCTGCTGACGTCAGCAGTGGAAGCGGGAGCAAACTCCGGGAAGCCCGTATAGTTCACAGACGCAGGCGCAGGGGCGGGTGCGACAGTCGGGGAGGGGGTTGTAGGGGCGGGGTTAGTGGAAGAGGGGGAGGTGGGGGAGGGGGCGCCAGTGGTTGGAGCGGGGGTCGTGGCATTGGGGGTGTTCACAGTGGGAGAGACCCCCGGGACATTGTCGGCACAGAGGGGGGTTGAGGAGGGGGCGGTGGGACAGGAGTTGGAGCAGCAGATGGACTGGGACCCGCCGCTGTAAAAGAAGAGGAGGGAGCTCGCTGAGTGTGGACTACAGGGTCTTAGATAGGTCTAGCATTGGAGCCAAGGCTGGGCGCTGGTAACTGAGACTGGTTAAGGCCACAACTCTCAGGAAAGTTCCTTGGGTTAGGACTCATTGTATTGATATGGTGGGTGTGTAGGGCCAAAGATAGCTGCTGTCGGTCACTGGATTGGCATATAGATCTCATTTCAAGAGGAGCAAAGTTTGCAGCGAAAGGAAGCTGCTAAGTCTCACAATGTATGATCTCAGTTTGAGAAAGATGGAAGCTTTCTCCAATGTTGGAGAGCTGGTAGACAGTGGCGCTGGAGGATACCCCGCATAGGCTGCAACACACCAGCCTAAGTTGTGACAAGAATGACGCGCCTGCAATAGCTCTCCCGCTCTTTTCTCGGGCCAGATGCTTTGAAAGCTGACTCAAGATTCTGACTTTCCCATGATCACTTGTTGTTCAGCAAACTACAAACTTTTGAGGAACTCCTATAAGATAAGTGAAAGTGGCTCTCAAGGGCAATACCTTGAGTAACTGACCTGTTAAAGCACTGGTTTGGGTAGGCGGAGAAGGGGTTGCACTGCGTCGGAGCAAACTGCTGCAGCTTCACGCGCAGCACTGGCGGGCCCAGCAAGGAGCAGACAAGCAGTCAGCGCAAGTAGAGTGAGCTGCGCCATGGTGAGAATACGCTCAGCTGCGCTGGGAAATATGACTGTTGAAATGTGGTGGAGATCAGGGCGAAGCTTTTGCACCGATGGTTATGAATGAAAGGTGCAAGGAGGAAAGCTATACAATGTCCCAGGAGTTGGTGATCTGTTCAGACAAAGCCTACTTGGAGGCGCTCAAGCGACGGCCGATGTTGAATCTACTCACGAGACGCACTACTTGCAGAAGGATTTTGTCTGCAAAGAGGGTGGCATTTCCATTGGCATTGATCCATAGCCTGGACTCTCGGTTCCTAGGTGACTCTGCCATCATTCGGGTCTGCCGATCTTACCTACCGGTACTTGCTTTGAGTCTGGACAAATGCAGCAAAATGAAATGCTGTGACAAATGGAATCTTTGGAGCAAAGTCATTATGGAAAATGGAATCTCATCATCTCAATCTTCGGCCGGATACTTCGGCCGACTGACCGGTGCCGGTATGGCCCCCCAGTCAGCTCTAAGAGCCAAACCCTGGCCGAACACCGACCTAGGGAGGTCCTACCGGTAACATCGAGATCCCGAAAGCTGATTGGTCAATTCTGAACACACGAGGGGGCAATTTCGCAATCATGCTCGGTCGCATAACGGCATTTGCCTTGTTGAACATGCATGCATTTGCTTTGGTTGCAGTAGGTAGATCCTCATGCTCGGCACGAACTGCGCAGTGCGGTACCAACCTACCTAATCGGTTTGCCACAGTACGGCCCGGAGGCCCCGGATCATAAAACTACGGTTTGCCCGACCAATGACCGGTAGGTTTATGTACAATCTTGAGTACCGGTACGTACGGTACCTACATAGAACTCGGTTAACGGTTGCCGGGAAGGAACCGGTTAATCGTTCCCCACGTTTTTACGTGGGAGTATGCGAGAAGCCGCCTAAGGTTTAGGATTTGGATTCCTTGGGTTACGTGAGCTACCAGCTCAGGTCCTACCGGGCACTCAGTTTTGGTACCGTAGTCACCGGCGTCTGCTGAAACAAGCCAACGAGAATCTGGGACCCAGGGTTAACCCCCAGGGTACAAGCCCCCGGTCCTGTGTATTCATCCAGTATGTACCTTCGGCGTCCGGTATAGGTATAGAGCAACGCCGGAAGCAGCGAAAGTGAAACGTGGACTGTGGTCGACAACCCGATCGGGGATCTTCTTGTTCAACAAGATTGCAGTGGCAGTTGCCAGTGGATGTGGACCAGGGAATTGGGACTCCGAATTGGAGAACCTTTCCTGACGGGCTTCCTTGAGCATGCAGCTTGAGCTGTACTGAGCTGTCTTGGTAGCCTAGTAGTAGATTAGAATAGGTAGTTACATACTGTTGCACCCATTAGGGTGAGCGCTTTCTGAGGAGCTCCATTAGGAGCTCAGAGTTTATTTTCTTTTCCCCGGTTTTGCCACTTCTTATCTACTGCAGTGCAGGTATGGTTCCCACATTTAGCTTGCACTTGACCAGCTGCGCGCCGCCTAAGGGGATTCATAGCGCATGCAGGCACATTTGCTGGTGAAACGGAGTACAAAAGGGCGAGCTGTTGCTGGAATCTTCTCAAATACACCTCTCCACTCCCGCTTGCACTTTCAGCTGCCTGACTAAGTAGAGCTCTCCTCGGCCAAGGGGTAAATTCTGCCAGGCAAAAATGCCCCCCGACGGGCAGAAGGACTCCTGCTACGTTCGGATGGGGTCCTCCGTCCGCCCCGTCGATCAGGACACTTCCGCAAAGCCCCAGAGCTCAATTGAGGTGGTGCAGTATCACGCGGCTGATCTGCAGCGCAGCCCTATTGACGTGCCCTGGGAGAAGAAATGGACGCCTCTCCCCCCTCTGGATCAAATTCCACCGGAAGAGCGGAGAGAGTGGATGGTCACCAAGAATGAAGACATCTTGGAGCTGATCGACAGGGCAGCGGAAGGAGCGCCGGAGAAGGTGGCGATCACGTGGCTGGGAGAGAAGGGGAAGGTGGAGGCGACCTACACGTTTGATCAGGTCGCCAGGAAAAGCCACGGGATTGCGCAGAAGCTGCTGCAGAAGTGGGGGCTCCGATCGGGGGACCACGTGATCCTGGTTTATCCCCCCGGCCCGGAGTTTTTCATTGCGTTCCTGGCATGCATGAGGGCAGGTGAGGGTCACACGCAGTGCTTGATTGCACGTACATCATGTTGAGCTGATGAGCTGATGCAAGCAGCACCGTCTGGGATTCAGGCGCCTGGCTGTCTTTTGATCAAACCAGAGTGGCAGCGTAAGCGCACGTCCAGCTGCGGTTGGCATCTTGGTGTCTGGACGGTGCGCCACAACCCTAATCTTGCGCAGCTGAGCTTTGATCAAGGTATGGCTAAGGTCAAGCCTACTGGCTGAGATTTTGACGGTTGCAAATTTTCAAAAAGGCTAGCCTGAGCTAGCAAAGGCTTGAGCTGCCAGTAAGGCGTTTGTTTTCTGGATGGTTTCTATAATGTACAGGTGCTTCAAAGTCTCCTTCTCAGCTGCTTGCACACTTTTATGATTACTTGCTCACTCCCTCCGATCTTTTTATTGATCCTGACGTTGTTCTTAGTGATTGATGATGGTTCGATCTCCTCCGTAGTTAGCGCCTTCCTAGCGCTCCGCCTCCGCTGTGAGCTGAGCCATTCAGCAGTGCAACACTCTAGGAAGATCAGGACTTGGCAGATGTTTGTTTTTCATACAGCCTTCTCTTATTCAAGAACGACTGCGAATGGCATAGTGGTGCCGCTTTTAGCGGCCTTTCCTATGCTTGCAAGAGGGCACTCATCTGGTTCTTGCCTAGGTTCTTGCCTGGGGTTCAATCTCAATCAGGAGTCAACGCAAGTGTCATCTCTGCAAATAGTGCGGCAACTCACTTTTGGCAGCTCAGGCCTGCTTTTGAATGCAGTCTACTTTCGAAATGGAGTCTGCTTTTATATTTGTGCCCGTTGTTCGTGATGCGAGATAAGCTGCAAATGAAGTGTGGATTGATGAAAGGAGTAGTAGCCACATGGCTAAAGTCTATAGCCCATAGCCTTTTCCTAAGACTTTCCCTAGGCAGCTATACTTTTTGCCTCTTCCTCTCCGGTTGGTAATATACCACAAATGTAATAAAGCGTTCAAGCCGCGCTAGTCTTTTGGTTCCATCATTTGTCGTGTCCAAAAACCCAAGTTCTACGAGAATCATGATTGGAATAAACTTTTGGCAAGGAGCGAGGGTTCAAGGGACCACGAGCGTGTTGCTTCAAGTTGCTGTTGGCGGCAAAAGTGGTGCTCTGATGTCATTCGTGCCACGTGGAATGCCTGCTCGTTGTGCGAATGCGTTTGACGTACTTCAAACGCCTGCGAGATTTCACAATTGCGTCTAGCTGCTACCGTCTAGAGGACTGGACTGGAATTCTCCCACTGGTTGAGAACCATTGCTGACACCACCCGCTGCCATTGACATTTAAGCATTGACAACACCCTCAGGTTTAACATACTTCTTGCCACACGGCTTCTGGTTGGAACAGCACCCGTTTTGTCTGTCATCATTCTTGGTTGCTTGGTGTCCGCTGGTTTGTTAATTCCGCAGCTCACAATTGTCGACCAGCATATCTGGTCGAAGACAGAGAACTTAGTAATTGGTTGTTCTCTGTTTTGTATCCTGGCGGTGGTCATTTTGTTGGGCCGTCAAAATCCGCTTACTTTGGGGTTGCAATCAAATGTTCCAAGCTGGGCACATCGCAACAATCCTTCCTGACAACCCAAGTATATTGGACGTCCAGACATGCACCGCTTCCCATCACTTGTTCCTTCCAGTGTCTGCCGGTCTTGAGGTACCCCCCAGCCAATTGACCTAAGGAGCGACTTTTTGTGGAGATATAGGAGACGTAATCACACACGCGCTGACATTTTATTTCTTTCTCCAGGCGTTCTGGCCGGCCCAGCCCGCTGAACCTGGAGGGCAACATTGTTAAAGTGAATAGGTTCAACAAATTTCCTGACACACCAGCTGAACACAGTTTGCTGACATTGTTAAGAGTGCACTGACGTCGTCGGTCCTTCCAGGCGTTGGGCTTTTCATGGCGCTGCAGGGCGCGCTTGCAATTTCAGCTGTTTGCCGGCGCCTTTGCTGACAACGTAGACACTTGCGCTGACGTCGTCGCTTGTTTTCCTAGGCGTTGTGGCGGTGCCGGTCTACTCGCCCAGCCCGCTGAACCTGAAGGCGGACATCTTAAAGCTGAACAGACAAATAAAATGTTCGGGTGGATGCCAGACGAATCCATTAAAGTAGTGCTGACATCATCGCTTGTTTCCCCAGGCGTTGTGGCGGTGCCGGTGTATCCGCCCAGCCCGCTGAACCTGAAGGGCGACATGTTCAAGCTGGACCACATTGCCACCAACTCGGGCAGCAAGGTGGCGCTCACGACGGGGCTGTATAAGAACGTGGTCCGAATATCCAAGCTGAGGGGGGTCAAGTGGCCGGTTAAGGACTGGTATACCACCGACAAGGTCGAGGTGAGGGCAGATGAGAGCTCTTTGGGGTTTAGGCTTTCAGGAATGCTCCGTATTATTTACGGAGGCCGTCGGTTTGTGTGCTGAGGTTTGCAGGAAAGGGGTTCACTTCAGAGCTCCTATGGGAGGTGATTGGCTGGTTTGAGGAAAGTTGAATTGAGGTCGCGGGGTTCGGATGTCAAGCTCTGGCGTCTACAACCGGTAAGGCCAGTGGGGCTAAGCTGTGGGGAAATGGATAGTCAGCCAGGGGCCAAGGATGCTGGATGTTCTAAATTTCGGTGATCTTCGCAAGAGCTCGAGGGGTTTACGCTGGGGCGTGCAGAATAAGTGGGGGGTAAAATGGTTGATCGCAGTTCAGGTTAAACCTTGAGAAGTGCTGATGGGAGGGAGTCGACTGTTGGTCAGCGCACAGGTGCGGCCATGGAAACCCCTCTAGTAGGGCCCAGTTTACGTCGGGTCCTGATTTTGGTCAGCGTTTGCAATGTGGGTTTCTGATGTTGGTCAGTGCACTGGTGCAGGCCATCAAGGGCAAGCCCATAGCGTACCCTCCCCGCCCAAAGGGCCACCTGGCTTTCCTACAGTACACGTCAGGCTCCACCAGTGACCCAAAAGGTACGCCAACGGACGCTGTTCGTTTTTTGCACCTGTTGGCCGACTGTGTGGACAGGTGGTTGCAATGATTTCGTCCTTGATCAGAGGAGCAATAATGAGAACAACGTAACGTTCGGGTTGGAGACAGTCTGCCGAATGCTGGGCCACACACTCTTAGCATAGGGTTGAACAACTGGATCATGGATTATGTCTTCTTAGCGTTGACCACTGACCCTGTTTGCAGAAGCTACTCCAGGCAATGCAGGTTGCCAAGTCTATGATAGCTTCATCCTGTCCGGGCCTTCTCTTTTGTCGACATTTCTACCGCCGTTGCATAGTTTTTGTTTGACATCGCGGTTGACATCGGCTTTCCTTCACGCCAGGTGTCATGATCACGCACGCCAACATCGCCCACAACTCGGACAACATCCGCAAGAACATCCGCCTCGATGCGCAGTCCGTCTTCTTGTCCTGGCTCCCCCAGTACCACGACCTCGGGCTCATCGTCGCTTACATCAGCACGATGACAGCTGGCGCGTCAGGAATCTTCATGTCCCCCATCACGTTCATCAAGGACCCCCCCCTCTGGGTCGTCGGCATGAGCCAGTTCCGCGCGACGCACACGGCGTGCCCCAACTTTGCGCTCGAGCTGGCGGTGCGCAAGTTCCGGCCCGAGGAGCATGCGAAGAACGGGCTGGACCTGAGCCGGCTCGAAGCGATGCTCAACTGCGCGGAGCCAGGTGGGTGGGGCTCTCTTGGAAAGATCAGGGTTGTAAGTTTTCATTCCAAGCGACACGGGCTGCATCAGGTTTTGGGAGGGTTCCTTATCCAAGCGATGGGCTTTGCTTCTGTTGTTGTCGCTCGGTTGGTCTTTGGTACGAGACCGGGCAAAAAGGCACCGTTTGTCAGGACTCTTAACGGTCGATGACAGCTTGTTTATTGGACAGGGAACACTCATTGGTCTTTGGATACCACTGCCTCTTATTGCGTTTCTTGAACAAACAGGTCATCAGTCTTGCTGTTTCTTCCCCTCCACCGTGTGCATGTTAAGAGAAGGACGCATGTACAACTTCTGCCTGGACTTGCCTCTTCTCCACAGCGCGTTTCTTCCTCTTGCCTCTCAGCCCTGCCACTAAGACTACCGACATGACCATTTTCAGTGGTCTAACTGCTCCGAAAGATCGCAGCGCAACTTTTGCCCCGTACGCTTCTGAGTTCACTGACTCGACCTGCTTGCAGTGCGCATCGACTCCATCGAGAAGTGGAACGCGACCTTCGTCCCGTACTGTTTCCACCCTGCGGCCATGTGCCCGTCTTACGGATTGGCGGAACACACCGTGGGACTCCTTTCGTGGGGCATCAAGATGGTTCCGGCCGCGAGCGGTGACGGGCTGTTGCACTCGAGCGGGCACTGGAAATGCCAGGGAGAGGAAGAGGGGGACGCCGTTTTTGTGGATCCGGATACGCTGGAGCTGAGGGAACCGGGCCAGGTGAGGCTTCGAAGAGAACTTGTACGGGGCCTTGGGCCCAAAGAAAAGGACCCTTATGCTGAGGAGGTTTTTAAAAGTCAGGTATCTTAGGTTATGAGTTGCCTTGGAAGCCAAGGAAAGGGTTCCTTATCTTTGATTTGAGCTACCGCGCAAATAAAGGAAAGGGTCGATCGAGCAAAGAAGGCGATTGTGGAGGGTAAAGGTTGTTGTGGTTGGCTTCATGAAAACCCGTTGTCAAAGCGGAGCGGCGGCCGAGGCTGCGGGTGTCGGAGTCACCTTTTTGAAGCTGACGAGCAAACGTCATCTTTTGTGACGCAGTCGCGTTTTCTCAGGTCGGCAAGTTTCGCAAGTACAGACTACAACGATGGAAGATTAAGGCTGGGATGCAAGCTGTGGGATGGGCAGCCGAGCACGAAGGGTGTTGGTCTTTTATCTTCCTCTACTCGATGACGTCATTGTCCTCAAGCCGCATTGCCCCCAGGGTTCCTTGACACCCGCCGCTCCCTTTTCCAGGTGGGCGAGATCTGGGTGCGCAGCGCGAGTGTCGCGGCCGGCTACTGGCAGCGCCCAGAGCACACGCAGGAAGCGTTCCGCGCCAAGGTCGCCAACAAGTCGGAGTGGGCGCACTACGACTGGCTGCGCACGGGAGATTTAGGGTTCCGGTTAGAGGACCAGCTGTTCATCTGTGGGCGGCTTAAGGACCTGATCATCGTGCGCGGGAAGAACTACTACCCGCAGGATCTGGAGCTAGCGGCGACACTGGCGCTCGAGGAGGTGATCCGGCCGGGGTGCGTCGCCGCGTTCTCGCTGAGCGACGGGCCGGGCAAGTTCCAAGACCAGGTAACGGTTTTGTATGTTCTTGGATTCTTGGGTTGCAATGGTGGGTTTGAAGGAGTTTGCTATCTTATCTGAACCTGTCTCGTCTGGTCGTTTCACGAAAAGATTTGGAGGTCTTCAGAATTTGTGGCCCAGGGGGCTACGGCTTTTGAGCGCGTTCTCTAAATCTGGAGAAGGAATTTGACGTTGCAAGGGTCGTGAAGGGCTTATATTTGTGCTTGAGCCGAAGTGAGAGACTCATCGTGCGACTAGGTCTTTTAAAGGAAGTGGGTGGCAAAGACCTGACTACGGGTTTGACGGGTTAGTTGGCGGATGGGTTAGTTCCTCTGGTCAAGCGTCGGTGGTCAAAATGACAGACAGCTCTTCAGCTGGGTGTGTGCCCTTGCCAGGACTCTGGTTTGGAGTTCACCAAACCCTGTGGTTCAGCCTGCAGTTACATTAACCCGTTCGTTAATCATTCGCAGGTGGGCCTGGTTGCGGAGGTCAAGAGCTCGAAGCTCCCGATGCCCCCCCAGCGCGCGATCGCGCTCATCCGACAAGCTGTGTTTTGGAGTCGACCAAACCCTTGGTTTCAGCCTGCAGTTAACTTTAACCCGTTCGTTAATCCTTCGCAGGTGGGCCTGGTCGCGGAGGTCAAGAGCTCGAAGCTCCCGATGCTTCCCCAGCGCGCGATCGCGCTCATCCGACAGGCCGTCAGCGAGAAGTACGGCCTGGAGCTCGCGCAATTCGCGCTCGTCCAGCCGCGGACCATTTGCAAGACGACAAGTGGCAAGATCCAGCGAAGCAAAAACCGGGCGGCGCTCCTCGCGGGGACGCTCCAGATCATTTCGGGGGGATTGTTTGTGGACGACGGAACGCTGCCGCGGCAGGGGGGGCGAGAAGGAGCGGAGGGCGTGAGGGGGGAGGAGGGGGGGGAGAAGGACGAGACGGACCCGTTCAAGATCTTGGCGAGGTTTGGGGTTAAGGAACTTGACCGCGACGTGTTGAGCCAGGGGCTCGACTCGCTGCGGTGTATGGAGCTGCTGGCGTATCTGAAGGTGGGTTGGGGATAAGAGCAAAGGTCTCGTTGTTGGATTCTCGCTGTGGGATTGATTGACAGGATTGTTCCCACATTGGATTTATGCCATCCCCGTTAGGTCGATCCAACTTCCTCGAAGGCTGTGTTGAAAGAGAAGACTCGTTCAAAAACAAAACGAGAAAAATGGCGAATTTGTTTTTCGTCGATTCTGGCGATGCGAGTTTCTAGCAATTTGGTCCGCAGATAATGAGGCTGATGGGCAACAGGCGACTTTTGGAAGTCTCCCTGGTATCTCAACCGCCCATATGCGGTCGAGCGACAACTGCCCCACAGATGGTGTGACAGTCGTCATGCAAGCGCCGGCCCTTCGAAATGCTTCGAAAGTCGCCCGTTGCTCGCTTCTTCAACACCGTTATCGCACCCGTCTGCAGAGGCACGCCAACATCGAGATCGAGCCCACGCTTCTTGCGACGGTGCCGGCCCGCCAGCTGGTGGACGGCACGTACCAGTCAACACCCCTCCGGGTCCAGCGACCCTCCCTAGAAGCACCCCTCCAGGTAGGGTGTGCGGCTGACTTGGTTTTTCGAGTTTGTGCACTCGTATATTCAGGATCGCTCGTTCCTGTTCTGGGCGGTGTGCAGCATATTCTGTTGCTATTGAAAAATTAGGAAGAATGCAGCGGTCACAGCCTCATGCTCTGAACGCTGAACCCTCGAGAACCAACGGAGGTCCCATCTCTTTTAGGCAGATCCGCTTGCTTCCTTTCTGGGCGCATTGCATCTTCCAGATTCGTAAAGTACCAATCACAAGAGTACAGGCCTCATCTAGTCACAGCCTGAAACCCTGGAAGTAACAATCCTCAAAACCTAACCCAGGTCGCCCTCTTCTCTCAGGGTCGCCCACTCCCGTACTTGGTAGTGTGCATCATCCAGACGGCGTTCATTTTGCTGATGGGCTTGCTCCTCGGCGCGGCCATTATTCCCACGTACCACTTCGTGGACCACGTGCTCGACACGCTCAAGACGCCCTTCTCCTACATGACCATTACCAGCGGAAACAAGGTGGGGCAGGGCCCCTTTTCCCAGGTGTTATTTGCTGCAAATTTTAATACGACGACAAAAAGGGCGGTTTCAGAATCTTAACATGGCAGGGTTTGCGAATCAGGGTCTTGGGATTCAGGGATGCAAGTTTTATAGGTTCTGTGGCAGTTGTTCTCTTGGCAGTTGTTCTCCCTCCACTTCAGCGAGTCTGCCTGTGATAAAATTGAGGGGACGGGTAGGGTTAGTATGGGGGTTAGGGTGGGTGCGGGTGCGGAGCGGGTGATTAACTGGGTTTCGATGTTAGTGTTAGCTTCGGGACCGGAGAGCTTCTCTCCAGCCACACCGAATGCTTACTTCCGCGTCTCACAAACGACTGCGAGTACAAACTTCGTGACGCAATCCCGCAATACTCATGCAACCCATTGTTAAACAGCCCGTAGCATCGACTTACAACCCTTGTTAGGACATACATCGACCTAGGTACTACCTTTGCCTAACCGACCCGGGTTTGTCTTAACCAGGTGCACCGCCACAGCTTCCGCATCTACGGCCTGCTGCTGCCGTTCGCGGTTCCCCTCTGGATGGCAGCCTTCACCATCGAGGTGCTCATCGTCAAATGGATCGTCATCGGGCGCTACCGCCCCGGCTGCCACGCCCTTAACTCCTGGTGAGGATTGCTTTCTTTGGGATTTGTTTGGATCTGAGGGTTAAGAGTTTAAAGTTCGACGCGCAGTGGTGCCGAAAGGGCACATTCACGTCGAGGTGCTCGTCTTCAAAGGGGTTGTCATCGGGCGCTACCGCCCCGGCTGCCTCGCCCTCAACTCCTGGTGAGGTTCAACTTTTAGCTGTTTCCCTGAAGCAAAAAGAGGTCTGGAATTGAAGCTATGTAAATTTCAATTTACATGCGCCTTGGCATGAAAATGTCCCTGGTGTCCGCATCGGAAATGGTTTGTGACTGGGCGCTTCCGCCCTCGCTGCCACGCCCTCAGCTCTTAGTACTTTTAACTCTTTGCAGTAATCCCGCAGCGCCTAAGTCTGAAATAGAGCTTTCAAATTTCCATTAGACGCGCGTTATAGGCAACTTCAAGTGACGAGGCTCACTAAGTCAGTGAGATGTTTACGGTCACGTGGATTGTCTTCGAGGCCACCGACTCAGCTTCTTCGCTCCAATTCCAATACGACCCCAGCTGTTTTGTGGGTCAAGCATTCTCTTAAAGAGGGCGTCAGATTCCAAGGTACAGTCGTGCATCTGAGTCCTGAGGACTCATCGGACGGCTCATTTTCCATCTTGAAAACTGCCTCCAGCGACCAAGGCTGCAGTACTGCGCGCTATCTGGTCGCAGGAGGGGGGCCCAGTCCCCCGACGCCCTCTTTAAGGCGTGATCATTTCTTGGAAGAAGACGTGGGCCCCACGAATTGGGACGTCTTCTGGCAATCTTCGAAGGCTCCTGAACTTGCCAGACAACAAAAAGAGTGTGCGCTCTCAGCGTGCAGCGTTATCCTTGCATCGCAGTCTAAGAGCTCATCAAAACGCTCTTCTTGCGCCCTGTTTTGAAGTCCTTGTCAGGACGGAAGTTGGTATTTGAGGAAAGGTAAGAAGGAAGGACTTGACATGTTTTGGACGGGAGGCAGTTCCCAACAGTTTCTTTTCATCGAACCGAACCGGGAAACAACTTGCTGTTTTAATCCTCAGGTATTTTTTGCGCTGGTGGTTCATGGACCGCGTGCTGTACATCTGGGAGGAGGTCGTCGGCGTCTACTGCGTCAACACGATCGTGCTGAACCTCTTCTACATATTCGGCGGCGCGCACATCGCGTGGAGCGCCAAGCTGGGGGCTTATTTACACGAGTGGGCATTACACCACGTGGGCCCCCATGCCGAAGCCGACGGCCGGTTGGTCGCCCGGTTGATATCCCCGGGGAGGCTGTACCTGAATAAGGTCATCGTCGGCCGCGGAGCGGTGGTTTCCGATCACACGGTCGTTCAACCGGGGGCCGTTGTCGCGCCCGGAGCAAAGCTCCGGCCGATGACGGTTCTTCTCGAGGGGAGCGCGACGGAGCCGGACGTAACGTACCAGGGCAATCCGGCCCGCGCTGTTACGCTGCGCGCACCGCTCAGTCGCGCGGGGTCGCCCAAGCGGACGAAATGCGGCCGGAGCGAAGCGGAAGTGACCGGAACGAGCGGAAAGGAATTGACCGGAACGACCGGAACGGAACTGACCGGAACGGAGGAGTCGGAGGACAAGAATTGGTGGGTGCTCGAGGCGGCGAAGATCGTGTTCGGGCTCCCGCTGAGCATCTTCCTGTTCACGTACTGCCAGATTCCGATCATGGCGGTCTTTGAGATGATTCCGCGTGGGCGGAATCGGGCCGGAGCGGACTTTCGGTACAAGGCGCTCTTCTTCTTCGGGACGCTCATCTTCGCGAGCATGGCCGTCGGCACGTTCATCACCATCTGCCTCAAGTGGGTGCTCTTCGGGCGCGTGCGGCCGGGTGAGTCGGCTTATGATCGCTACCTACCCTTCGCCCTTCACTTCCTTCGTTTCTTGGTTGGAGTGTGAGGTCTGCAAACTCTGGAAATGGGGGGTTACGCTATCTGCCCCGTCCTTCTCGTCGTATATACTCACAGTGTCGACCAAATGCCTCACGTAGTTGGTGATCCCTTTTCTGCTGGAACGATAGTATGTCGAGTGTGTCTTTCGGAGCGAAACAGACAGGTTTATTTGTTCAGTCTTTCGTGGAGTGAGCGAACGTTATCGTCGATCAGGCTCTTGGCACGGGGGTATGTCTGGAATCGCTTGGGTAGTCTCTTCGCGAACAGATCTATGGAGTACTCTATTCACGATTGGATTATTTTCTACACGTGATGGTCCACTGACAAAGTGTGGCGCAAAAGCAGGCGGCAATGCGGTCAGAAAACGAGACACTTGTCTTAGCTGCTGAAGTTGACGTTCCTTTTCGGCTCACTACGTTATCCTTTCCAACAGGCCTTTGACATGACCTTTCTGGAAGGAGTTCGCAAAAGCTGATTGGACTTATTTCTGCCCCCCGCAGGCCCTTACAAGGACACCAAATGGCTCCAGTGGCGCAAGTGGTGGTTAGACCTGCTAACCGTGGTTTGCCAGCATAACCTCCTCGACGTCCTCGAGTCCAGCTTCTTCGTCAACTTCTGGCTCTCGGCGCTCGGCGCGCGCATCTGCGCGTCAACCAAGCTGCTGATCAGCTATACCATCCGGCCATACGAGGCCGACCTGCTTATTGCGGAGCCGGACACGTTTATCTCGGAGTCGTTTGTCAGCTGTGACGACGGGGAGGGCCACAGAGACCACGTGGTGTTCAAGCGAGGCTCCTGGTAAGGGTTCGTGTCGAGTATGTAAAAGGTTGTAGTTACAGAAAAAAGTCTGAACGCTGTCTACGAAAATCTTTCCGTATGTGTTTGGCTACGTGCTACTTTGGCCTGAGTTCTGATTCATTTCTCGTAGTTCGTCTTCTGCATTCAGGGGCTCAGGTTCCAAAAACAGGGTTCTAGAGGGGTTCTAGCGAACGTTGAGCTTATATTACAACCAAGTTTGCCTATGTATTCTTCATTTGAAGTGCGTTGACAAGTCTGATCGGGTCGGCTCCAACTTGTTCCGAGCGAAATCCTGAAGTAATTGTCCGCCAGGTGTCGCTAAAATCCTGTTTCGCAGACTCCCTGTTCATCCGCAAACGCTGCACCAATTAAACTCATTTGCTTCAAGCTCTTGCTCCCAATCTCACCACGAATCATCTTGGGCATCTCTTTTTCTCTCCCATTTCAGGACCGGTCTCGACGCGGTGATCAAGCAAGGGGTGGTCGTCGGCGAGGGCTCTGGCGTTGGCGCGATCACATACGTGGAGGGCCCGCACGAGTCCTATCCTTAAACTCGCTGATTTGTTTGTACTATCTACTCACGTTCCTCTAGGGGTTCAATCATCTTCTTTCTATTTTTATCCAGGACTGGCCTGGGCGCAGTGATTGAGCAAGGCGTGGTCGTCGGCGAGGGCTCCGGCGTCGGCGCGGTGACGTACGTGGAGGGCCCGCACGAGGCGCTGGCGGGGGAGAACGTGATGCTGTTCGGAAACCCCCCCATCGTGCTGCAGCACAAGAAGGCGCAGGAGGCCCTGAAGCGGATCAAGGTATGCGTGCCGCCTTATCCGGTCATTTCGAAGCGGTTCAGGGTGCTTGGTCGAGTCCATCATTGCCAGCTTCCGAGTTCGTAGCTTTCACCCCTGGAGCCTTTTCCGTCACCTCGTGGCCTGCTTCTGATGCGGATTACACGTAAGTTCTCCAAGTCCGTTCCCTCTCTCTTCCATCTACCCCTCTCTTCCATCTACCCTACCTGCTTCTTAAGCCCGGAAAACCGCATTTTCAGTTTTCGCACCTTGGATTTCAAGTTTTCTCCGGTCCTTCGTTCTTTAACAAGTTCACTTCCAGCTTCTGAGTAGTCGCTTCAAGCCGTTGTCTGAGCTACCGTCATTTCATCCCTCGACGGGACTTCCATCAACCATATTGAACCTGCTTGCCCAACCCACTCCGGTTCACTTTCAGCATGGGAGTCTGTCAAGCTTGGTCACCCTAAAACCTCTCATTCAGCTAAAACAAAGTTTCACGTCGGAAGCATCAACAACCCACTCTCTTTCCAAGAGTCGGGTCTATTCACCCGAAGGCCTCAACTTGTCGAACTTATCCCAGTTCCTTGTATTGTGCAGATTGGCACTCTGAAGCTCGTCTTCTTCCACACCGTCGTTCTCCTCCAGCGCATGGGCATCCTGGGCATCCTCGTCGTGTGCGCGATTCCGGGGCTCGAGTTCGGCATGGCGATCCACCGCAGGGGGATCCCCCTCGACGTGGAGCTACTCCTCTACGGGATTGGCATTCTGCTCTCGATTGCCACGCTCGCGGTCACGTCCATTGTGCTGAAGTGGGTCGCGCACGGGAAGTTCAGCACGGTGAGTGACCACGTCCCTGCTCTAGTGATTGCATTCGGTTTGAAGTTTGATACTTTTCACATCGTGCTGAAGTGGGTCGTGCACGAGAATCCTAGCACCTTGAGTCCTCAGTTCCGAGCTCTGTTATCTGCATCAGGTCTTAAGATGGTACTTGTCACGTTGTGCTCACGTCCGTCGGGCGCCAGTGCTTCAGCACTAACAGTGGCCGGTTTCTTGCTCTAAGTAATGCCGCGGTTTTACAATTTGGTGCTTTCCAAACACCCGGGCAAACACCGGTCTGTTTGCCCGTCCATTATATTTTGTCTCTGCCACTTAGAAGAGCAGAATAGCGAGCGATTCATCCCCCTACTTCTTTTTTAAACTCAGCGAAAATAATTGTTGTCCGCTGGTGCAGTTTCTCAATGCTCTCCCGACCCTTTTCACATAAGAGTGACCCAAGATCTCGAAGAAAGTCGCTGAGAGGTGCGAATACATTTATGGTCCGTCGAAACAATTTCACTTGTCATGTAAAGCTTGCGCCTTTCTGATCCATGCTCAATCCTCTACAGGGTCCGCTGAAGCACTCGCTTTCGATTGGTACATACACGACCACCGACACGCTCGACAACTACATGGTCTTCCGCTTCGTGTTCCCCTTCATCAACGGCTCTTATCTGGCGGTTCTCTTCCATCGCGCCATGGGCGGGCGCATTGGCAAGAACTGCTTCATGAACCCGGGCTCCTTCCGGGACCATGACATCATCGCGGTCGGCGATGACGTCATCCTGGACGAGTGCCACGTGCAGGTGAGAGGAGACGTGATGCCGGGGTGTTCTGGGATTGGTTGTTCTGGTTTCGGGGGTGTTTTCAAAAACAGGAATGTTGCTTCCTGTCGACTGGTCCTATACAGACGGGGTTTTTTCAAGCAATTGTGTCCCCTGTCTTGGGGGACATGACGCACTGCTGAGAAAGGTGCGACTTGCTCGTTGGCTGTGTTTCTCAAATAGCGGCTATCGGGAACACTGCATGGCTGTTTTCTTCTCGCAAAGAGTCCCTGTCCGTCCAAAGTGAGGCTTGCTAGAGCTGCAGATTAGCCAGTCACCGGTTTTGATTCGGTCATCGTCCTACAGCGATTACAGCAGATGTCGTCAAGCTGCCACAAATCGCTTTCAGCCCCTGTATGGAAGCTTAAGAACATAGGTCTCTGGTGCGTTCCACCCCGCATCGAAATCGCACTGCCGACCCCCGCCCGTTGTTTCTGCAGGGTCACAAGTTTGAGCACGGACACATCGCCTTTGACGTCACTGCCATCGGCTCGGGGTCCACACTGCAACCGGAGGCGATTTGCATGGCGGGAGACACGCTGGAGGACGGGGCCACGCTGGCCTCGTTAAGCAAACCCTTCCCCGGGTTACCGTGCTCTGCGGACCGGTACTGGGTGGGGTCTCCAGCGGTTAAGGCCAAGGTTATCCTGTCAAACGGGGAGGAGATGGAGGAAGCCGACAGTGGCTTGGGAGGGGGATACGATATGGATGTTTAATTTTGATACGTCGTGAAGCGCACGACATGAGAGAAAGATGCGCATGTATTGAGGTGCTGCGGTTTGATTGGGCTGTAGAGGAGAGAGAAAGCTGCGCATATATTGAGATGCTACGGTCTGATTGAGCTGTAAAGGGGAGAGAAAGCTGCGCATAGATTGAGATGCTGCGGTCTGGTTGAGCTGTACAGGAAGAGAGTGTAAAGGGCTGAGAAGGTCTACGTCTTTCGAAAAGGAAGAGGTATCTTTCAACGAACTTATGATCACTTTCGAGAAAGCTTATGTTTAGCTTAGCATTGGTCCAATAACGAGTCGCACCGCGTCACGCATTAGCGTCTAGCAAAAGAGACTTTATAAAAAAAAAACTTACGAGGTAGTCGCATCAGCGTCTAGTAAGATACCTTAAACATTTTTCTTACAAGATAGTTCGAAGGCTATAAGTTCCTTAAGATTTTATTTTACGAGTCTCCAACTTTCACAAAGCGCAATATTGATTAAATAGTCTCAATGGTCGGCTTCTTGTAACCTCGTATAAATCAGCTAGTGTGGCCATAGGCTCCCCTCGACATACCTAAATGTATGAGTCTGCTAAAACTGTCAACAAGGAGTTTTTTCTGCGTTACATGATTTCCGAGGCTCAATCCAGCTCATATATGTCGAGAGGCTACGTCTCTCCGATCTGCAAACTTTCCTTGTACACCATACGCCGCCGGCTCGTCGTACACAATCCGACTGTCAACGACATATGCAGCCCCCAACCTGCCATGAAACGCAGGCTTGAGGCTTTTAGCTAGCAGAGCCTGGGTGCCCCTGTAGCGGACAGCTGGCCAACTTGTGATATTCTGTTCCCAACGCCTGGCTCGATGCAAGCTGCATCCATTTGGCGCTCTCTGCGAGCTTTGCCACATTTGAGGCTTTCTGCAAGCTCCGCACACTTTCGGCACTCTCTGCGAGTCTCTAGCCACATGCATCGCTTTTGCAGCGTCGCTCAATATCTGGCGCTCTTGGCCCGATAGAATTCTTGCTTTCACCATATTTATTGTGGACTCTTGGTATCCGCATGTGCATGGGGCTTGTTGCGCCTGTCAGTGAAGCTATGTGCACGGCAATGCACCGAGTACCTTTTCCCTCTCCCCAAAAAACCGGACGCAGCAAAACAGGGCGTACCGGGGAAAGGGTTTTTAACGGCTCATCGTTGTGTCCTATGCCATGCAACAGCAGGGATGACAAGCTATTTGCTGTGAACATGTTCGGGTAATCCGAGATGCCACCACCCAAACGTTAAGCCCAGTTGGTGACGCCGTGATGCACAAATCTTCCTCAGACCTGGCGACCCGGCCAGCTGGCTACCATCCTCCCCCAAAGAGGCTTGGTGGTTGACCTAACCCGGCGGGTTGATGCATCACGTGCATGCATCCTTCCCGGCTCTTGCTTGTACACCAATCTGATGCAAGTTTTTATAAAATCGACCGGAAGAGGAGCTCTACCATGTCAACAAAGCCGGGGAACGTCAACAAGTGACTATACAAGGCTGTCAATGGACCAAGATTCAAGACCGATGCTTGCCTATAATCTAGTCGTCCACAGCGTACAGTCATAGCCTTTTGTATTGCTCTAGCCTAAGCCTGTCAAGTCGCAGGATTGCTACAATTTGGTAGTAGCTTACTATTCCATAATAATAGACAATTGCTGGTGATTCTTTTAGCGTGCTTACTTAGGCTAGCAATGCACAAAACTTGAGTTGATCGTTCATGCTACCATGATAGGGTTGAGGCATAGGCATAGGTAGAGTAGCTTCTTGACTGTCGAACTTGCATTGATTGTGTACTTGCACTTCCAGGTCCATGGCTTAACCGCTACGGCCTTATAAAAGAAATATACATGATCCGGACATGCGGCTCGAATCAATCTGAGCCGCCATTATCATGTCATCGTGTCATCGGACTCCGGGACGGGTCTTCATTTCGCCCACAAAGGAGTGTCGATCTTCCTCCACACCTTCATAAGCCAAAGGACCCCCCCGACCTGTTGCTGGAACGCGTTACGGCGTTCTGTAACCCGAGTGGGGGCAGGGTGAGCGGAATCACGCCCATTTGCGGCGGCCCACGTCTGCACGTCGAGGGCTCGCCCGCCCCAAGCTGGGAATCGGCAGCGTCGCCCTCCGGAGGGGGGGTGCCGTGGTCGGTGAAGAAGGGGGAACCGCACGAGGCAGGTGACTGAGCACTGCAAACTCCTCGTTCTCAGCAGTGGGGGGAAGACGAGCCTGATCGATAGGAGGTGGATCACTGGCGCGGACAGGAGCGGGGGAACCCTCACCCATTTGACCAAAACCTTTTTGAAATTTGCACCTCAGGGGGAAATGCAATTTGGCAAAGTTCTGGGGTTCACTTCATCAGGGGGAATTGCAACCGCAGCTACACTTCAGCTGGTGCGTAAGCTTGCTGGATTGAGCACGCATTGCCATCGCTGCTCTCACCAAAACCTTCGGAGCAAATGCGGTGTTTAATTGCAAAATCCATGATGCAGAGAGTGACTTTCTTCAATGTGCAATGCTGCAAGGAATTGCGACCGAACCTAGGCAGTTGCACCAGTTGCCATGTTCAGAACGCGCTCTCCCTCGTACAATGCTGCTGCCTCGATCCGTGCGCGCCCGAGACGGAGCATGGCTTGCATCACTTTCAAAGATTGAGTAGCAACCTGGCCACCTTTTGTCAGCTTAGCAAGGACTGGGGTGCAAGAGGCAGAAGTTGTAGTGCGGCTCTGCAAGCCCCCACTCGAAAACGCACGCACTCGAAAATCTCAGTTCAAACACTGCGCTTGTACTTGATACAGGCTAAAGTAGCAACGTAGAGAAAGATCAAGACATGAAATGTACAAGAGAAACAAGAAAGTGTGATGCAAGAAAAGATTCTCGTTACACCACCGCAGCATCGATCTAGCAGGAAAGGGCAGTAGCCCAAACCTGCACTTCTGCCTGCAACCTTTTCCCATCCACTTTGCAGATTGAACGTTGTGTTATGTCAGATTGCCCTCTGCGCATCAGAGACGTTGCTAGCCTGAGCTGACGCCAAAGGAGGGAGGCAGCATGGCTGGTCTTGTACTCCAGCTCTGCCCTTGGCAAAGCGGCAGAGAGCTTGTCAATATCCATCCAGTCACAGCCGCACTTCGCAATGGCTCACCAGTCGCCCCAAATCCCAGCAGCAGAGTGATGCTTGACTGTACAATCTCCGCTCCCCATCACTCATTCCTCTTGCAGAGCGCAGTCAATGTCAGCTTAAGGAAAACCCTTCCAAAGCGCAGCCAAGCACCCAGATTCCAACTAAGTTCTTCCCAATGTACAGCCTTCCCTCCGTGTCAACGCTCTTTCACACCCCCACGATCAGATCAAGGTTCACTTGTACCCGCCTTGCCCCGTCCCCACACCCTGCACATACCAGGTTTGCTTTTGACCACAACCTTAACCAGCCGGTTAAGCAGAGCTTACCCCCCGGCTCAAAGGTGCGCTAGCGAGGGCCGAGCGCCGATGCAGACCGCCCCAGCTTTTGAGGACGACGAGAACGAGGATGAGGAGATGCAGGTGATCGCTGTTGCGAGCACGGAGTATAACGAGATCGTGGTGTTGCGGATCCCCGAGAAGACGGACCATCCGTACGCTGGAGCCAAAGTTCTTCTATTAGATCTGACAGGTGAGGATTTTGTGTTTTTCCTCCAATAAAAGATCCAGTTGGTATATTCTTCTCCGTGTGCAGAGTTCCTGTGGTGAATGCGGACTGCTTCTGGCCCTGTCGCTCGTTAACAAACAGTCAGCTAAGGTTCCGGCCAAAGCAGGAACCAGAGAAGCAACGCAAACAGCATTCTGGAAGAAGGTCATTAAACATATCCCATGCTCTCGAAACGGCCCTGAAAAGCCTTTGTGAATGGGAATTGTACTTTGCTGGCAAAGACGGCAGCACTTACTTTTCCCTCCAAGGTAGCTTCGCATCGGGAATGTGGCCTTCAATTGCCCTTGATAGTCTCTCCGTTCCCAACACAGGCCCCCAAGTGAAGAATCATGCGACGAACACTTGTGCTTGCAAAAAAATGGAAATATAGAAATAGAAATGGTCCTATCCAAATCCCAGGACCCTGGTCGACAAGTCTGTGCGGAAACCCCTGTAAGATGTCATTTCGTATCAGGAGGATCACCCTTGGCTTAAACTGCCAGCTCGGATCTCCTCTTTACCAATTTTTGTAAGAGCACCTTCCGCTCCTTGTGAATCGATAGGGAGGTCGGATCTAAGATACTGGACCCCTGACGAGAAAATATGGTTAGTCGGGAGTCCCGAACCGTGAAAACCCAGCTTTCGGGGGTCCCGAAAGGTCGTCAAGACTGTTTCTTCGGTGCTCCCCGAGCAAGTTCGAGACTACCGAACGATTCTAGCACCGCACCAGAGGTTCTCCGGTAGTTGATGGCAATGGACAAGACCTCACAACATTTACTGACCCGCCAGCCATCAAGGAGGGAGGTTACACTTTTCATGCAAAAAACAGCTGTTCGAAGTTTTCATTTGGTGGTGCAGGTAACATCCACAGCATGTTGTGGGAGGGCCATGCCTGGACATACTCCTATTGGGTACGCATCGTTACCTTGCAAAGAAAAGCTGTTACTAAGAATCTTGCCATCCCAATTAAGTGCTGCCTACAGCAAGTATGAACGTTGTTGTGCTACATGTTGCTGATGCGTTAAGATCACCCTCCTTTTTGAAGGATTTGCAACCCTCGAACCATCATGTTAAAAGCCGTACCGTACGAGACCCTGTACCGGCTCACCTTCTTTTTTTAGCGCTTATTTGCAATGCTGTGCTCAAATTCGTATCATTTGAAGCACAGCTTTTTGCACATATCCGGTTCTCATAAAGCGCATTGAGGGCAACATTCGGATTTTGATCTGACCCTCAGACGGTCCTTGTAGCCCAGAAAACCTTCGATTTTGGCGAAAAGATCACAAAATTTTGAGCGATCAGCAAACGTTGCAGACTGGAGCAAGATAACGAAAATATCGATCCACTTCTAGCTCGCCCCGATCCACTTCTGGTGCCGATTCGGTTCTGGGGTTCGTACGGTAAGGGCGTTCTCGTCGTCCTGACAACGATAAGCGCCTTCTTTAGCGCGGTCAACTCATTCTGGTCCACTATCCACTGCCTTGCAACTTCCACCGAGTGTCCTTCAAACCGAGGAAAGTCGTTTCAGGTCCCGAGCCTATACAATGGTCGTCGCTCACAAGCGATTGTTGCTTTTTCAGGACGAGTTTGTTGCGCTCCCGCCAGTCATTCCCGAAGGACCCGTGGGCTTCCTCGGTTTGGTGAGAGGTCTGCTTTGCGTTCAACCTCAGAACTCCGTCTGAGACCAAGCGTTTCATTGAGCTGAAGCTTACCCGGACACAAGCTTCCCAAGCAGTTTCTCATAACCGTCTCCTGGTTTGGGAATCCTCGTCCAGATGCCAGAGGTTCTCTCGCAGCGCTCTTTGACCCTCGCAGGTTTCTGTGTATCTTTCTACGTTGTTATCTGTTCAATCAATTCTCGAGGGCACGTGCGGAGTGTTGATTAGGACAAGGATCGAACCTGCGACGGACTTTCTGCTTCCTCTTCTTCTCCACTGCGACGCTGTCCACAGAACTGCTCTCAGGAAGAAAGGCCCCGGCAGCTCTTTGTGGGGCATCAATCGTCCGCGAGCATGTAATCTGAAGCTGGAAAAAAGATCGTCACAACTATTGAGAAATCAAAACGAACAGTTGAAACAATCAGGACGGTCTAATTGATCAAAGCGGTTGACCGGTTTTTGTTGTACTGCTGATCTCGAACGGTTCGACGCTCTTGCAGGCGGGCGGAACAGGCCCCGCGCTCTACCGGCGACAATGGCCGGCGCTTCAAGTGGAGGGGTGGGAGATTGACGGGGAGGTAAGGATACTTTTTCTAAAGGTTACGATCTTAGCCGGATCATTCGTTGTTTTACCCGTCTTTAAAGTTGTGTCCTTATTTTTTCGACAACAGGTGACCAAGAGCTCGGGCCTTTCGCCCGTCTTACAAGCATGATAGCTTGACTGTTGTTTGTCGTTCACAGCGTAGTTTCCTCTCGCTTCAACGTTGTCCAAGGGCGAAGTGACTGAAAGGTGTGCGCCAACTTTTTGCCACTATTATCTGTCTGCGAAAGACACGTGGACCGTTGTACGCGTCATCTTGCCACCTGTAATGTCTTCTTGATGAATGCGCGCGAAGCCATTTTCTCACTGGGCCGAAACGCTGTACGAATGAAGAAAAGAATTCAGTGGGCTCCCACTCACTCACCAGAGACTCCTCTGAGTTCAGAAATAACGTGCTTGCTTTCTTCCTCCGAAAAGGTGGTCCGACTTGCACGCGAGCATCTTGGCCTCGCTGATCTCGAGAGGCCCACCGAAGAGGGGGGGCGGCTAGTGGTCAACGTAGGTGACGCGCTTGCGCCTGAAGCGAGCGTCGAAGGGGGTTTTGCAGGTACGAAACTGATCATTACTGTTCAGATTTTGTTGCATCTTGCTTTCCGATGATGTCATCTGAAAGAGGGTGACGTGTACCTGGGCACTTGACTAAAAAGTATAGTGCCAGTTCGGGTTTCGCGAGTGCTAAACTACAAAAGTCTGGAAGTGTCAAGTCTTCGAGCACTTTCCCCTTGCTGATCGACAGGGGAAGATCGCAGACTCGAGCTGGGCAAGAGAATGTTACTGTGCAACTTTAACCACAAGAACGTCAGTACGTAGAGTGGGATAGCGCTCGGGCAGATCAGGTGATGTTTTCAGATGGGGATTGAGCCGCATGTCGGAAATGATAAGGCCCGAGAACAGGTAGACTGGACTCAACGAAGCGTTAGAAAAGTCCTAGATTTCACGCACGTAGAAAAGGTTGACCGAGAATCATCGTGCCCTTTTCAGAAGTACAAAGTAGGACTCACTTCGCAACGTGAGCGCTCCAGCCTACCTCGAGCGTCGAAAATTTGCAGCCCCTTAAAGCTTTCGAGTTAACTCAAGACTCGTCTTCATCTGGCTAGATTTGGCTTGCAGGCCTCGTTGTGGATCTCTTCAGCCATGGCACGGCCCTTCCGGAGCTTTGGGAGGTGAGGGACAAGGCCTTTGCTTGGTTTGGGCACCTGTTTCGTTGCCTGAGAACGATTCTTAAACCTAATTCTCACATCTCGTGTTCGTCGTGACAATTTCCCGAGTGTGTAACCTACCCACCCAAAGTTGTTCGATGCTGACCTCCTTCTGAGAGTGCCTCTGCCTGGCCGTCTCTAGAGGGCTCTTTAAAGGTCGCAGAATTCGAACCGGTTGCTCTTCACTGACTCAATCGCTGAGATTCGCCTTACTATTGCATGACGCGTTGTCCAAAACTGACGCCGTGCTGACTCAGCAAGCTTCACTTCTCAGGCTGACACGTGGCGGGATCTGAAGGCAAAGCTGCGCCCCGGGGGCCGCATCCTCGTGAACGTCGGGTCCGCGTCGACGGGACTGCAAGGAAACGCCAGTGATGACGTCACTGAATTTTCGCGTGGTGCTGGTCAACCGGGCCGACTAGTGCTCGAGGCGATGCAGGAGGTGTGGCCCGGAGAGGTGAGCCTTCAGCTGTAGGATTTACCTTAAAAGTCTTTCGCACTTGGTGTTTCGAATATTCTTCCTTTGTGCTCCTTGCTTGTCGTTCCAAGCAACTAGCCTCAGATGTAGGTGCGTGTGAATAAACCGGTTGTGATCAATCCTGCTCGAGTACACTTTAGGCAAAACAACCAAGCGTGGTTGCTTATTCTACACCTTCTCCTTAATTTAAGCAATACTGCTAAGACCTCCATCTTGGACAGCGTGCAGTGGCAAACCTAGGTTACCTCCTGTCCATTCGTGGGTGTGTATGGTCAGGTTCATACTACATCTAAAACGTCGCACCGTGCTCTTTAGGGAAGCTCTGCGTAGCCCAATGGCACTCAACGCACTCTATGGCACGTTTCGTGAGAGGAATTTCAAAAGGAGAATCGTCAAGGCGTACTCCTCAAAATGTCACTGAATACACTGTCGACAAAAGTCCAGAGCTTAACCCAGTTATAGCGTGGGTGCTCTAGATGTTATCTGGTCGGATCGGAGCGGCTGATTGCTGCGAATGCAAGTTCCATTTTCCCGCGCTTGAATACAGCGCTGCCGAGAAATGTGAATAGTTCTCCCTCAAAGCCTTGACCGGATCACTCTCCTTATTGTACAGTTGCTGGTACGACGGTTAGACACCCTCTCAGACAACGTGGTCGCTCTGACGGGGCCTCTTCCAGACCTGGACCGGTGGGCGGCGGCGGTTCCGCCCAATCTAGCGAAGGGAGTGAAGGAGTTCAAGTTGCTGGAAGCTCTTGGCTCGTAGAGGGGGAACGGAAACATCGAAAGGCTCGGGCTCGAACTGAACTGCTCAAGAATCAGGGAAGAAGAAGCAATCAGACTGATTGGACGTACGCAAATGAACAGCCACGAATATAATAGCCAAGGACCTGCTTAATTAGCGTGCGAAAGAGTGCATGAGATTGGATGACAAGTGCACAACGTCCTTTCCTACCGTTTTCCGATGCCGGGGATCGACCTACTTCTCCGGGCGCGATGCCAAAGGGGACACCATAAGGACGATTCAGGTGCAATCCGAAGCTAGCAAAGTCAAGGTTCACGATTACTTTGCTTTCGTGGATCTATGCGCGCTAGCTACCTTATATGAACTTAATGATTGACATACAAATGAAAACCTTCGCAATCTGACTCAGTGATCCTCCAATCTGATTCAGTCTTCGTCAAAGTCATGATCCGTTTGGTTTTGTTGGAGCCATCAAACACGGACGCGTAAATTCAAGTCGGCATGCAGCAGTATATATTCGATCAGTTTATGTACTGCACATGAATGTCTGTATATGCCGAGCAAGGGGTAATGATGCCCTTCATCTGAACGACATATGCGAGGTCAGAGTGGCGCGTCTTTTGATCAGCGCCACGCGTCCTACAATTTTGCAAATTTTGTAGCACCGGAAGCACTCTAATATGAAGTGCCATGTGCGCGCCAATGAGTACTGATACGATCGACCATGATTTTAGGCGTTGAAAGCACCATCATTTGCATGCTCACAGCTGTCCCGTGCTCTCATATCTGTCCCATGTTCTCATTTATATCTCTGAATTTGTCGCAAAAGGGAAAGGAGGATGAGATACGGCCGGAGTCATTTGCGAAAGACACGCACTACTTGATAAGCGGCAAAGCGTCTAGGGCCGGCATGTTCGACGACTGAAAGTGCACAAAAGTGAAGCTCTCAGACTAAGTTGAGGAAAGTAAAGCGGCGGTCTCTCCTTATTGCTTCAATCGAGACACTAGCAGAGAAAGTACTTCCTCAGCAATCTCTGTGTCCTTCTCGCCGTTTGCGGCTTCCAGCAGATACCCTGTCCGGAAGTCGTCCCAGTATTCGTGGCCGGGCCTTGGATAGTAAGGATCATTTGCCAGGAAACTATCGACCAAGTCCTGAGCCGACTTCCAAGTCCGGAGCTGGTTGAAGTCAAAGCAGTAAAACCCAATCTTTCGGAGGGGGTTGCTCTGGTGTCCTCCCAGAACGAACTCAATGTCCCTACCGTCGAATCCAGCTTTGAAATGGATCCTTGACAGCAGCCGCCCCATATCCCGCGCAATCTCCGCGATTGGAACCCCCACCTCTAGTTGCGATAACCGGTTTGCATCAAGGGGGAAGTTCAGAGGGTTGAAGAAGCGCTTTGGCTCTGTGCAGTCCTTTCCCAGGTAGATCCTTGCCACGAAGCTCTGCTTGTTGTCCTTAAAACCGGCGGGAAAGAAGCCTTCACGAATTTTAGAAGCTAGGGGGGGAGGCACAGGCCACGCGCGCTCCATGGAATACACCCCCGAAGGATTCATGCTGGCATCCTCTAGGTAGCCCTCTTGAAGTCCCATAGTATCACTGAACTCACTGTAGCTGGGAAAGTGCTCCATTGCTTTTGGGACCTTGAAAAGCAGCTCGTTTCCAACCTGGGGATACAAAGCCTGCAGACGGTTGTACTCCCGGAGCAACACGTCATTCTGCAACGGTTCTGCCACCTTCTTGAGCACCACAGAATTGTAGCTCTGCCAGACATATGCAGTAGCAAAGCTGCCCGCGCCCACTCTCACAATGCTCACTTCCTCTGCGCTCATTGGTTCTTCCTTCAGGATTCGCCGATCGAGCTTGGAATGACAGGGCCGAATGGTGCCACCAGCACTGTCAGCAGACCTGAGCAGAGGCTGAAGGGGGCTAAAGCATGCAGGGGAGCCTCGTAGACGCTCAGCCACACTACAGAGGACGTTCTCTGACCCTGCTCGTCACCTCTTATGTGGTGAGGCACCCGTGCGTCCGTGCGCTTCCTTAATCCAGGCAGCGTGTCTCATGTATTCCCCAGCTGCTAGCTGCGGAGCAAGTAAAGCAATGATGCGGCGTATAATATGGGAAATTGTCCTGAGCGAGACACAAGCGTCAAATAATGTGACACATTTAGGGCTCAGCCTGAGTGCAAACTTGTCTTTCTCGTTGATGAATCTCTCTCACGCGCCGGTCGACATCTGCTCTCTTCACGGTTTCTGCACCCATTGCAAGCCTCACTTATGTGGTGGTCCAGACTTAACGGAAGCCGCTGCAGCTAAACAAGGTAAAGTATAAGTCCAACCAGTGATAATGATAAGCGTGCCGCCTATAATGACGACGGTATACGAACATACGAACGCGCCGTGCATGACGGCCCGTCACACTGCGGCTGCCAGCGCGGCCGCATCTCTAAAACCTAGCTCGAGGCTAAGTTTGTGAAACCTTTTGTGAGCGCCGATTCACACTTTGGTTTTGCCCGAAGCTGCCACGTCATCTCCAAATGTGGGGGCAAGCTAGGTGGGGCAAAACCAAAGCCTGAGGGTTTGCAAAAGCTGTTCGCAAGCAGCAAGGTCCAAGAGGAGCAACATGGCGGTCACAGCGTGCGCTTTGGAAAGGGGGGCGTGCCTCTCGATCGAATGTGCCCGGCCCGCCATCAGGGACAGATGTGCGTCGGCGCATTGTGCACCACTGGGCTTGCAAAGTGGCCTACGGAAGCAACGGTCTTCGGATTCCTCCAGTGAGTTGCTTCGAAGAACTTTGTGTTGCATACGGATGTTGCACTTGAAGGGTATGGTGCCTCATCTGATCACAGTACGAGCTTGGGCTGCATGATCTTCATTAAGCAAATGTATTGTAACTCCGGCGCCGGTCTTCACAATGTGGCGGAATGAAAAAATACAGCACCCTCAGCTGATGTGAAAACATTTCAAGCAGCGCAGTGAAAGTTTTTAATAAGAGCCCGGATCGGCGGTGTGTTAAGACGCGAGTGTTTGTGTTTCTACGATATAAGGAGCCTTGAGACGCTGCTTTGTCCTTCTACTGAATGGACAAGTGGTCCAGGAATGTCAGTGATAGTCTGGTGGATGGAAAGGCAGTGCTGAGCTAAAGGTTAAGCTTCTGACATCAGCAGCCAACAATAAGGGGCTCTCAAGGTGGTGTCATCAATGAAGTTGGGGGTCAGGATTAGGGTTTGGGGTTCGGTGGTTGGCGGTTGGCTTCCGGCGCCTCATGTGTGTTTCCTAAGATGGCCGCGTAGTGTTCTAGTACTTCTGCCTACTCCAAAGCTCAAATCTTTACTCTAACTGCACCCGGGCAGATATGTTCTAGAAGGCAGATGTGTAATCCTCTCTCGCTCATAACGAGTGCTGTCCCTCTTGGGTGGATATGATGCTGTAGTAGCCTCGCTGGATGACAGACTGGACGCACTGGGGGAGTCTCCATTCCCCCTGCACTTGCAGACATACTATTCAGACTGCCAACGTCACCATTTCATCAGCAGATAACCTGCCAAGGTCCTCACAAACTTTTGCCTCACGAACGGACCCCCGCCTGCACAATAGATCCTGCTTTGCAATATTTGCCTTCCACTTGCTTTTTGTATTCTCTTTCAGCATTTCAACAGCCAACTCACTCTTCGATTCTGCTCAATACAACCTACGACCTTTCTGCTCTTTTTAGAACTCGCTATCTTTTGAAATGATGAAAAGAAAGATATAGGCACCAGGGATTTCGGCCGCGACTCTGTGGCGCATTCGGGAGGGGTACGGAACCTCCCCTTGCTGTCTCCTAGCTCTATCTGCTCAATCCACAGCCCCTCAATCACTTCCCAAAGATTGATGATGTTTCTTTTCCCTCCCCCAGGTCCTTCCATCTCATCCCACGTCGGTTTCGCCCGCACCACCACCCTTTCTCAAGTCTGCTCCCCCTCTAGCAGCACAAGCCAGCAATGGCTCAAAGCCACTGCACGCGCCAGGCAGACATCGAGGCTGTCTATGATGGCAAAAGAGCAGGTGTTTTTTGACGGGGGGCCGCACTGGGGCGACCTCGCAGTCAACCTCGTGTTTGGGATCTCGGTGCTGTGGTTGCCCCTCACGGTGGCCGCCGTCGCGAGGGGGCTGCTGGCCAGGTAAGGCTGACCCCCCTGGAAGAATACACCTACCTTCTTCGCCATTTCGCGACAGAGATTGTTGGAAGAGGTCACCTAGTCCCTGGTTGTTCCTACTTATAGACCAAACCGATTCGAGCTCGGCCGTTGTTGAAGAGAAGAGTAGGCGCGGTTTTCGTAACTCCTGGTTTTTGAATCACGGATTGAAGAGACAATAAATGCAAGAAGGGGGTTTCCAAGGAAGCTCGTACATGGCGAAATCAGCCGCAGCTCTTCTAAACCAGTGTTCAAAGGTTGATGGTTTTCCAGAGATGGTCCTTGTTGCCTGGGTTCTGTGGATTTCCGGACATAGGTGCGGCTGGTTATTCGGGTCACTAACCATTTCTTGGCTTTTCGAGATCGTTGTTGATGCACACGCTTGGAAGTGCTTGTCGTCGCTTGGTTGTAGGCCACATCGTAGGCTGAAAGTTCTCATAAGGACAACGAAGGAGCTCGCCTGCTTGATTGGTTGTCCGGATTGGCATATGCATTGGCGTCCGACCACATATGCCAAGGCTTTACAATGGGATGACAAAGAGGTGAAAGGTGCCTTCTTCCTCTCAGTCGTCGCACTCAAAGCAGTGACCGCAGTGATCTTTCCCCGAGATTGGGCACCCGCTGCTTATTCGAACAGACTGTTTTAGGTGCGTGAATGCGTCGAGAGGATTCTGCGGGGGTATGTTGCTTTGTACTAACCGGTTCCAACAACACCACCTCGAGGGCGTATTGTAAAGGTTGCCTTTCTGGTTTCTCGGAAAGGGTGTAAAAAACTTCTGAAGCTGCAGTCGTTCATAGAGCAGGCACAAATGAAGGTCCATTAACAGCAAAGCGTGCACGTTACGAACATGTTGCGAACGGTACGAACGTTTTCTGTCCCCTGATTAAGTGTAGTCTGTCCTTGCAGTCAGCAGAGCATGACCGCTCAACAACGGAAAGAGCATCAGTAGTCTCTTGGGGCACGTTTCACGAAGAAATGCAACACCCTGCTAACGCCCTTCTTTTCTGTTTGTGCAGGTACCGGTTCACCGACCAGCGGGTGACTATCATCGGAGGCCTTTCAGGGGAAGACCGACGCGATTTCAGCTACAAAGACGTGAAAGACGTGAAGTATGTGCCTAGGTTCTTGGGCGACTGGGGAGACCTCGTCATCAGCTTGAACAACGGTGACCAGATCGAGTGCCAAAGGATACCCAAACATAAGGAGATTGCAGCGTTTGTCGAGAAGCAGGCTGCTGCCGCAAAGCCCGGAAACGTTGCTGCAGGGGCAAAGGGACAATAGCCGGGAAAGTTGCTTCACAGGCAGTTCAAGGGGACCCTCTAAGCCGTGTTGATCTTGCGAAGGCGAGATATCTTGCCGTTGTTCGGATTGCAAATCTAGCGGGGCGCTGTTGTGCACAGGCTTTGGCAAGCCTTGTCTCAGTGTGCGGAGTCCTAACAGTTTTGTCCTTTACCAGAACTGAGAAACGTCGTCAAGCTTTGTCCTTCAGGGGAAATCTATCATAGTGGCAAACGCTATTAACCTGAATTGTGAGATCGACTTCAAGCCTTCGATTACCAGAGTTGGTTGCTTTTGATTGTTGAAGCATCTAGGACACCATGCCTACCATCGTGCGCACAATCAGCTGCAAGTCACTCTGCCCTGGCGGCATGCCAACTGGGAATGTTGACCACGTACCTAGGACAGGGCCGGGGTTTTGCCAGTCAAGGCTGCCAATTAATCGGTGATCCACGATCATGCCGCCGTGCTTGACGCGTCACATGTGGTAACAAACATCATTACGTCCTCATATAAGTGTGGCAGCGACCTGGAGCAGGATTATTTATGTCTTTTGGACAGGCTTCAAGATGAGCCGCAAGATAAGCATACATTCGGATTTTGCCCCTGACTCTTGCTCTCTCGATCACGCTTCAGTGACACGCGGAAGCCTGTCAGCTCTATGCCATAGGCATATATGATCTGATCATACGTGGAGTGTCATTAGCTTTGTCACTGACATTCTCTGTCATGCTTACACCGTACACCGGAGCCTGACACTGCAAGCTATGATCGAGTATGTCATAGGCAATATATAAAGTTCTATCATGTATGGCGCGGCGTTCAATTAAATATATGCATGCCAACAGGCCGGGCCCCACTGTACGATGGTTAGTAGCCATGTTTGAAGTTGTGTATGCAAGGGCGGCCGGTGCATCAACGCTTCCCACGGACACTGGTGTTATAGCAATCCAACAACGATTTTGCAACACGAATTGTTGCAATAGTGCATGACTAGATCAATTCAACACAAGCGGTTTTTTGCGAAGTGCATAAGAGGACCGTTCAAACTATGATCGAGCTGTTCTTAGTCAGCTGGACGAATGTAGTATATAGGCGAGATCTGTTTCCGGATTCCGACACTACAAGGAGGAGCAATCAATCATTCAAATGGATAAGGAGGAGCAATTGATCAGTCAAATGGACTCCGACTTCGCTTTGACAACTTTGAGCATGACCGTTCAGGGGGCTCTGGGAGAATAAAGCGGACTGAGTTCCCGTTAATCAAGCAGATGAGCGCATATTAATGGTTTGCTCGATATTGCAGTGATTGCCCATCATACACATACTTGCGGTGTTAGAAGCTCTTTTGCATTCTTTTGATTGTCTTTGTCTGCTTCATAACTCTTATGCAAACGGTCGGAGTAGATGATTTCGCACTGAAGTGCATTGGGTGAGTGTAGCTTCTCTTTCCCTCAGCTTTGCCCTTGATTTGCAAAGGGGTTTCCAAACCTCGGCTTCAGAAAGCACGACGTTCTGTTTCCACTTGCCGTTACGTAATCCATGTCTCTTGAACTTACACGTTCAAGAGAAACAAAGAAGCATTCTGCTCTACACTGACATCGGCGCCATATGATTTCATGGCATTGATGGGCCATCGATCCAAAGAGCTCTTAGATCTTGCTCTCCAAATCTGTTCCTCACCCGCTACACTGGCATGTGTTTACTGATATGCGGCCAGTCCGTTGAAGTCAAAGTTCGTAGTTGAATCTGTTCTGACAAATCTCATAGTGCTACACATAGCCTCATCCTCTCGTTTCACTGATCCTCTGCACAGAATGCGTCGCACCAGCGCCGAACAGCGGCAGTCTGTCCCAAGGCTCGCTTTCGGGTGTTGAGATCGTCCCAATTGATCGAGCCAGACTTGAGCGGAACGATGCGCCTGAACAGGCGCACTGAGCAGAGAGGCCCGCACCCCGTCATCGCCCCCGTTCCTCTGAGTCCTCCGTCTTCCAAAATGAGTATCTTCTTGATGCACCAACGTTCTTGCTTTAACCCCAATCTGGATTTGCGGAGGAGATCCAAGAAGTCACGCTCGCTGACCACCTCTCCTCGGCTTATAACAATCTGCTCCACTTCCGGACACTTCTCGAAGAGATCAGCGGGGAGTTGCAGGATGCTCCTGTCGCCAACAAGTTCGGCTGTGTGGTGCGGGCTCAGATGCACGGAAAGGTGCTTAAGACTGGGGCAATGTGCTGCTACATCATCAAGCAAAGAGTCCAGTGAGCTCCGGCCATAGACGATGTCGAGACGCAAAGTCTGTAGGTGCGTCAGTTGTGAAAGGCGGACGAATTTGGCAGGAGGCCATTCCGAACCGGTTCTGAAGATTCCCCATTTCAGCCTGAGGGAGCGAAGGCAGCAGAGGGAATCTGGCAGATACTGGGAAACGTCACGCAGGTCCTGGAAGTCCATGTTGGCAAAATTCAGGCTGGTAAGTCTGTTAGTCGCAGACTCGAATTTGATCCCGCTGCCTTTGAAACACTGCAGACGGCTTCCGCGGAGAGTCAAGGCCTCTAACCTGGGAAAGGCGCGCAAGAGGTTTTGTATATCAGAGTCTACATACCCTCCTGAAGAATAGGTACTCAGGTCCAGAGCTAGCTTGCATAACGAGTTTGTTGAGGGCAGCAGGAGCTCAATGAATTTCCTCAAGGATTGCACGCAAGCACCAGCTGCCTCGACCCTGCTCCACTGAAAGCCTGTGAGACCAGCCCGCCTGAGATCTGTCTCTGCTACTCCTTTCAAAACTATCTTAGAAAGATTCGGCCGAAGACTCATTTGCTTGATGAGAGCTGAGCATGTCTCTAGTTCTCCTTCAAGCGGCTGGGTCGTCTCTGATTTCAGCCTCCGTCCAGAGGAACGGAGCACAAGAACTCTAGAGCATCGCCTTGCAGAGTCTAGGAAGGCTTTGTTCACTCGCGATAGCCATTCCAAGCTCCGAGGAATTTCTTCTGCAGCTTTCTGCACAATGCAATCCAAGAGCTCCGGACAGAGTGTCTCAAAGATGTCGCCTACATTTCCCATCTGAGCTTTTCTGGACTGCTTAGTACGAGCAGGGGATCCCGCCATGCTTTAAGGAGCCTGATGCGAAAAGAGAACTGCTCACAATCACATGTCGAACTGCTTGCGCAAGTGGGGAAGCCTCAAGCTTGGTCTTGCGGCGCAGCTCTTCTTTGGCTCCATTCTGACGTTGTTCAAGTCCCTCATGAGACATGACTCATGAGTGATTGTTGCCTTGTATTGACAGAAACAAGTATCTTGATCAAAAATACTCAAAGATCATGCGCAGCGGCTCTGACGTGACGACAACCACGCCGCGGCCGCGCTTGCGCACCGCCCGGTGTGCCGAACCCGCGCAGCTATGAGTCGCGCGGCCGCGCGCGGGTGGCGGAAAACATCTGAAACCCTGCAGGTTCAAGCCTCCAACCAAAACCCCGCGGCTTTTGTTTGGCGCCGCGGCACAGACTCAGTCCCTTGAAGACGTAACGCGACTACTCAAACGAAGTGCCTGAAATTTGTCGCATTCACATTTGCGTGGAGCCAAGAGGCAGGCGCTTTGATTCACCAGCGACGATGTTGTCGTGGCTTGTTTCCGCAGTGTGCTTCGACGTGGCTTGGCTGCGTTTGTTCAGGGCTTCAGCTTCGCATGGAAATCATTCTCCCGCCGGCCCTTTGAAGCGGCCGCGACCGCGAAAAGCTCTTCGGCCTGGTGAGAAGCCTGCAAAGCGGCTGCGCATGATAGGGTTTCATGGGGACTCTGAGTACTATGAAGCAGTCACAGGTCCAGATACCGTGCAGCGATCCGTGACTGAGAAACTCTACAACAAGGGGTTGGTTGCAGTAGGAAAAGGACTCCACGCAGACGCTTTCGAATCATTTCGCACTGGAGCTGCTTTGGGTAGCGTCAACTGCATGAATGAGCTCGCCGTTTGTCTTGCGGGAGTGGAAGGATGTCCGCAGGACTTGATTGCAGCGGTTGCTCTCGTCAGAGGAGTCCAGAAACTTCTCGGCAGCTCGGCAGTCTTCAAGAACCAGCTTGGCGCAGTTATAGCTCGTGTGTATTACAATCTTCGCGAGAGCGCTCGGCAAAACGAGGAATATGCCAAAGCGGCGGAGTGGCTGCAAAACGCGGCGGACAATGGACATGCTGGCGCGCAATACGAGCTAGGACAAACCTTCGAATACGACCAGGAGAACTTGGAGGAAGCTGTTGCTTGGTATGAGAAGGCGGCGGATCAGGGCAATATTGGCGCGCTAGTCGCCTTAGGATTGTGCTACAAGTTTAGCAAAGGAGTCGAAGAAAACATTGTTGAGGCAGCTGCGCTGTTCAGAAAGGCGGCCGAAGCAGGCAATGACACTGCGCAATACCATCTAGGAGAATGCTATGATAAAGGGGAGGGAGTGCCTCAGAACGCGGCGGAGGCGGCCGCGTGGTACGAGAAGGCGGCCGCGCAGGGGCACGTGGACGCGCAATATAACCTGGCGCTGTGCTATGATAACGGCCGCGGACGGGCCCAGAGCAACGCCAAAGCGGCCGTCTGGTGTAAGAAGGCGGCTGAGCAAGGCCACGTGACTGCTCAGTACAATCTGGCCATAAGCTATGCGTGCGACATGGGCGTCGCGTTCAACCCCGTCGAGTCCGCCAAGTGGTACCGGAAAGCGGCGGAACAGGGCCACCGTGAGGCGATGCGTGCTCTGGGCGTGTGTTACGAATTTGGTGACGGCGTTCCCCTAGATGCGAAAGAAGCGCTCGTGTGGTATGAGAAGGCGGCCGACTTGGGGCATCCAGGGGCGCAAGCCGACGCGGAAGAGCTGAAGAAGGAGAATGAGTGCCTTGAAAGCTGTCTGCTGAAGCTAGGCTATGATGTGTGACGAATGAGTCAGGGCAGCCCGTCTTTCTGTCCTGCTGGGCACATGAGGTAGTGAAATTTCTCCGACTCACAGAAACGGTACGTCGTGCGGTTCATTTTATGAGTATCCGGTGAGATTTTTATCATCACCACAGCATTTGAAGAGATTTGTGACAGTTCGTCTGCGCCTTCGTAAGCATCTATCTTTAGCCGGGATCTTCACGTCGCTCTTGAGGGGGTTGATCTTGCATTATTATAAGCACCAGTTCACTTCTACCTTCGCGCCGGACTCTTGATCTTTAGCCTGCTCCAGTCCCAATGCGCACAATAGCTTTTGGAGGTCTGGACGGTATAGGCTAAATGGTGGAATCTAGATATGAATGCATTGCGCATGTAAGTTAGCTACGGTGTCTGCAAGCAAGCCAACACTGTCTTTCAGGTCTTGTACATGGAAGTCTGTGGCGCATACTCGGAATGAGTTCAATTAATGCTTTACAGATTTGTGCCGCCTCATGCATGACAGGTAACTTGTTTAAGTAAGTAAATACGGTGAGGCGCCATAATTCTGACTGAATGTGCATTTTGTGCCAGTGGTATTTGTCGGGCAGAAATGGTTTCGTACAAGGCCGGCAGCACTTTTCAATTGAGCGAGCATGCATGGTTAATTTGCAACCATGGTTAAGAGCGCATGGAGCAATCCCAATCTACACTGAAGGGCCGTCGATCATGCGAGCAACAGGTTACATCAGCGTCGGCAAAGCACGCATGCAGCTACGGCGCCCACCAGACTGCAATGTTCGCTCATTGCTTGATTCTAATCGACTGGACGCGTACGTCGAGTCTACATACTCACGATTTGGCAAAGTGGTACCATGCATGGGAAGGCGTTGCCGCAGCGGCGGTATGGACATGCACACGTTAACGTAATAATCGATTAAACCGACTCCATGGGTTCCAGATACGTACGTGTCTGCGAAAGTTTGCAATGTGCATGGTGCCAGTACGGGATGTACAGCTGCCGCATCTCATGGCTTCGTGATCAAAGTGCACATACTACAGACACCTTGATATGTCCTTAGCGCACCCTGGGGCCAGGATGACGGCAACTTCACTTGAAACCTGACAAGAGGCCGGGTCAAGTTGGCGCAGCTGACTCCTGGACAGGCCAGTACAAGCCTGAAAGTACGGTCCTTCGCACATTTTATTTAAGGCCTGCAAGACGATCAAAATCATCGCGGACCCAGGTCAAAAGAGATGAGCGGCCGCTTGGAGCGGCTCACCGACTCTTTCTCTCATCGACAACAGCATATGCGACCTCAACATACGTCACAGGCATGGAAGGATTGCATAAGTAGCTGTACATCGCAATACGCGGTCAGTCGAACAATCAACGTTTACAAACAAATGCGAGTACCTCGTCCGGCAACCCGCCGTTCTCCACATCAAGAAGCAACCTCTATCTTCGAGAACGCCGAGTGCACCGGCGGCGCGAGGCCCGTGTAGATTTGCAGCGGGCTCTGTGGGACAAAGATCTTGTCCTTCTTTCGCGTGCAGGCTTGCAGAGTGTCGAGCGTGATGATCCCGTCGGAGAGCGGCAGCAGGTCGCACTTGACCGCGGTGGTGGCGTGCGGCGGAACGCGGCTGTTACAGGCGGAACGTGGGTGAGAAGCCGAGAAACGCTCAGCTACGGACATCTGGTGATATATTACGCGGCGTTCACAGATAAGCAAGAACCACCGAATTTCGAGAGTAAAGAGAAACTGAAGTTCAAACAACCGCTGCTGATTGAGTCGCGGCAGTAAGAGGCCGAAATGTGGACTAGGAGCCAAGAACTGCTTCAGTTGGGGACGCCTGCTGACTGAGCTGACTGAAATGATGTCGACACTTTGACAACATCTGGTAGCGACAAGACTTGAAGGTATCAAAAACGAACCGTAAAGCAAAGCAGGGCCGGAAAGATTATGAACGATGGCGTCCAAGTTGTTCGCTGGTCAGACAGGTGTAAGGTCACACGACGAACCTAACTTTATGAGCGTTAATGATCGAAATCAGGTTTGGTGACAAACATACGAGGCCACTCGAAAGAAGCTGTCGAGCCCCCGTCCTCGACACAGAGGCAGGTTGAGGGATCGACATCGAGGAAAGCAAGACGGCCTTGACAGCTTTAACGGCCTTCCCATCTTTGATGAAAGTCCCAACGCGAGAATACAAAAGGTCGGCCAAGTCCCAAAGGGGCAATATAAGCACCTGGCTGAAATGGTCGCAATTGAACGCTAACCATCTGCGAAGCCAAAACATCGAGGAGGGTCATAGATACGTTATGGAAAGGTCATCGACATTGGCGACGGCGTTTGCGTGTCACTCACCCCAGTGGCACCACGTTCTGCAGCCACAGGTGCGACCGCTCTGTTGCGGCGCCCGTGGCGAAGTCCGCTGTTCCGCCGGAACCAGCAGCCCCCACCGGAACGGAGTTCCCGAGCGGCTTCACCTCCAGCTTGAGGTTGTGCCCCACGATGCTTTCCATGCGGTGGATCGGCGGCAACGAGGCGGTGCGCTCGTACGTCTTCTGCTCGGGCTTGCCGGCCTGATGTGTGAGAAAACCAGTTAAGAGTTTTGTTTGCTTGGTTAACCCTTTTTCCTTTTAATCCTCGGTTTGGGTCCAGTTCTAGCTTGAGATGGGCGACAACAATTTCCCCAGAATTTCCGGGCGTGCGTTTAGGAAAAGCAGTAGGGGTCTTCTCAGGTGGTCCGCGCTTTGCTCATGATGGCTCAGTTTGGGTGCCTGGGACGGGTGCCCCGGTCGGATTCGCCCGGTGTGCTCAAAGACGTGCGCAAGTGCAAAGTAACCGCAGAAACTCGGATTAGTCAGATCAAATTCAGCGTTGCGTTGTCCAAAAACAATACGAATTGCGCCTGTCCTTGAATGCATTCTAGTAAGCCGCTCGACTTCCCCCTTAGCTAAAACACAAACTTTAAAAGATCAGAAGCGCCAGCAGTCCAGTCTTTGTCAAGAACCGCGACTCAAGATTCTGGAAAGGACAGGGATAATCCTTGCTGAGAACCAAGATGCGAATCAGCAAAGTGGAGCCACAAGCAGCAAGAAGGACAAGAGAGGACTTCGAAGCAGAGCAGCTTCACTCGCTCCTCCGGCTTCGACAACCGGACATCTGGGATGGATTTGGATGGGGTAGAACAGCTTTTCAAAACCCCCAAAACAAAGCTTGATGAAGAACAATCACAATCTCTGACAGATGAAAGCATTGACTTATGAACCGAAGGAACAGGCAGTAACCAGCGGAACTGCACGAAAACCAAGGTCGAAGCAGCGCAGTCTTACCCGGTCCTCCAATTGCAGCAGCCCAACTTCCGGGATGCCGATCGAGAGCCTTCCCCCTGGCCCGCGCACGGGGCGGGGGCCGCCTGGTTGTTGTCCCCCGGGCGAGGAGCTGGGCGCCAGGAGCGTCAGCATGAGCTCAGCGGAGGTCAAGTTGGTCGCCCGGATGGTGACGGTCCGGGGGACGAACAGCGGAGGCGCCTGCACAGAGTGCAAGAGTGGGTGAGGAAAAGAGATGCATGGAGGCTAGATTTGCAAGGGATACTGACGACGTCATGAATTACTTCTAAGAGGAGCGATTTGGGGAATGAAGAGCGAAAGCGCCTGAAAGAAGCCACACGCGTTGCTGTAAAACGGACGTAGAGAATGACCAAAAAGCCATAGGACGGACGGAACAACGACCGCGGAAGCATCGGAAAAGGGAGAGTCAGAGACGTCGCATATAAGAAGATTGAACATGAGAATGAAACCGGAAATTGTAAACAAGCAACATAATCTGCACAAAGAAGAATCGTGATAAGCAACTCGACGGGTTGACACAACAGCGCTGTCCCGGGACACAATGCGAAACTACGTGGTCCTCCGCGCCCAAAGAACGCAGATACACGTGTCAATACTACCGCGCCCAGGATGAAAGTGACGTGTGCCGTGCAACTCACCGTGCTCTGCTTGGCCGCTGTGAACGGATTCCGCCCCTCTTCCTCCAACGTCACCGACAACAGTAGCTCGCGGGAAGTCTTTGGTTTCCAGGTCAGGCTATGCCGGTACAAGAGCCTCGACTCTGCAATACGACGACAAAGTCAGCTTATTTGAGTCTGTGGGCGATCATAGAGGATTCATCTCGCGTCCTTTTTCGGAGGGCAAAAGTTGGAGTCATTGCAGAATAGACGAGAACGAATCATCCGGTTGCCGTGGCTCCTGCGGGAAGAAGTAATCGACGCCTCAATCAGTGTAACCCTGAGAAACTTAACACCCGTCGACAGTGTCCTATAACACTATAACACTTATCCGGATCGTCGACTCTCCACGAGCGCTCTCCGTACTTTTAGTCAAAGCCTCCAGATTTTCGGGATAAGGAACTCTGACCCTAAAAAAAGGTCAAGCCATCCACGGCGCAACAAATGATTACTGCTGACACCATTCCTTCCCCACTCCCCTTACCTGTATGGCTGCATCTACACGCAACGACCACCGCGTACTCCAGCCCCCCCTCGCTGAACGCACTCTCGGGGGGGGTCCCGCGTCCTCCGGCGGCGGGCCCCCTTTTTGAGAACCGGGCATGCTGCTCGACCGTCTGTGCCCTCGTGGAAGGGGTGAGGCGCCCGGTAATTCCTTAACGTTGGAGTCTGATTCTGAGCGGATTAGGTGGGGGTCTGAACCAGGAGGATGTGGACCGGCGAAAAGGGAAGCGGGCCGCAGGATGAAGGAGTGCTGCTCGCCTGGGCGGAGGGGGAGGTTGGGGAGTGATTGAGCATCGCCCACCTGCACATAGGATTAGGTTAAAGTTCATCCAGTGCAGGTTAAGCGGGCCGCAGTATGAGGTTAGGAAACGATTGGGCATAACCCACCTGCACATAGGGTTAAATGGTTCAGTTAGTGGAGGTTAAGAAGATGCGACCCGGGGGGAAAGGATGAAGGAGTGCTGCTCGCCGGGGCGGGGGGGATGTTAGGAAGACGATTGGGCGTCACCCACCTGCACATGGATTAGGTTATGAGTCGGTTAGGGTAGGTTAAGCAAAGATGCAGACAGGGAAGAGGGGCAGTGGGCCGCAGAGGGAAAAGTGCTGCTCGCCGGGGCGGAGGGGAAGGTTTGGAAGAGATTGGGCGTCGCCTACCTGCACATAGGGTTGAATGGTTTTTTTAGTGGAGGTTAAGCAAAGATCTGGCCCGGGAAGAAGCGGGGCGCAGGATGAGGTTAAAGATTAATTGGGGCGTTGCCTACCTGCAGATAGGGTAGATGGTTCAGTTAGTGTGGGTTAAGCAAACATTTGGCGCGGGGAAAAGGGAAGCGGGCCGCAGGATGAAGAAGTGCTGCTCGCCGGGGCGGAGGGGGAGGTTGGGAAGAGATAGGGCGTCGCCCACCTGCGATGAGCCGACTTTATTGCGGTCGCTGTTTTCGTGCAAAAATTTTCTTGCACGGGAAAGGTGAGCAGAAACACCATATTTTGCACAAAGGGCTGGCTGCGGTGGCGGAAGATTGTGCGCGACTTAGTCGCCACCCACCTGGAGGTCTTAGGAATCCGGGCTCTCTTATTGGTCCATTTCTGACGAACAAAGAACAGGTTTTGTGCAAAGAGACCAGCCATTTGCTTACAGGAACCGGCCCGCTAAGAGAGACTAGCTCGAGAACACAGCGTGCTTCACTCGATGTAAAGTACTTTCTTTCCCACGAGCAAGCAGAACTCGGAAATCCAAGCGGGAAAATGCTCCTCACCTCGACGCAAGCAACGTGCACCGGCAGCGGCCCGCTCCCGGGCGCCCCCGAGCGCCACTCCAGGCTGATGGAGTCCACGTACATGGTGACGTCAGCCGTCGGCCCAACCGGCGGCAGGACGTTCTCCACCGACACGCAGATGAGCTGCTCCGCGTTGACCTCCGTCCCATATGATTCCACCATAAGCGGGTGGAGTACCTACGGAAAAGTCGGAAAACACGTGTCGTAAGTTGGGTTGTGCTTTGTGCCATACAATGCCATCATAAGTGTGAACGGATTGACTAAAGTGAGAGGTCAATTCTTCGGAAAAATAGCTAGATGAAGCTGACGTGCAGCTAGACAGCTAGACAATCTACTCAACTGCGGAATGGACCGTCAGCAAAGGACGACTTGTTCGATTAGACGCTGAATTGCACATTTTCATGCAAATGAGTTGTCCGGTGATCGGCTCCTGTCCCAGGAGAGCCAATGGAAGTACCGAGCAGAAAGTGCTTCAGCAAATTTTAATGGCGGATTTGCATGTAACCCGCATGAACAGTGGATTCTTCACGAGTTGAAGCATTCGTCCATGCACTCAGTTTACCCGTCAGCTTGGATAGGACGTACGGAATTGAGAGACGACACTTGTGAGGGGTAGGGAGAATGTGGGCATGCCTATCTTGGGGTTCAAGATGTCGCTCGTGCGGTGTTGACACGCTACATCATTGAGCTCTGGCCCATGAAAAGACGAGAATAGATCATGCCCAAGATCTGAGTTGATTCGTTGAAAGCAAGACGCAAGGGGTGCACATAGAGCTCTGGCCTATGGGAGAAAGGAGAAAGGAATATGCCCAAGCTCTGACTCAAGTTGTTGTTTAGAGATGCAAGGGGACAGGGACCAACGAGCACGCCCTACCTGCACGCGCTTTTGCCACCGTTTCCCCGGCACGTGCGGCCCCTCCAACCCACACTGCGGCGTAAACCGTTGCGGCTCGAGCGGTGCCCCCCTGAAGCTCAGCAGCCCCTCGCTTCCGAGCGCACCCCTTGCGAGATTTCCGGCCGCGTGCACAGGCCCCTCGCCCGCATTTTCCGGTAGGGGTGCCCCTCCGGCCGCCGCTCTCGCCGCCGCAGCGCCGAAGTTGAACGACATTTGGCGGGGGGGGGATGCTGGCGGGGTGGGAGATCGAGAGTTCTCGATTGGGAGGAGCCATTGAAGGAGGTCCCGTTTTGGATCGGGGGGGTAGGGCTCTAGTAATTGAGCCCGGTCGAAAGAGGGGGGGGCGGGAAACTCTGGAGGGGTAAGCGGATTTGCGGTTGAGTTGCCCCGCGAAAGTGGCGCTTGCTTGGGAGACTGCAGAACAGCAGAGCAGAAGAATAAAGCCGATATCAATCCAGTATTCGCCTCGGTATTCGATGCTCCCCGACTTCGCAGGTATCAAGTTCTCAAATGTGGCAATAGGAGTCAGGGCGCAAAAGAGGGCAAGCTTGATTCTGTACCTTCCTGACGTAGATCTGATGCTTAGCTCCTCAGCCCTTTCAAGAAGCACAGAAGACGGCGTTGTCCAAGTACGCAGGCACGAGCAACGGAAGAAGCGCAACATGCACAACAACTAGGTGCGAAACGGGCTCGAGACGGACCTGCGCAGGGGGTGCGTCAAGCCGCTCGAACTGGAGGACTTCGAGGAGCGCCACGTCGGAGGTGGTGTGAATGGCCACCGTGACGTCAAGCAGGACGCAGAGCTCCCCGCTGGGGAGGCAGTGCGACAGGAGCGCGCCGCGCGCGAGGCCGCCCGCCTGGTGGGGGTCTAGATTGCCCTGCAAATGAACAAAATTGCTTCGTGCTTCATTGAAAATTAAAGGTGTGATAAAGTAACCAAGACAAGGTCATGTAAGAGCTATCGTGTAGCTGTTGAGTCTGATTCAAGCCGAGGCGCCGAGGTCCTGTCTCTGATGGGAGGGTCCGCCAGGTCCACTTCATCCTGTTATGTAGCGAAGTAGGCAGATGACATATTAGGGTCCGATGCTGGTTCAGATTTGTGACATGACGAACCAAGGCTTATGCCCTTTTAGGGCTATGTTGTGGGCGATAACTTCGAGTGGCGCAGAGTACCTATTCCTAGCAAGTTTGTAGGCCGGCCGCCTGGTGGAGCTCCAGAGTGCCCTGCGAGGCACCGACTCTTGGCGCTCAATGTTCGTGATAAAGAGGCCGCTTCCGTCAGCTTCTTTGAAGCATCCCTGTCATCACGAAAGAAGACCTTCAAAGCAAGCCACCAATGAAACACGAGGATCAGCGTCAAGGCTGCAAAACCCGCTCCAACAGGCAGTGCCGTACTTGGTCCTCTTCATTGTAATGTTGTATGTGTAGTGGTGAACGTGCGATAACACAGTCCCTGAACCAACTTGTCAGAGTAATACATCCATATCTACAAGGAGCACAACGACATGGTTTGTCGAAACCCTCACCTGTTCCGTGAAGATGGGGGTGCACCCATGCACTCCCCCCTCGCTCCCCCACCCTAGTTCCGCCACCCCTCCCCCCGCCCCTCCCCGTTGGCTCATATCCACCGACGGCCGTCGGCTCGTGTGCGCGCTCCCCGAGGGGGTCAACTGCACCAGGTGGTTCGAGATGTTGGGCACCCCCCCGGCGCCGAAGCTCCCGCCACTGCCCGCGCTGCGCTGCCGCCGGTGGCTCGGGATCGTCTCACTCCCTGCAGAGCTTAACACAATACTTTGTTCTTGCTGGTTAGCGTTATAAACATGGTGCGTTTTGGTGTCAAGTGTCCGGTTCAGGGATGTTTGGTTCAACCCGAATTCCCCAGCGCCGAAGCAAGCCGCCCTGCCGGCGCTGCGCTGCTGCCTGTGACTCACGATCGTCTCATTTCCCGAAGAATCTGACACAAAGTGTTCTTCTTTGCTGTTATCGATCGTGATCTGTGGGTCTGTGTCGAAAGTCTGGTATTGTGGGTCTGTGTCGAAAGTCTGGTACTGGTCAAGAAGGATCCAGGGCGCCAAAGCTCTTGCCAGTGCGGTTGCTGCGCTGACACGCCCACCACTGCCCAAGAATACGCTGCAGCTAACGGCTTCAAATGATATGAAACTAATCTTGTTGCGAATCTCGTTTTCTATAATATCTTCTGTGTCTCTCGTGTGCAATGATTGGCATTTCGACCGGCACGCCCTGAGCCCGAGCATGTGCTGTTTTCATAGCTGTATTGCAATGGTGGTTCTGGCTCGTCTTGAATTTAAATGGATAAGAGCACTGCACTCCAAATATGACCCAATAGTAGTCCTCAAGAATAGCCTATCCACAAACCAAGCCATAACTTACTCACTTACTCAACAACGCCAGCCGGACAACAGGTAGACAGAGCCTGGCGCAGATCCAAAAAGCACTCGGCGCCCATCGACCATCATCATGCTCCTCAAAGCCAAAAGATTGACGACTCACCGTCAGACAGCTGGACGAAGAAGTGCGAGCGCCGCAGGCTGTCCAGCTGCAGTTGGCTCCGCCGCAGAGCGCCCTCCCGCCGCAGGCTCGACATGCTCTTGAGCAGCCGGGGGGGGTCGGATCCTGCAGCGAAACAGCCCCTGAGATCAGAAAAACGGGGACATTCACGTCCATCTATGGATACCTTAGTCATTATAAACGATGATAGACTTCTCGTTCCTAACCGAAGGCGCTGAAAACTGTTCCCTCTCATTGCAAACGTCACACGGGCTTCGTCTACCAAGTTCTTTGGAAGTGTGGGGGCTGTGTATGTGCCCTATGTACGTTAACTTCAGGGGTCTGGGATTGTGAGGTGTAAACGAATCGCACAATAGCCCGGCTCTGACCTGGCCCGGCGCGGCCCCTTGACGGGGGCTCCGAAGGCGGTGCTCCACTATTCCTCCGGCTAGGATTCCGCTCTCCATCGCCTCTCAGTTGCGCCGAAGACTCCGCCCCTGGAGGCCGGACAGCTGCGTTTGCGTCGGGTGATGCAGTGGCATCTGAAATTGAGCCGGCGTTGCCAGGGAGGATGTCGCGGGCTGGAACAACTAGGGAGGGCCGACTGCTGCTGTGAGCGGATGGGGGCAGGTCCTGGGGCTTGGTGTGCACCAAAATGTGGAGATGCTCGCCTGCGGGAATTAGTTGTGACTTCAAGATAAAGCATAACACCCGAATCAATGAAATTATTCTTGGACTTTCAGAGCCCTCTACTCTGGCTATTTTGGGATCTAACATGTATAACATGTCTCGTACATCTGTTTGACAAGGTGCGTGACTCTCATTACGAGCAATTTGGAAATAGAGTCTGAAGACCGCCAAAAAGAACAAAACCTGCAGTTCAGGGTCGATTGAAAACAGCACACAGCTGTCTGGTCGGCCCCCAGTGCAACACTAACCCAAAACTGAAGCATCAAATCCGGTGCGTCGGGCCATTTCACTTCAGTATACCATGAGTGGTTGCCCATCGGACGCCCTTCAGATAAGCTCTTTCAGCTCCTGACTCCACACGACACTCATCGAACTGAACGGAGCAGATTGAGGAGGACAAGAGCAGAAGAGGCAGTGTGACAAGGGACGGGACTGAAGGGGGCAAAAAAAAGTGTTCACTCCACACCTGGAAACACAAAGTCTCTGCTGAGGACCGGTATGCTGGCCACCTCCTTGGCAGCGGCCCACCCCTGAGAGAGTAGCCCCTTGGGCAACAGAATGCCCCCCTCATCGCTTAGGACGTTCATGTGGTCGGCAAGCGCCATGCGACTGCGGCGGACTCTCCGCTCTCCATAGTAGTTCCCGGCGGGCACCAACGGGGGCTGCCCTGCTTCGGCCTGCAAACCAAAATGGATTGGGGGGCATATTTGCAAACTGTTGAAGGCTCCACATTCTCGCTCAAGTTCCCGCGATTGAAATTGATTGAATGTCATAGATGCATTCTTGGAGTTGGTACAACCAAGGGCATGGATTAGTACGAGGGGCTCAAGAATGTGGGGTTGTCTCATGTTCAAACTGCCTGGAGATGAGAGATGCATGAATGTCATTGGAGGCTTTCTTGGTGCTGCTCCAATCAGGGCTTGGAATGATGAGTTGCGAAGGACATCTGGTTCTGGTTCTACTCTCAAAGGTCTAATAGCTAGCGCACTATAATGATTGTGAAATACCCTGCAGCGTACGAGCTGAAAACTCTTTTGGCGCCTACAACCAATCTGCGCCCAATATGGAACGCCACAGAGGATTATTTCCAAGCAACAACTTGGTCAAATGGATAGCTTTAGGACTGTCTCGCTTACTAGTCTACCACCACAGAGAAAGCCCAAGTACCTGAATGTAAGCACTAACTCAGCTACATCCGCAATTCACCTGGGAGTCCTCCGAAATCATCACAATGTTTCAACCACCACTATGAAAATTCTACCAGGTCAATATTCCTTCTCTATGAACCAGATTGGACATTGCAAGCCAGATTGCAAGAGCTCAATTGGTTGAAAGAATCGAAAGCCAGAATCCAACATAGGCCTATCAAGCTAAAAGTGCAGCGCTGCTCCTACTTTGCAACATTCCGGATCAATGCAAGGCAGCTTCTGCTTACCTGCGGGACGAGTGGTGCTTGCAGCTCTTTGCCCTCCACCGGACTTTGGAGAGTAGCCATCCCTAGCCCAGGCCGCCTTTGGATTCTTCCACTTGTGCCAAGTTGTGGTGTCCTGCATGAAACCTTTTTGCAAATTGTAGAGGACAGAGCTCTGCATCAAAAGGAGCTCTGAGTCTGTAGCCTGTAGTCTGTACAGTGTAGGCTGTCGTGCCAAACCACTATGCATGTGCAGCTTCTCCTCTGAAGGTCATAATAAGTTAGGGTTTGCTGTCTGTTTTCGTGGCCGAAGGGGTGGCTACTGGGACTGGACGGCCAAAACACCAAAATTTGGGACGGAACCCTAGACTCAGAGGTGCTCAGAGGTGCGATGTCCCCAAAAGTCGTGCCATTCAGTCGTGCTGTGGATCCTGTCGTGGATCCTCTCGCACTTGAGCTTCTGACAGTGAAGCCTAGGGCTAAGCCTAACGTTGCTGCCTAAAACTTGCAAGGCCCTTCTTGCTCATTGAAGGCCATTCTGGCTCAGTCTTGCTCAGGTTTACGGCAATGCAGGGGGTTCAGCTGCCTCAATAAAAGGTGTCCCCAGCGCCAATCTAAATCGGTTCCTCCTCTACTTCTCCTCCGTGCTCACTCGTCATCATTTGGTATAGAAGGAGCTTTCAGCAGCTGAGCTCTGGGCCTCATCAAACCCAGTTCAGGATGAGCGGTCGGCGCGTCAGGATTGCCATCATCGGCGATGTGGTGAGCTCTCACAGATTCAAGTTGACCTGGTGGGCCCCAGCATTGTTGACTGACATTATGTGTGAGTTTCATGGTTGCGTCCATCATACCTCTGATGGCCCCTCCAGCATGAAACCCAGCATTCCTGGAAGATGCATCTTGCTCTTGCTTACATCATTTTAGTCACTAATACTCGGTGCAAAGGTGAAAGACGAAGCGTTTTTAAGCACCTTAAGGGTTCCTGTACTTCTGCTTTCATAGAAAGACATCTCATCTGGTTAAAGCGTCGCATGCCTTCAAATAGACCTTGCGTAGAGAATGCCGCATGCTCTGATTTTGCAAAATCTTATATGCAGCACGAGGTTTGGGATGCTGATATTGACAGAAGAGCGCTAGAAAGCTTGGAGGTTAGTCCACCAATCCTTGTTCTCCACTTTTACTTTGAACTTTTGGATTTGATTGCAAAGGTGGTGCACATGCTCCTGGTGATCATACTCTGCTTAATTGACTGCCAACGAGACTTTTAAGAAAAGCATGCCATGCTTGTTTTGTTCAAAGGCTCACTCTTTCACCTCACCCTTGATTTGCTGATTGAGGGGGGAAACCCCCCTGTGAATGTTGCTTTTTAAAGGTGCTTCACAAAGTTTATCAGCAGAGACCTGTGAGACCCTACTGTGAGACCAGAGTTCAACCAGAAAAAGACGTTAAAAACGTAAACCCCTGCTTGATAGTATTACAGGAGAGCTTGTCACATGTCCAGTTACTTGTGGAATCTGCTTTCCACTATTGTCAAGCAAGAGGTGTCAGGTCGTTCAAATCACCCCTGAGTCAACATAAGATTCCTGCTGATGTGAGTTTCCCAACGCCCTCAATCCTGTCTGCAGGTTGACCTGACCCTCTTCGTAGGTGAGTCCGAATTCCAGAATTGAGAACCTAGTGTCAAACATCAGCAGTTTGATAATTGCAAGCAGAAAAGATCTTCCGCGGACAAAACAAATTCTACTTGATGTCCAAGCCCCATATGTGCTACCACTCTAATCAGCTGCGTAGACCCATCTTTCAGCACCGTCCAACCCCTGTCAGAAGGCTCATCAAGTTGGAATAACAACCTTGGGTTTGTCAATCTTGGTGGCCGCTGTCTTTTCTGTTAAGGAAATTTGCTTATGCTCCTCAATGATGGCTGTTTTGATGGACAGGCGACTTTGGCGAGCAGAAGGTGGAGCTTGTCCAGGCAGTCAGTGAGCTGCCCGTGCCGAAGGCGGTCATTCTGGGAAACCATGACGCCTGGCTTCCTTTCGGGCCCAAGAAGGAGTTAGCAACGCCTTCTTCGTCGCTCCATTCCTCGGAAAAGTTCATCAGTAGCGAGTTCTCAGTTTTTTTTGCAGTTGAGCCTGCTTTAGTGATTTTTTTTTTCTTCACAATGCTTTTACAAGCTCTGGTTACACTATCGGTTTGTGACATCAGCTGAGGGCCAATGGAAGCCAAGGGGAGAGGATGACCGTTGACTCTTCTTCTCCTGAAACCTCTCCTGAGCCCTTACGGCAGCTTGTGGTCATCGAGTTTTTGACTTCAATGTTCAGATCTCAAACGTTCAATGTTTGAGGCCTTGCATTGTCTGCCACCATCACCGCTTGCATCCCCTATTTAGACTTCTTGCACTATTTGCACTCTCCCAGGATCGCTGTACTTCGATTGAAACAAGAATTTCTGTATGCTATCATTGGATCTCTGGTCTTGATCAGTGCTTACATTCATGTTTAAAAGCTTTTCGTCAAATGCATAGCACATTTCCTCAGACTTATCATGCACACTCTGGTCTGAATCTCGGTTACTTTCCATCTGAGCAGTGTTTCTACTCCGTTCCCCTCTGCAGGGATGGCATTGACGGGGTGCAACAGCAACTTGACCTGTGAGCAATCATCTCAAGACTCCTTCAGACTTTCCAAAATCCCAAGGACTTGAAAATCTGCGGCTAAGGCTTCCAATCAAAGGATAGGGCATCAGATTTTCTTGTCTAGCAATGGAGATGTTATGAGGTGCCAGCTGGGTTCTGTGAGCACGTATTTTCAGCACAGGAAGTCCTCAAGCAAGAGCTGCTAACTCCTTTGCTTAGTGTTAGAAGAACTCGGCACTTTCCATAATTTGACGATACTTGAAGCTTGATCGAAAGCGTACTGATTGCAACCAAGAACTGAAGTTCGACGCTCCTTCAGCGCAGGCTTGGCGAGTGCCACGTGGGCTACGGACGGCTCGACTTTCCGGACCTGCAGCTGAGCGTCGTGGGGGGACGCCCGTTCTCGTCCGGCGGCACTGATTGGGAGTCTTCCGCAGCTTATTCAAAGAAAAGGTGTCACGCTACTCCCTTTCCTTTGAAATGTTCGTCAAGGCGCTATTGCAAGGGACGTCTCCACAGATAGTACCGATTCAGAAGCCAGCCAACGCTGCAACGATCTGATTGAGAGCATATGAAGACAGCGTCTGGTGCTTGAGAGATGTCTGCGGACGGCTCTGCTGCAACACTGAAGAAACTTCGAAAAGCCCGTGATCGGACTTAGAGTATGTCTATTGATATTGATGCAAGGTTTTCCTTCCTGTAAAGCCACAGGTCGAAACGTTCTCATGCGAACGTTACTGACCAGAAGCTCTTACCGCTTCTCTCGTTGCTTCCGCAGGTACGGGTACACCAGCTTCGACGAGTCTGCACGAGCGATCGCCCAGCAAGCGCTCGCCGCCCCTCGCGACGACACGCTGATCGTCATGGCTCATAATGGCCCCACAGGTGGGCAAAATCTCAAACTTGACTGAGAAACAATTTGTGGTGTCTGTGGGTCAGGACTGCCCCGTTTTTGAGTCCTTCTATGGACATAGTCTTTATCCTGGCCCACTTTTGAATATTCTGTAACGAACAAAATGAGGTCATTGTGGGCTAGGACGGCCCCGTTTCGAGTCGTTTTGTCCGGAACTTCGAAAACAATCTGGAAACGATGTTCATGTGAGGGCCATATCAAAGATTTACAGGCACAAAGCAGCAACCGTTTCTAGACCAGTGGAAACTATTTTCTTTATGCCTCTTGCTGTGAGGCCTCAATTGCCACGGCCAGAGGCCAGAGCACCAATTGCAAGCAGAAACGAAGAAATGGAAGCAAGTGAGCATCTGGTCAAACGCCGCTCCCATGATCCGCAGGTCTTGGCGATCGGCCGGAGGACATTTGCGGAAGAGACTTTGGGCGGCCTGCGGGGGGCGACTACGGAGACCCAGGTAAAACCTCTTGCTTTGTTGCCCCACGCTCGAGCCCTGCCAACGGGGACCCCTACTTTCTCGTCGAGATCTCCGAGCTCGTGTGGCGAATAGCACTCACGTTACTTGATTCATGGCCCTTTAAAACGATCACGAGTCAAAGTTGTCTGGACCGGGATGGGAGTCTTACTGGATGCCAATATTGCTGACTGGAAAGTGACCGAGACTTTTGGCGGCCAACCTTTCTGTTTTGGCCAAGACTGGGCCTTCCGTTCGCGACAAAGCCGCTGCGCCGATGCCGCAATGTTACCAGCCGTTGCCCATACTATTCTGTACCTTCAGATCCTCGCAGAAAATTGGTTAGTGTTAAAGCGCGGTTTCAGAAATGTACACTTTGATTCCATGTCGCCAGAGTTGCTGCGGGTCGAAGGAGCCTGCGGCTGTGAATGAGGCCAGGAAAGCGAGCATTGGTTTGCTCAACCAGTCCCACAAGCGCTCGGATGCTGCTCGAATAGCTGTGAACTTCATTGTCGTGTATTCGAGTTTCTCAAATGTTCATGTTTTTTGTCGCCCCAGAATTGATTGTTGTAAGAGCCCATTTAGGTCTGCTTGTCGGGCAGCTACTTGGTGCGGGATATGGTAAAGCAAGATCACACGATATTTGCAGACCTCGAACTACAAGGTTTCGAGTGGGTCGTCAAAAACAAAGAGTTTTACCCCGTCCTGTATCTGAATGTTTCAGGGGCGCGGGCAGTTAAGTGCCGAAGGGCCGGAAGTTTGTTTAGTACGAAAGACGATTAAGGTTGTTTGCGGCAATGACGATCGGAAACTTGAGGATCCTTAGCTCAAAGTGCGCGTCCATCAAGCAGGAAGCCGCCAAAAGTGCCGCTCATCGCTCGCCACTTCAATTCCCGGCGTGGAATCTGATACTCGAAACCTGCAAGCTGACTGCCTGCCAGCGGTAAATGCATTTCCAGTCCTCAAACTTTTTAAGAGCGTCCTGAATGCTACGATTGGCCATGCTTTTGGTCGTCGCCAGGATCACAGGAGGGACGTCCTCTGTAGTTCTGGGCATGCTTACATCAATGTCATCTCTCTTGCGTTTCACATGCCTCGTGCATTGTCTAGGATTGTGCAGCGACTTAGCCTTTGATTCTGCCTGTTTAGAAGCACTTGTGTAGCGGCACTCGGAGCTTTCTCGACAATTCTGAAGTCAGCCGACCTTGTTAGTTGGCGTGTGGTGGCGACGGGTATGCCCTGTCCGAATATAAGCCTAGCTTCGTTGCTTGTTCGGTTTCGGAAGCCGCTCGTTGAGCAGTAGAATTGTTCGATTGGTTTTTGTCAAGCGGATGCGTCTCGTGGCGCACTCGCTGAACATTGTCAGACGCATTCGCAGCCTCCCAAAGTGGTTTGAAGCAGATCCAAGGGGATCGAACATAAGGAGAAAGTGCAGCGGCTGTTGCGAGCTGAGCTTCTTATGAGCAATTCGTTGGCGGAGAAATCATCCGCTGAAGGTCATTCTGGGCTGTGAAGACCGCAAACGCGCAAGGATTGTCTTGCTTAGGGCAATTTGTTGCGCCCCAAGTTACGGAGGCCACTCATTGAAGTCTGTACAGTTGACGATCCCAACGATCACCGTATGCAAGGTGGCTTCACAATCAGAGTCTTGTCCTACGTCTCCCGTTGGTGCAGTTTTGCCAGAGTGCTTGCCAACGCTCTTTGCAGCAAGATTGCTGATGTCAAGTGCCAGACAAGCGACGGTCTGTGTGTTGCCAATTTATCCGTGGACGGTAGATGCTAGTGGCGGTGATGAGGCCAAACATACGAGCACCGCTTGCTCATATCCTGCAGTTTCTTTTGACTTTTTGATGTCCCTGAGTGTCCTTTTCCTTCCTGTGTTGATCGAGCCTTGTTTCTAGCAACAGTTGGTGACAGTGGGCTTTGCATGCAACTTGTGCAACCTTCTTCTTGGCCACATGATCCATGCTGGTTTTAAATGAATGAAGAAGCCACCGTATTTTGCTTTCTTTACCAATGGGCGACGCCGGAGGTTACAGCAAGCTCAGCACACGAGCATGGTTTCGCCAATACGATCTTACATTGCCCATGCAGTAGCCAGTCCAATATTGTCTTGTCGACGTCATTTGTGTGAGTCAAAGCACAAGTCAAGCGATTCCTTGTGTCAAACCGCAAGTGGGTTGTTAAGCCGTTGCAGCCTCCATTGGTACCATCCGTCTGGCACTCTCGCGCTAATGGACCACCACTGGCTTTTGGCTGTTCTATGGTGGCAGTGCGTCCCTGGCTCAGACCAGCCCCTCCCCAAAAGTGTCGTTTGGGCCAACAGGCTTCCCGATCGAGGAGTCCTCGGTGTTGGTAGAAAGTTGGTCTTGTGGGTTCAGAGTAAGGTTGGTATCCGGGTTTGCCCTTCGCTTCGTGAAGATACGTGTTTAGCGGCAGTCTATCTCGTTGCTCAAGACCGGCTACTGATGCTTGTTGCGACTTCATTCCCTGGGGTTTCATATTCTAAGTTACGAGCCTCGCTCTCCTCAAGGAGCGGCTGCGTCTTGAAAGCTGCTCAATACCCTTTTCGTAATTGGTCGCACTGGTGTCAAAATGGAATACACGACACTCATCAGCTTTTGCCAGACCAGCGGTTGGCGCCGACCCCATGTTTGCAGCCTACGCGTAGACGAGATTCCTCGTGCCGAAATGCCAATCGTTGTTTTTCTTCTGGACGACGGAGTGCACCCCTTCGTCGCATTGGCGATGACGCGAGCGTCAGAAACGAGCATGTGTTTGCTCAGAGGAATTCACCGCTTTGGATGCTGCTCGGTAAGGAAAACAGACCCTGCTGACGTCAGGGGCTACTGAAGTTTTTCTTTCTCGCATTCGGCTCCAGTCAAGTGCATGCGCTGATGCGTCTTCGTGGAGCAAGTAACCAAGTCCACGAAGCGTAAGAGCCGGGCGGTACTGTGTGCCAGGACCTTAGCTGGTGAGATAGCAGCGACTGTGACGAGCTTGGAGCAGGGGCACGGCTTGCTCAAATGCTCTTTCTTCGAATATCTCGGAAGCCGCTACCAACATAAATGTGGAACCGCGAAGGATCGGAGTTTGCAAACCCGTTCTGTAGCTTTGCCCGACACCCGCACCGTATCGGTTGCCGTTCTGAATCTCTTTTGTGGACACTCAAGCGTGTAGTTAGAGGGCTCAAGCTAGGAGCGCAGAATATTTACTGCACTAGTTGTAGAGTGATGCTTATCTGCTGGAATCAAAAGGCGGGATCTTTTCGCTGTCTGATTTTCAGAAGGTGTGCTGGTCGGTTCTCTGAATCGAAGTTTCTTATCCGACGATCAAACGCTTGATGACGTCATTGAGAACCTGTGTAATGTGGTCGTAAGAGGTCGACTGTTGTGACTCACTTAGGTCGGATTAATCTCGAGCAGTGGTCGAGAGCTTCTTCAATTCCTGCTCGTAAGGCCCGCGTATACAACTTTAACGTGCTTCATGAAGTGTGATTTCTTGCATGATCCCCAAAAGCCCATTCGTGGTCACTCCACATGGACGGTCGGCGAACGGGGACATCTTAACCCCTGTTTATGGTGGCCGAAGCAGTACTGAATTCAGCAGGCCCTCTTTACGAGTTTCTGATATTGGATGTTAGCTAGCGAGCAGCTATGACGAGGTTGGGCGACTGGCCCACTGGCCATCTGTCGGCGAAGGAAACAGATGCTGTGTCTGTTTCTCTAGTGCATGCCTTTGCGACACGTTTCCTGCTCTTATCTGCTTATTTACGTTCTCATGCATTGCCGGGCTCTTCTGTCAACCTCGATTTGCCCACTCACCGAGATCCTGAATCACCAGTCGCGCGAGCACAATTGTAGGCTGTGTGCTCAGTTTGCAGCTTGCGAAGATGCGTGCCGTCGCAATCAGGAGCCTCCTCAAACATTGCTTGATTGGCTTTACCAGTCACTGTTCCTTTCAAGACCCAAGCCCGCTTGACGAGTGCGCCCAGAAAGTTCCCTGCTTCTCGTACCTGCTTCCGTTAGACTGTAGAGAATCCATACTCACCTGGCACTTACGACAGCGCGCCTTATCAAAGAGAAGCCGCTCTGTGCATTTGCGGACTATATCCGCAGACTTTCATGCGTTTGCAACCCTAGAAATTTAAATATATGTGGCGATCCTGTTTGTCGTCTCTTGCTGGCGGCAAAGATGTTGAACATTCTTGAGCGGAAATAGTGGCTCAAGGATTCTTTTCTCCGGCCGAAGCCAGTCTGTGCAAGCTATCCTTTTTGGCGCTCTCTTCGCCGTTCTTGGCGGAGATGGGAAGTCAGCAGCTCCGTAAGCAGGTTCAATATCTTCTGATGCCCCCGTAACCTTCCTTCTTCGTTCTACTCAACAAACTCAAGCATGAACGCCCTCCCTCCCGCTGATCGTCATTGACAACCGACGCAGCTGGGCGCGAGCGCTTGTCTGTACAGCTTGCTTGAATCGTTACCATATCGGCACTTCTCTGCCCTAGAATTCATCCTTGGACATGGAGGGATTCGCCAGGGAAACATCACGTCGACTGATTTACGCACCTCTTTTTGCAGATCTGCAAATTGCTCTGGATTTGGTCCGGGCTGCCGGGCGCGACGTTCCACTGGTCACCTTCGGCCACATGCACCAGATCCTGGCCCACGGGAAAGGGGAGCGGAAACTGCTGGTTAACAACCCGTCGACCGGGACGGTTTACCTTAACACCGCCATTGTGCCACGGGTTAAAGATGTGTGGTCAGGACAGGATGACGAAGGTTCGCCAGTCAAATGTCGGGATTGTCGAAACTTTTTCGTGGTTGAGATGGAGGATTCGCGGGTTCGGTCTGTTCAGGAGTTGTGGGTCAGTGTAAGTCCGGGTGAGAAGCCCGCTTGTATTGTGAGCAGGCAAGAATTGCTCATTGAGACTGTGTAAATTCCACAATTAGATACGAAGCCTGAGTACAGTCAAATAGACCGATACAGACCGATACAGGTTACAAAACCAGATGTTGATAAACTTACATAAGAGTCTTAAGGTCAACATCAGGCCTTGTCCTTCATAAGAAAGAGGAAGACACATCGATGTCAGAATGTCCCCTTAGACGACCTTTGGTTTCAAATTAACGAGGTCTGATCTCAAACCCTTTCTGTACCATGTTTGAGATCCAAGTGTCACCAAACGTCACCCTTTGGTTCGGGTCTCGATCTCTTTGTTTCGACCTGTCAGTGGAGGGTTGTTGGTCGAATTCCTCTACCCGACGGAAGAGTAGACTCCTTATGCCTAGATTTTTTTGTTTGGGTGATTCCTAAGATTTTGCGCCCGGTAGGCGTTTGTCGCATCTTTGATGCGAAGTTTGTTTGTCCGGCTAGCCTAGCTCGGCAGATCCTTGGCACTCAGTTTGAGTACGTACACCCTGAGAACGTCCTTAGCAACCTGTCTTGACAGTCGAACGTACTCTGGCGTTGAGTCGGATCAGATCGGTCGCATCGGGTCGGATTGTCGATGATCTGCTGCATATATTCAAGTCACTGAGTCAGAGACTCGGAGACGCCCTTTGTGATTTGAGGACTGTCGTCCCCCCAAGCGTCTTGCGGTTCTGACGAACAAGGGCGATTCGCGCAGAACACGTTCTCATTCATGAAGCTTTCATTTTTCGGACGTCGTTCCAAGTTTGCTCGTTGACGGTGGCAAGGGGCCGAGAAGCGGCAGGCTCCGTTTTCGACACTGATCCGATCTGCCAGGCTGCACTTGGTTGAAGGCAGATGGCGCGCCGCTTTGCGGAACGGCTTGCTCTTTCATTCGTGGTCACTCACGCTGGAAGCATCTTGACTGTCTTGGAGCAGTTCATTCATGGTTTCATCCAGTGCCGTATCAAGGGCCAAATGGCTGGATTTTTTGCAAAATGTATCAAGTGCTAGCGTGATGCGATTACAAACACGGCCCCACATCGCCCACATGCCTTTTGTAGGCACGTCGGAGCCTCTCGAAAGCCCGAACGTGAGTCACGGGGTCGAGTCACGATCTGTGGCGATTGCAGATCACGAGCGCTTCCCTCATCAGATCAGCTGCAACTTTTCACCGAGATCCGATGCCGCAAAACGAGCTGTAAGCCCTTTCGGACTTCGACAACGGGTCTGTCCGGAGGCTAACCCGTTATCTGCATTTCAGTACTCCCCTTTTGAAGCACTCAATTGTTTCTTTCGTTTGTTTGGCTTCAGACGGTGCCGTTGCCCTGACGTTGTCGACCTCTAGCGAGTAGCTCCGTCTCATGACTTAGTGCAGAATACGATTGCAATTCTAGGGGATCCCCGGTAAAATTTGGCTGCGATTATGACGGGCTCAAAGAACGAGTGCAAAGCTGCTCAGAAGAGAGCTGTCTGATTTGGACGCCGCTCCCCAAGCTCGCGTGATGATTTCAGCACTGCTCTAATGCTTAGCAGCATGATCAGTTTTGATCATTATTATTGCGTGTCGCCGTCGAGCTGTGGAACATGGACTGATCAATGGGTTTGTACTTTGTACCACCGTAAGTGATTTCTCAAAGTGGGAACGTCAGATCGGCTTACTGTTAATGGCTATGGCGCTCGGTAAGGCCTGCTCGAAGTCGGAGCGGTTTCTCTTTGTCCCCCCCTGCAACCCCCTTCCCTCCCCGGGTTCAGAGCAAACGACTTGTTTTTAGCGTCGAATTACCGAGCCCAACTGGCTTCTGCGACGAGTCTTCTTGGCGCATGGCGCGGCAATGATACGCCCAGTACGAAATGAGCTTCACTTTCAGCTCAAAAGAGGCATCAGCTTGGTGATGCTGCCTGCATAACAAGAAACTGCGCTTCCGGTCCGATCGATGGTGAGCAATAGGGAACGCATTGGGCGGAGCGCCAGACGGCGCGGCTAGCAACTTCTCAGAAACTTCAGTTCTGCCTGGCGGCTTGAACGGATTCGAAGTTAGGACGCCCACTTCGACGTGCAGCCGAGTCGTTGTACATGTGAATGGTCAGATGCCGGGTTTCCAAAGCGACGTTCTTCGTACTTGTGGGTGTCGGATGGATTTATACTGCGTGTCTTCTGAAAAGCATTCCCCTTGTCTTGCGTCTGCTTGGTCCATTCTCCTCGCGACTCTCCCAGGCTGGATGTGTGGTGGAATAACCTTGGTCGTCCGACCGCTAGGGTGCCGAAATCTCAACGTCCCGCTGCGCTGAGTGGTGCGCGCCAGTCACTCAGCCCAGTAGCGGCTATGATCGACGATCGATTATGAGCTGGCATTGCCTCATCTACTGTAGATGACGCAAATAGGTCATCATGCCAATCTGGATGCCGTTCAAAAGCTTTTTCGTGGCGGCTGTTGAAGATTTATGATTATCTTTCGGGGAGACTGCTAGGAGACAGTTGAAAGAACTTACTGGAAGTTGCTTTGTCGCTTGTCCAGCGTACCCTTAATGCACATGCAGAAGGCTGACAGAGCGAATGTGGACCGAGGAAAAGTTCACATCGCCAGAAATCTGAGATTGGGTCATTTCACTGAATTTCTTTAGCAGAAATTCGTGTCGTTTTGCTGGAACCCACCGGCTCAATCACCGAGCACAAGGCATGTTGTACACGTATGCAGGCCTAGTCGACCCCGTGGCCTCGCCTATGGCGGCGCGCTGCAGTACTATGCTAACCTAAACCCCCAGTGAGAAGATTCACCGACGAGCAATTGGGAGGCCTCGTGCCGTTCTGTCGGAGCATATGTGCCCCCAACAGGAGCTTGACGGTGAGAAGTGACTGTGAGGCCGCTCAAGCTCAAGGCACACATTGTTTTTAGCACGGTGCTTTTCTGCCGTTTCGTCTTATCGTTGGGCATACTTTGCCCTTCCCCCCTCCTTTCTCCTTCGTGGAATGGAGGCGACAGGCAATAAGGCTTACGTTTGGTTAATGGCGCCCCAATGCTTGCAACCCCCTTGTAACGGCAAAGGGAAGGGGGTATCAGGGGTTTCAGTAGTTGCGCTGGGTTTCGTTGGTCGAATGGGTATGAATTTGTGCTTTGCAACTATATTTCACCCTACGTACCATCAGCGTTTTTTGAGTGTTCTGGCAACTTCTCAACGTCGGACGAGCGAGCTCAAAACCAACACGAGATTTCCGATTTGCTAAGTCAGTGAAGCGGTAGCTGTTGACGAACTAGCGGCCAGGATGCGCGTGACTTGGGCAGGCAGCTCAATCGTGTTAACGTCTTGGTCAGAGGCCGCTTGCGACTACTGAAGCAACCGTACTGCCCCTCTACAAAGACAAGCTGGACATTGAAGCAAACTTTTGCCTTTAGTTTGTTTCTCTCTTTGCTGCGCTTGCGATAGATTGAAAAGACTCAAGGAGATGCTTACAGGCGCGTCGAAGCTGAGGCCTGTTTGTACTCATCTGCCCTCAGTATTCTGTGTACACTCCTCTATGATCTATTTATCTTTCTGGCCGAAGCGAATGCTTCGAGCAGGTCCTTGCTGCGACCGGTACGACCTGACATTGAAAAGTTGTTTCAAATTTTGACCGTGTAGTCACCATGTCTAGAATGCTTCAAGGGACTGATTGAATTGCAAACGCGGGACTCCTTTCCTGGCATCCTAAGCACGCCTTCGCATAAGCCGTGGGCCTTGTACCTGCTAATGAAAGCTAGTCGACGCACAATATTGAGTCATGTGCATCATACTGCCCTGATGCAACTCCCCGTAGGGTTCTGCTCACTGCCCTGCTTTTGAAATTTTGAGTTCTGGCAATGAAGCTTTCAAAAAACGAGGATCCGGCTCTCGATGCTGAAGATAGGTGTGACGTCTGGGATGCCATTTGAAAACCTCTGATCTTTTCCTTTTTCGAGGCCACGAACTATTTTCTCCTCCACACGTGAATCCACCGCCTCATCCCAACAGCAGGTTCGAGTTTCATCCATCACTTACGTTGATCTTGAAACAAGCCACTTAAAGGCTCAAGTTACAAGACTGAAGGAGTTGGCTGAGCCGTGACTTCGTCTGTACTGGACTGCGCGGACTGCTCGGTAGAAGACAAATATTCATTCCAGTCCGTCCTGCTTGAATCCACTCATTAAAAGTTGGAGAATCCACATCCGTTTGGTCTTGATTATATCCCACTGTCGCTAACACAGCCTGGGCTGCTTTGCAACGGCTCGATCGGAGTGGTATCGCCCTGCATATATGATGCCCAACTCTGTCGTTCGCTAAAATAATGCCTTTCGGTTGCGAAAGTCTGTTTACAGCAAGTGAGTTTCTTAACGGGTCCACTGACAAACTCAACCGTGATCTGCGACCAGTACGTCGGCGCTCAAGGCGCGGCGATGATACGAGATCCGAGCATTGCCCCGCTCAAAAATCAGATTCGTCCCTCGTGATGCCATAAAATAGGCAGTCACCGCGAATCCGCTTTTTGGTTGGGATTACGCCAACTTTTGAGGGTTCTGCGATACAAGGCGATGCCGCATACCTCCGAACTTTCAAAAGTCGGGGGCCCGGTTGATGTCATGTGTGGACATTACAAGAGTTGAGCGGAATCCTGAATGCCCGACAAAGCTTTCATGCCGTAGACTCCACAGACTTCCCGACTTCCAACTACAAGGGTTTGACTAGTACCTTCGTCAGCTTTTTTGTTCGCATCGAGACTGCACATACTGTTCGTCGACAATGCAAGTTTTACTCCTGATCATTACTTGTTTAGATGCCCTGATCCTCTTTTGCTGTTCGTTGTTCAGCCGGACACGGGTCAGCGGCCATGAATTGCAAAGCCACGAGCATATTCGAGCTCAGCGCTGGTCCCAACCACCTAGCTAGCTTCCAGATGCCGACCTCGTACTTTTGTTCCCCCGTGATGGCAAGAACCTCTTCAGTGATATCCCATCCTGATTGTTTCTGTCCTTGTAAATTTGATCTGCTCCTATTTGCGTTTGGATCTGATTGAAGGGGCGTTGGTATTGATTCGGGGATGAAGAACATCATCTGACGCCGCGGATCCATGTAGTTCGGAGCGCAACGCAAGCTGCCGGCTGTGATGCAGTGTGCTCGAGGGGCACCATATCAAGGTGCATCTGAAGCCGGTGCCAAACTCAATAAACTGTCTAGATTATGCGAATATCTGCCTACCTGGTTCAAATAAAGTATCATATTGTGAGTTGCCAGTGCCTCTGGATCCCAGCCATTGAATGGTTTCTGA